CTCATGTTCTCACAGTTTTCTGTATCCAGGCAACGGCCCAGAAAACAGGCCTGGCTGGCTGTCCTGCCGGTGCTGCAGGACTGGCCAGAGTTAGTCTCTTTCAGTTCACGGGCAAAGGTCTCCGGAGCTACGACCATTTGCATCTCTCCTCAACTTACAGGCTCGCGGTGAAAATGTCTTTGAGATGATCTTCTAAGGCTTTTTACCAAAACACAGTCTTTACACACAGTCTCGCACGCATGCACGCATATGTTTATACACATACAGATACACACAACAACGCGTGCATGCGCACCCACCCACCCCCACCCCTACATCAAGTTTTTTTTTACATGCTCTCCCCCATTAAAACCATCAGAATTTTATAACAAGAAAGTAAACCTTAGGAAATGGGGTTCAAGCTTTTTAAAAGCAGGACTTGCGTTTAGGGTTTATAACTGGCTGCTTTCACTTTCCTCCATCCCTGCCCAGTCATCCAATGCCGCCCTCTCCTCGGGAAGGAAACCCAGCAGACTGAGTCAGAACAGGTTATGAACCATTGAGCAGCATAAAAAGATTAACAGATGGGCTTTGTGTGTACGCAAGCCTGTTCTTTCCAGCTAGCCACAAGTCCCACTGTCTGCTACGGAATTGTGTAACCTCACTGTATTTTATGGTTCTCTTCTGACTTCATCTTTGCCCCACACCGTGTGTGAATTAGTTATGATGTACGATATTAGAGAGCAATAATTTGGAAGGCAGAAACCCTGCCTTTCATTATGAAGTTTCCAAAACAATTCTAAGAGATTTTAAACACACACACACACACACACACACACACACACACACACAAAGTGGCAAAGTAAGAAAACAGGTATTTAGCATGCAGTAGTTTCCTAAGTAGACCCGTGTAGGACACATCATGTGTGTAAGCCCAGCCTGTGAAACGGTTCACTTCTGTTCGTTCATTTGCCAATGATGCATTGCCACAAAGAATGGAGGGCCTAAGGCGAGGTCTCAGAGGGAGCTGGAACCCAGCGCTTGGGGCTACAGGAGCAATTGTTCCCCACCTGGGTGACTTTGTCCTCTAGGACACTAGGTAATGCATCTGGTGATCACAGCGGAAGGCACTGTCCTGGCATCATCGAGTGTGTAGAGGTCAGGGGTTCGGCTGCATGTCTGACGAAGTGCAGGACAGACTCCCACAATATGAGTATTTTCAGGTTCAAAATGGCATTGGTGTCAAGACTTAGGATGCTGGCCCGACCCCTCATCAGGCCTTTTTCCACATGACCTGGGCATGGCACCCCGTCCTGCCTCTCAGATTTGTTTACTGCTGATAAGAGGCTCAGGTCATTCTGGCTCTAACTGGCTTGACCAAAAACAAATCAGTACATGTTCAAGTGTGTGACGTCATTATCTTAATCATAGAACTGCACCATGAATCACGGACTGTGAAGGATAACGTTTGTTTCCCTGTCTTGCCAGGTGAACATCATATTTAGGCAAAGACAGACAGATTTTCTATAAAAGAAGGAAGACTACATATTTTATTTTTTGTGTGTGTGAGTGCCTGTGGTGTGTGTGTGTGTGTGTGTATAGTGTGAGTGTGTGTATGTGTGTATATGGTATTAGTACCTGTAGGGGATGTCTACATGCTGTTTATTCCCATAGGGTGTGTGTGTGTTTGAGTGGATGGTGTGGGTGCTTGTGATATGTGTGTGTATGCGTATATACTCATACATATGTATGAGTGAGTGTATGTGTGTCTGTGATGTGTGTGTATGTGAATGTGTGTGTGTGTGTGTGTGTGTGTGTGAGAGAGAGAGAGAGAGAGAGAGAGAGAGAGCCTGTGACGTGTGGCTGTGTGCATATCCACTGTGCAGAGTGGAGCCTTTGGGAGTGGCTCTCACTTTCCCCCTTGTTAAGGGAGGGTCTCTCTTGGTTTTTGTCCCATCTCCATGGACGGCAGGCCAGCTGACCCCCAAACCTCGGTTCATGCCTCCCGCCTGCAGGCAGGAGTGCTGAAATTACAGATGTGTCTACTACACCTGGCTCTTAACATGGGTCCTGGGGATCAAATTCAGGCCCCCAGGCTTGCACAACACGCAAACACTCTTAAACTCTGAGTCGGCTCCCCAATCCTCCCTGGTGACTTCTAAGTTATTTTTATTGATTTTCTTAAAATTTTAAACTTTTAATTTTTTGTGTATGTGTGAGTGATCATGTGTACAAATGGACTCGTGTGAGGAGGTCAAAAGTTAACCTTGGGTGTCACTTCCTGGGAGCCAGCTGTATTGTTTTGGAGATAAGATGTCTTCCTCACGGGCACCTAGGGTACCTAGTTAGGCTAGGCTGGCTAGCCAGCCAGCCCCAGGGACCCCAACCCCATCTCCACCTTCTTGGCAGTGGATTACAAGTGTGTACCTCGACATAAAGCTTTTTACATGGGTGCAGAGACTAAACTCGGGTCCTTGTGTGTTGGCAGCAAACATTTTACTGACCCCAGCCCCCCCATTTCATTATTTTTAAAATATCAGTTTGACCCACCCCATGACTGATTGCCATATTTAAAAAGCATGAGACAAAACTCTCCTTGGGTATCTGTGAGGGCCGTGAGAGTGTGGTGGAAATAGTAGGGCCGTCATCTTGTACCATGGGGTAACTGTCTTGACTGGTGGAGGTGGAGTGAGGTGTGTATCTCTGTCTTCATCATGTTAGAGAAATCAAACCCAAGCAAGGAGAAAACAATGCTTCAAATATATTTATTATTATTTTAATATGCTAGCATTCCTTAAGGTACTGTATAAAGTTCCCGTAAGTTCTCAGCATTGTTTGGTAGACCTGACTGCTGTATGGACCTACAAGTGAAAAGCTTGCCCATCCTTCTGGAGGAAATGCCATTCCTCTTGCTGGCTAGGGGCAGGATGTCTTGTACTGTATCAGAAAAAGATGAGAGCCTGTGATGGTTTGCATATGCTGAGAGTTGTGTGTAATTACAGCTCTGTATCAGAACATATACTCTTCCAAGAAACCATGGGCAAATAGGCCAGACTACAAGGCAAGCTGCGTGAAGCTGCCATGATGCTCCCGTCTCGTGCAATAGAACCTGCTGTTCCCATAGTAAGACAGCTCAGCACTGAAGTATATGGAGGGCCCCTTTTGCAGTCTGCACATTGAAATGAAAGCCCCCAGGCTCTGTGCCTCTCTGGTCCCCTCCTCCACCCACATTTCAGGTCCCATCCTCCAAGTTACAGACAATTTTCCAAGGGTTACTTTTCCCTTTAAACATTTTAATATTAACTCCCTGAGGGTGTGTGTTCTATAAAAAAAATCCTTTTAAAACAGGCCTTAATTATATAAAAATTTCAGCTATTCGTCATTCGTTCGCAGCCCCTGTAGACTTACTCTTTCCAATCATCCCACAAAGACCTTTAAGCGCCTGCCATAGTCCAGACAACGGACTGAGCAAAACAGAAGCAGCCAATGTGCCCAGGGAGCATATGTGAGGGACAAGCACACCCTGTACTTTTCCGCCCACTAGACTTGTGCAGCAGGGAGCCAAAGAGTGAGTGACAGAGACCTGCAGTGATTGCTGGGACCAGGAAGAGAATGCACAGAGTATATCCTCCTTCCAATGCTGCAGCGAATGGTACGGGCTAGCCAGCGAGTCAGCCCCGTCTGTAAGACTGGCCCCAGCAGCCTAGACTGGATGTGACTCTCTGAGAAGGTTGACACGGGGAAATGCTGTCCAGTGGGCAGTGTCTGGGTCCTTTTCAGTCCCCATGACAGAGGACTGCTTCCCTTGGTTACTGAGGTTTTTCTTACATCTCTCCTGGATTCTGGAGGGCTGTATTCAGTTGTTCCCCCATCCCACCCCTCCCATTCACGATAGTCAGAATTTCATGTTCTAGTTTGACTCTCCGATGACCTTGTCATGGAAAAGTCTCATGTGTTCTGTTCACTGTGAAATACTCTGGCCCACATTTGATATGCTGTGATTTTTTTTTTTTTTTTTTTTGGTTTTTCGAGACAGGGTTTCTCTGTGGCTTTGGAGCCTGTCCTGGAACTAGCTCTGTAGACCAGGCTGGTCTCTAACTCACAGAGATCCGCCTGCCTCTGCCTCCCAAGTGCTGGGATTAAAGGCGTGCGCCACCACCGCCCGGCTGTTGTGATTTTTTAATACAATGTTATGGGTCAAAGCCTGGACCCTGGTGGCCCTAACAAGCTAGGCTCAGCTACCTGTCCTCGGGAAGTCAATTGGAGAGAGACCTAGCAGCAAAAGGCAGAGAAAGGAAGATTATTTGATGTGGCCACACTAGGGAGAGTAACAGAAGCGAACTGCGTTCCCCCCCTAGTCCATCTTTGGGGTCCAGATTTGTGGTTTATGTTAGTAGGGGGCAATAGGTACACAGAACTAAGTAGGTTCTGATCAGGTGGTGTGGTTCCCACCTATCGGTGACTCATCCTTGCTAATCTCCCAAAAATTCCTCTGCTGGCTGATACATTTTAACCTTTTTCTTCTCCTAGCAGGAGTCACCCTAGGGGAATTCCAATTTCTTCAGAACCATTGTTTCAATAGTCTGAGAGCCAAAGGCAGGGCACATGTCTCCTTTAGGGTGTTCCTGCCAGGGCAGTTACAAGGCTAAGTGGATGTGAGGGCGCCGAGTGGCCTAAGGGTCTGTGGACGCATGCCCCCACTGAGTGGCCTAAGGGTCCTTGGACGCATGCCCCCACCGAGTGGCCTAAGGGTCCTTGGACGCATGCCCCCACCGAGTGGCCTAAGGGTCCGTGGACGCATGCCCCCACTGAGTGGCCTAAGGGTCCGTGGACGCATGCCCCCACCGAGTGGCCTAAGGGTCCGTGGACGCATGCCCCCACTGAGTGGCCTAAGGGTCCGTGGACGCATGCCCCCACTGAGTGGCCTAAGGGTCCGTGGATGCATGCCTCCACTGAGTGGCCTAAGGGTCCGTGGACGCATGTCCCCACTGAGGTTGCTGTGTTTCTTGTCTCCTCTGCAGACTAATCGGCACTGCGACTGTCTCCCTGAAGGACCTGACTGGGGACCAGAACAGATCTTCACCCTACAAACAGATCCCCCTGCTAAACGAAAAGGGGCAAGACACTGGGGTGAGCTCTCTGCTTGGTGGAAAGACAAAATAGGATGGTTAAGTAAATACTCATTTAGGAAAGACTTTGGTTTGACAATCTCTATGCGAAACACTGGGAATCTGGCTTTCATGATAAATGGACCCATTTGTCAATTATATGAACCCTATCCTCCTCAATTTTCAGTCACAGAGTCAGCAAGTTTGAGGTTTGATTTAGATTTGACAGACCTCCATATGGTAAGCTGGACCCCTCTGGATGTAGCTCAATGGTATCCATGTGGGTGTTGGCATTTAAGTGGTTGCCATTAACTTTGGGTAGCTTTGATAACACAGCAGACAAACATAAGGTTTTTGTTATTGTCTATGTTAAGACAGTAATGTCATGGCCACTGTCACCACACTGGTGGCCCATTACTTTCTGATCCCAGCCCCTCTGTGTAAGTATATATTGGCTAACATAAAACCAAAATTCAAAGCAGAGTGTGGTGATGCACACCTTTAATCCGAGCAATCAGGAGACTGAGGCAGGCTGATCTCTGTGAGGTTAGCCTGATCTACATAGCGAATTCCAGACCATCCACGGATACACAATGAGATCCCATGTTAAGAGGAAGAAGAAGAAGAAGAAGAAGAAGAAGAAGAAGAAGAAGAAGAAGAAGAAGAAGAAGAAGAAGAAGAATTCAAGTGTGTTTCACTCAAGCAACTCAGGTTTAGATGCTACATGTCTAAGAAGTCTTCAAACGCTCTCCTGTTCAGCCCATGACTTCTAACCCCTTCATTTTCTGACCAATTTATTTTGCTCTTGAACCTGGGTCTAAGTTTTATACTAGAGGTATCACTGTAATCCTTGTCACAGCCAAGGCCTCTCAGAACTCAGGGGAGACGATGCCATTGTGGCTGCGCTGATCCCTGAGGTTACTGGCTCGCCTTGAGTCTGATCGTAACACATGTATCCAAAACGCCCTCTGCCATCTGACTACCCAAAACCTGGCAGAGAGAAATGATACCAAGGCAAGACGGGATGCCTGTGGTTTTTATTTGTCTTGCTCTTTCTTTCTGTCTGTCTTTCTTTCTTTCTTTCTTTCTTTCTTTCTTTCTTTCTTTCTGGCTTGCTGGTGTTTTTAAAAAGCTTAGAAGAGAGAGTTCATAGACTATCCAAAGCATTGGGACTAAGATGAACACCGCCCCTGGGATGCCTTCATCCTTACTAAGATTCCTAACCATCCCTAGGAATACTGAGGCAACTGGGACCACGGCATGTAAACCAGCAATCTGGGGATGAATCACCATGGGCTCTGCTAGGTTTTAAAAGTACAATTTCTCATGTTAAGTTTGAGTTCCATGGTGCCGGCACACATAGGCTTCATGCTGAGCCTTGGTCTATGGAATAAGTAGCCACTGATGCTGCGCTTGTGACCGCTGGCTTGACATGGGACTGTGGGTGTCCCCAGGCTAGTCTTAGGCACCAAATGTGCTGTCCATGAGGAACCAATGTGCTGATCCATTGATGAACAGACAAGAAAAAACAGGAGCAATACAGATATGTGTCTATACATGCACACATGATAGTATATACATGTGTCTATAGTTGCACACATGAGAGTCACTAGCCATAGCAAGCCTGTAAATGAAGGAAGGTCCACTCAGATTTGGACTTCAGAAAAATAACTAATAATTTTAGTATTGATATGTCCTAAATACTAGAATATCTTACCATTTATTTTATCTTCTTTAATTTTTTTTCAACACAGGGTTTCTCTGTGTAACAGCCCTGGCTGTCCCGGAAGTCACTTGTAGACCAGGCTGACCTCGAACTAAAATCATTTTATTTACCTTTATTTTTATTGTATGTGTATGGGCATTTTGCCTGTATGTATCTCTGTGTACCACATGCATACAGTGACCACAGAGACCAGAAGAAGGTATCCGATCACCCGAGACTGGATTTACAGAGCCACCATGTGGGTGCTGGGACTCAAATGCCAGTCCTCTGCCAGAGCAGTTGGTGCTCTTAACCACTGAGCTACCTCTCCAGCCCCTGCATTTTATCTTCTAACCTGACATGTGTCTTGGGGTAGCGGATGGAGGTGGAGAATCCTCCTTTGCAAAGGACTTCCTTAACTTTAAAGTTTGCCTTTCCTCACTTTGGGTATTAAAATGCCTTCTTTTTAGGAAACGATTGTGGTAGTCAATAGACAAGTGTTCGGTGGAATAAAAGTTAGCAACTCGTCCTCAAGGTTGAGGATGAAGCTCAGGGGCAGAATTAGCATGTGCAGGGCCCTGGTTCCCATCCATGGTACTGAAGGGAAAGGGGCAATTAAAAGATGGTTTTCCTAGCAAACTTTTTTGAAGTCTTGTAGGTTCATGAGATACAAAAGCATAAGCTTTGCTTTGGTGCCCTCTTTGTTTGATTCCTAGGTGTCCTGGGATCACAGTTAACACAGGAGTGATGACAGTTATATCTAACTTTATGATTTATGCATTTGTCTCTAATCAGACTCGGTTTCCCCTTTCAGTCTATCTTGTGATTACGCATTATATACCTTCTTGCTAGTTATTTAAAATTCTTTCCTGGAGAGAAATATAAAAACAAATCTCAGCAATCAGTATTCATGAGCAGCAAGTGAAGCAATTATTCTAAATGAGCATGTCTGTTGGTAATCCTGTGAGCAGAGGCCATCTCCAGTGCAGGACAGGAGCTAGCTGCAAGTTCACACACACTTCTTATAGCTTTACTTCAGTCAGTCAGGTTGCCCTTGGCAACCTGTGACAAAGCAGCTTCTTTCTCACCCTCCCCTGGCTCACCTGGGGGAAGATAGGAATAGTCCAATGTGACATCACCCTCGCCACCTTTCCGCTCTCACTTTCTTGGCCAGTCCTCCCAAGACTGCTACCCCTACTGAGTTTTTCATGCTGCATCTGTAATGTTCTTTCCCTTGCACTAACGCTCTGTGCAATGGGTTCTTTCTATTCAGGCCACCATTGACCTGGTGATTGGCTATAACCCACCTTCGGCTCCACATCCCAATGACCCGAGCGGGACCAGCGTGTCAGGCATGGGTGGTAAGTTGGCCTTCCTGAAGTCCCAAGGAGAATCAGCTAACACATGCAGAGTCTCGAAAGAAACTGCCTTTTCAGTGCCCATAGCAGCCTGCCCACCAGACAGGTGCAGTTCTTTACAAAATGCCCTTCCAGTAGAGGGGAGACTGAACAGTTCCCATTGTGACCACTCTCACAGCGTCCATCCAGTACGTACAGACGGCAGCACCATTACGGAGCTGCCTCAGCTTTGTGGTTTCCGCGGGATACCGTGTACCAGGCTGTGAGATTCAAGAGCAGTTCCTCTGCTCTCCTCCATGTGCCATGGCTCCCAAAGGGGTGATTGATGGGACGTGTTCTCAACCAACCACTTGCCCTTGGACTTTCTCTGAGCCCCGATCCTCTTTCTTTCCCCAAACACTCATTCTGTCTTCTAGTCAATTGTTTCCCCAGCATAAGCCACTAGTCCTCCTGGGTCATTTTGTCATCAGATGTCACTCTGGACAGGGGCAGCCTGGGGCCTCTGGGAAGGGTTTCAAGCCTCAGGTAGAGGGAAGGTCTATAACACAATCCAGTCTTTCACAGGCTGAGTTTGACTTTTCCTTGATGTTTCCTGATGACAGTGGTACTGAAAACGAGCTCTATCCCAGTGGAATAGAAAGGATTCAGAACAAGCAGTTTATTAAACTCTCTAAGGCAGAGGGAGATTTTGTCTCTTTAGATTGGCCCTATGAGCCCAAACTACTCTGTGTACAAATATGATTTCCCCAGAGTGGTAGGCTCTGCTTCCTTAGAAGTGAGCGACCCTCACAAGGAAGACTATCTTTATCCCCTGCTGCCGCCAAGGCTCCCTTTACTGAAATTGTTTCTTTTTTTGAGGGGAGGGGTTGAGACAGGGTTTATCTCTATAGCAGTCCTGGCTGTTCTGTAACTAGCTTTGTAGACCAGGCTGGCCTTGAACTCACTGAGATGCACCTCCCTCTGGCTCCTGAGTGCTGGGATTAAAGGTTATGCCACTACCGCCTGGCCCGAGACTCTTTCTTAGTTCTTGGCATGATGTCATCTGTGGAAGCCTGGTATTCTGGTAGCACTGTAGACTGGAGAGTCTACCCAGGCCCAAGAAGCTGCGTCCTGACAGCTCAATGGCAGGCCCTGGGCAAGCACGTGCCAGGTCTCCTAAAGAGGTTCCCACAATCCTGGTCGGCCTGCTAGGCTGGTCTGAGATGGAGATGAACCAGCACTTAGGTCCCTTGGATTGGGGTTTTAAAGACCATCACTATGCGCTGTACTGCCAAAGAGCAGGTGGTACCAGGGACAACGTAAGTATAATATGACAAGATACAATGTCTTGGTTTAGAAAAGAAGAGGATTCACTCACCTGAGTGTATCTTTGTCATATAAAGTGATTCCTCACCAAGGCTGGGTCAGGGTGACATTCAGCATGCTGGCTTCATACTCACGTGGAAAGTCACTTTGAGAATATACAAAAAAGGGATGGAAGACAAAAAGAGGGAAAAGGAGTGGGGGAAGAAAACTAAGTTTTGGAAGACAAGACCACAACCGCCGGTTTCACTATTGCATACCTTAATGGCATACGCAGGACATCTGGCCCTTGCTCCCCTTAACTTATATAGATATTTTCAATTTTTTGTAACTTTAGCTTGTTATCTTTTTTGACTACAAAAGAAGTATATGCTTATTAAAATGCAAGCATCACAAAAAGGACCTCAGAAGACACAGAAATTAAAAAAAACACTCATTCCCCTAAGATTTATCTGCCAGCAGCTACTGCCAGTGACAAGTGCTGCTAAAGGCAGCTCCTCACACAGTGGCTGCTGCACACAGTGTGAAATCTTAACGACAGAACCGTGGTAAGATGGTCAGAGAACGCCCTCTGCAAGCTGAGGAAGTTGGCTTTCACAACTGACCAAGGCATTGGACTCTGCGGGAGTTCCCTTTGAAGGATGCTTTCTGTTAGGAATATTTTTTAATATGAGCTCTCTGACAATGCAAAATTCCCAAATAATCCAAATTAAGAAATATCCAGGTTTAACAGGAGATCTGCGCTCTCGGGTGGCCCCGAGGGAGAAACCAGGAAGCCGCAGGAACGTGACCCCCGGGAGGAAGAAAGGGAGACCACGTGTTCTTCTTTTGGGGGATCACTTAAGTACCCTGGGGAGTGGTCCCTGACCCCACCCCCAGGGAGGGGTCAGGACCTGGCCTGCTGGGATTTGAAGTCCAGACCAGGCCTGGGGGCTGGGACCTATGCTCCCAACCTAACACTTTCGATGAGCCCTTATGTCAAAATGACAGAGATGTAGCACGTGGGGCATTGGTGGTTGACTGGCAGTATGTTGTGTCAAAGATGTCCCCTTCACTGGCCACCTTGGAAAGATGGGCTGAGTCGGTCGGTCTACAGACTTAGCAGCCTGGAAACTTGTTACCATGGCAACTTGTCCACCTTCTGCCAGTCAGGCTGACTGAAGTGTACATTTCTGCTACCAGAATGAGCTATTTTTAAAACCGCACATCTATTTTTAAAGAACCATCTGTTAAATGTATATTTTACCCAGCTAAAGAAAAGCAAAGCTTCATTCATAGCCTGACTCCAGTAGTTCAAATTTATATCATTTCATGAACAACAAAGCGCTTTTGCTTGGAGGTAAATTTGATCAACTTCAGAAAAGCAATTACTGATACCGGTGCACGTTGCTTGCAGAGATGAGAAAGTCAGTGCTTGGCCACAAGGAGCTCACGTCAATTCAAAGATAAGATATAAATTGAGCAACAACAGCCCAGCCAAGGTGATAAATTCTTCTTCAAAAATAAACCAAACAGGGGCTGGAGAGATGGCTCAGTGGTTGAAGAGCACTGGCTGCTCTTCCAGAGGACAAGGGTTCAATTCTTAGCACCCACAAGCCAGCTCTCAGTAATCTGTAACGCCAGCTCCAGGGGATCCAGTGTCTTCTTCTGGCCTTCTCTAGATCTGCAATGAACATGGTGCACAGATGTATATGCAGACAAAATACCCACATGCACAAAAGAAAATGAAAGCCACTTTTTAAAGGAGCCAAAAAAAAAATCACTGCACATGTATCCTGTCATCTTCTATCGACAGGCCCATGAGGTAGTGTGGCCTACACTGTACTAGCAAAGGCAGATGTGTGTTTCTCTCACTAAACACTTTTCTTCAGTTGTGTGTGTGTGTGTGTGTGTGTGTGTGTGTGTGTGTGTACCAGAATCGTGTCATCAGTTTCTTGGGGCACACTTAGTGCTATTTATCCAAGAGTTGGGTGGAAGGATATTGGATATCTTACAGTAGCACACAGTTATATAACTTCTAACAACAACAGTAAAGAAAGACAAAAGAAACCCAGAAATATTGCAATTAGATATTCTGCTGCAATGTTACCCTTTTGGGCTTTGAAGCTTCCTTTTTTATGTTCTATAGTATTTTTTAGTATAATTCTTTTTAAAGATCTATTTATTTATGTATTTTATGTATATGAGTGCTTCATGAATGTCTGCATAGCTTGGTGGTGGAATTCTTGCCCAGCTTGTGCATTATCCAGGCATATTCTAAGCAATACGAAAGGTAGGAGTTGGGAAAGATGAACCAATTTGACCTTCATGGCTTATAGGGGCCCTCTCAGGTCAGGATCCAAGCAGGCTTTGTCTTAGAAATGTTGGCGCTAGCCAGGTCGCCCTAGACATCCACTTCAGGTTCGTGAGGCCAGTCGAGATGGTGTGTGCCTTTCTCAGATGGGCTGAGCTGTCTAGGGGCAGAGGGGAAGAAGTATAAAGTTGAACAAGTACGTGGGGATGATGCATGATAGAAGGAGGGCAACCACAATGTTAGATCACAGGCTCCAGCACCTAGGAGACTACAGAAGGAATCGGGGGAGTACCAGGCAGGCAGCTGGTGTGGGTGGTATGGACTGGAGCTGCCCGTGTAGAGAAGTAGCTAAGCAAACTAGGAAGAATCAAGAGATGCCTTCTCTAGCGGGTCGAGTAATGTCCCCTAGAAAGTCATGTGTATGTGAAACTTCAGAACCCATCATTTGGAAATAGTGCGTGGATGTGGTTGGTTAAGATGAAGCTGTCCTGGATTACGACAGACTCTGCATCCCATGACTGATGTCCTTAGGAGATGAAGTGAGGACACTCAGATATGCAGAGAATTGGTCACATGACTCCTGGCTGCTAAGAACCACTAGGAGCCTCTGTGTGGGAAGAGATAGGAGGACTCTTTCTCAGAGTCTTCATGTGGAGTGTGCCAGTGCCAACACCTGAGATTTCTCTTCCAGAGTCTAGGGCTGCCAGAGAACATTGTTTTAAACCATCCAGTTTGTAGATCTTTGTCAAGATAGCGCTGAGAAGATGCCATACCCATCCACTTGGCAGTTCCTAGCCTGGCATTGTGCTTTCTGGTCATGAAAGAATCAGTCATTGTGTGTGGCCCAGGGTTACATCCATGCCTGGGTCTCGTTAGTGTACCATGGCAGCATAGACACTAGCATGTTGGAAGGGAAACCGCCTGTGTAGAGGGTGTGTTCAGCAAGGCCTTAGGGTTCCCTCGTCCTTCACGGAATGCTTACTGTTGTTCAGACCTGAAGGGAGAGGTTCAAGAATCCAAAGGGAGATTGAACAAATGGGGTTGTTTTTCATCTTCTAGGCTTTCTTAGATCCCATAGAGAACCAGGATTTGAAGTTTTGACACGTGTATGTCTAGAGATCAATGTCTGACGACTTCCTCAGTTGCTCTCCATCTTGTCCTTTAAGATGGGAGACTCTCCTTGAACCTGAGGCTCACTGAATCAGCTAGGCTGGTTAACCAATGAGCTCCAGGGATTTGTATGTCTCTGACTCCCTTTGTTGAGTGTGCTATCTTCTCGCCCCTCTTTGTCTGTTAAGAAATGAAAAGCTAAAGTTTGTCAATAAGTATCAGAGATTTAGTGAATGAAAGCAAGGGCAGAGTTGGTTTTGTTTTCTTAGGGAACGGAAAGTTTGAGAGTAGTTGAAGGCAGGAGGAGGTTGGCAGTGAGAAGGGGCTCCTGGGGGTATCTTAGAGTTAGGGGACATCTCTGGGATAGGACCTCAGAGACAGCAGAGGGTGGGGACATTAACCTGCTGTGTGGGGAAAACTCTCCCGTGAATCTGTGAAGTGGCTGGGAGGTAAAGGAGGGACAGATGATTGTTGAGGGAACAGACAGAATGACAACGGGAGGACAGCGGCCACTGTGGCTGCCTGGCAGGAAAAAGGAAGTTTTCATCCACCGTGAGAGCGATCTTGGCGATCATGGCAATCATGGATTAAGAAGCCGAGCAGGAGGGATCTCAGCGTGGCTTCTGGGTCAGTCTCTAGAGGAGGACCTGCTGTGAGAGGCAGGAGGTGGAGGTTAAGGGCTACAAGTTTGGTTCTCCATGGCATTTCCTTGTCTCTCAAGCTGGCTCCTGAGACGAGAGCACACTCATTAGTCAATCCAAGGCCACAATATTCTCCCTGTGCTCTCTGCCGTTCTCCCGTCTCTTCGAAGGTAGTCCAACCAGAGGTCCTAGTACACCAGAAATGCATTTTCTTAAAGAAGCTGCGTCTAAGTCCCAGCCTGCCACTCAGAGCCACCAAAAGCATCTCCTTTTCACCTGTTACCTGGGAGACAGGTCACACTCAGGAAGCCAGGGTGCTAGACAGTTGCAGGCTAAGGACCATAGCTAACTGGACCCCCTTCTATATTTCAGAAGAAGAGGATGAAGATCAGGATGAAGACAGGGTAGATGGCATGGTCAGGGGCCCTGGACCCAAGGGGCCATCTGGGACACTGTCAGAGGCTCAGCTTGCTCGGAGGATCACCAGAGGAAAGAACAGCAGGCGGATGCTGTCCAACAAGCCGCAGGACTTCCAGGTGGGAGGGCTCTGCTGCTCTGTGTATTTGCTGTCATCCCATGGCCACTGCTGTGATGTCGTGATAGACCTATTCCTGTGGGCAGGGGCTCATCTGCTGGAAGGGATATAAGGGCATGAACCCAGAAAGGAGAGTCCTACGAACACAAAGGGTTTAGTCAAAGAAGATAAGCTGTTCAGAGGGATGTAAGGGAACCTTCCTTCCCTCTGGAAGTAGGTGGGAGCTAATTAGCAAAGAATAGCAGCTCTGTGCTTGAGTTTATCATAGTGCTCATCTTGAGTTTGTCACAGAGACACTTGACGAGCAGGCAAAGGGCTACAGTGCCAGAACCTAAGCCTTCCTTGCCCTTCCCAGTCTAGCTCTGAACCCTTTCTCCTGCTCAGCTGATCTGGGTTGAGGAACCCGTCACAGTTCCCATGTTGGAGATGTTCAGAGAATGCCCCTTCCAGACTGAGGACCTCAGTATTGTAAAAAAGTGCCTGCTTGGTTTCAGCCATCCTTATACCTGAGGATTCCTTTGCACCACACAACTGGGAGAGTCTGCTAACAGCTCTGCTTTGTGCCTGCAGATCCGAGTGAGAGTGATTGAGGGCCGACAGCTATGTGGTAACAACATAAGGCCCGTGGTGAAAGTCCACATCTGTGGTCAGACACACCGAACAAGAATCAAGAGAGGGAACAATCCATTTTTTGATGAGGTAAGTGGGCGGAGAATGTGCGGCCCTGCTTGCCCAGTCTGTCCTGTTTGTACACGCCCCCTCCTCCTGCCAATTCCACCTGGTTCACAGAGGAAAGAAACACAAGGGCTAAGGACTGGAAGGTTCAGCCCAGGACTCCAATGTAAAGCACAGAGGGAGACGTGAGAGCCGTGTGGGCTTGAAGCCGTCTAACTAGCGTCCATTGATTTCCGACTGTCATTCTCTGTTTCCCTGTGGGCCCCTCATCCTGGGGACGGAACATGTGATGTCACCTGCATCCACCCTTTCTCTTTAAGAGTACAAAATGACTCTGAAGGTTGACTGTGCCACTATGCGATTCATATTTTAAGGGGTATCAAATTTTTCTTGGCTACAAAAATAATTCACATTAAAGGAAAGCCGCACGAGCAAACAAGGCCTTTTTTTCTTTGTACTGAGAACACAGTCTGGTTCTGTTGACTTCTAGGACAACTCAGTGATGCGTAATGCCTTACCAGTCATCTCAGACACTGTAAAATCGTAACTGGGCATGGGCAGAAACGGTTTCGGAGTCTCTCAGAGGCCAGCTGTGCTATGCCGAGGAGACACAGCTCTGAGCTTCCTGGGGCGTGAGCTTCACACTCTGCTTTTGTGCCTAGGTCTTTCCTAGTCTCTCTCTGTTTCCTACAGCTTCTAATCCCAGCCCCATTCAGGCTTTGTCTTTTTTCCTATCTACATTCACAAAAAGAAACCAGTTTCTTCTCTTTGACAGCCTGTCTCTTGTCTTGTTCAGATGAGGTGGGGAACCCCATTTTCTTCAAACCTGTACTTCTTAAGTCAATGACAGATAATAGCACATGGATGCCTACAGATGCCAGTGACTTGGGGCTTTAGCCGTGAGATCTGTCTGTCAATGCTTTCAAGATGTAGGCTTTATGTTGATTGAGCTGCTATGAGGAAGGCAACAGGAGTCTCTGTCTTCCTCAGAGTTTTCACATTTATCACCTCAACCAAGTTGTTAACTCATTGTTACCAATAAAACAATGAAATGACATGTTTGTGTGTACGTGGTACCAGGCACTGAACCCAAAGTGACAAACTATCAGCATCAGATCCCCTGGACCTGAGTCACTGGCTAATATCTGAATGTGTTCTGTGTTGTTTGACAGCTATTTTTCTACAATGTGCACATCACCCCTTCTGAACTCATGGATGAGATCATCAGTATCCGGGTAAGGGGATGCTGCTGCTGGGGCAAGGGAATGCTGCTCACTGGCCACTGGATGAAGGCCATTAGCTCATCCCTCTCCTGTCTTCCAGGTTTATAATTCCCATTCCTTGAGGGCAGATTGTCTGATGGGGGAGTTTAAGGTGAGTGGCAACAACACACTTCTTTCAATTATGTAAAGGTGACAACTCTCAGAATAGAGAAACTGATTCATAGCCAAGCCTCAGGGCATACATCTTGGTGACATCTTAGGGTTCTAGGTAAAGGGCAGACACCATGATTTTTACTGCATGCTTCATGGATTTTGTCTGCCTTCAAAGTATAACGCTAATAGTTACACAACTCACCATAAGCATGGTACCTTGGTGTGTCACTGAGAGCACTTGCCAGCTCCCATCTCTGGATAGAAGCAAAGCCATTGCTACAAAGGATGTGCTTGGTGATGGCAAAAAGATTCCTAACAAGCAAGCCATACTCACCAATGGTCCCAGAGCTCCGTCTGCAAAGCCAGTGAAGTTAATGAGAAAGGAGAGTGAAGCTGGGCCAGAGAAGCTACACTTTTTCAAGTCGTTCTCCCTGGCCTGATTCTTGATCGGCGCCTCAGCCATTCTCAGAGGATGAGCTACCTTCTGAAGAAGCTCATAGGATGATCTGGGTCAGAAACACCTCTGGTCATATCCCTGCTTGTCACCTTGGTGAAATCTCTTAACCGCTCTGATCCTCAGTGACTTCATCTGTAAGATGGAGTCATCACTATGAAGATGTGGAAAGACATCATGGAACTGTCCTACCAGAGAGTAGATTAGTGCTCACATTAGGACTGACCAACCAGAGAAGAAGGAGGGTGGGACGGGAGATGGGGCCAGGTGATGTTCTGCAGGGTGACTAATGGTCCTAGTTTTCTCAGGTACTTTCAATGCTGACACTAAGAATGTCTCAGGCAAACTGGGACATGTGGGTCGCCCCGCTTTCATGGTCTCTTCCAACCCTAAATCATTTAGTCAACAATGATTCATTAAGAGTCTTCTACATCAGGCATGGAGCTGATGCAGACTGGATGAGGTGGAAATTTAGATCTTGGAAATTCAAGAGGAAGGGTACTGTATCCAAACACAATGCTGTCCATTTAACTTGCTTTCATCTTTTCCCCAGATTGATGTTGGGTTTGTGTATGATGAACCTGGTAAGTAATGTCCTCCCTATCAACCTGTATCTCAGCTCCTTCTAATTCTGATGAAAATTTTAGAGCTTAAGAAAATCTCAGAGATTGAAGAACTGTCTTTTCAATGGTGGGGATCGAGTTCAGGTCCTCATAAATGCTAGCGAAGAACTCGTCTTCCATAGAGGCATGCGGACAAGTGCATCACAGGAGCACTGTTTCTGAGATGGGGAGGGTGTTTGATGATTTTAACACTCACAGATAGGTAAATGTCTTGGTTTTGTGATGATCTCTTGATATTATTAAAATCAAGTTACAAAAGTGCTATGGAGCTTAAAGGTTCTTGCTTGAGTCACAGCGGGATAGGAGGGCGGGACTAAGATGTCGGCAGAGCGAGGACAGGAGATGTTGATAGGTGGACCTGATTGGGGACTTGAATGAAATCACAGACTTGCCAGCACATCTTCTTCTTCTTCTTTTTTTTTTTCTTTTTTCTTTTTCGAGACAGGGTTTCTCTGTGGTTTTGGAGCCTGTTTTGGAACTAGCTCTTGTAGACCAGGCTGGTCTCGAACTCACAGAGATCCGCCTGCCTCTGCCTCCCAAGTACTGGGATTAAAGGCATGCACCACCATCACCCGGCACAGCACATCTTCATAATGTCCCTGTCCTTTGTTTCTTTCCTAGGCCATGCTGTCATGAGGAAATGGCTTCTTCTCAATGACCCAGAAGATGCCAGCTCAGGTGCCAAAGGTTACATGAAAGTCAGCATGTTTGTCCTGGGAACCGGAGATGAACCCCCTGTGAGTCCTCATCCTCTACCTTCTGTTGTTGAATAGAAATTAAGCAAGTGGGCTGAGAGACAGAGCTCAGACTCCAGACTGTCACCCATGATTCCTCCAATTCTTAGAAGCTGTCTTTTTCTGGTCACCGATGATCATAGTAGCTCAGATTCCTTCTCGGTGCTTCCTAGTATTTGTGAGTGTTTCTTTTAGGGGCTAAGGGCACTGAGTCAGGGTCTTATGTAGCCCAAACTGGCCTCAGCTCTGGTTAGAGCTTTGTAGCTAAGGTTAGCTTTGAACTTCTGATCTTCCTGACTTCACTTGCTATGTGCTGGGATGTGGTGCTATGTGTGCACCAGAGTATCCAGGAATAAGTATTTAAGTTAATAAATGTATTTGTGTTTAATAACTTCTTTGTATCATTAGAAAGACCTGAATTCTTACGTACGATGGTTCCTTACCTCATCACTTCCTTCTTCCCAAAGGGTTAGTGATAGTTCTGAGAAATCAGACAACAAACTAGGAACATGAATTGGCCAGAGAGAAGTGAGAACACAGGAACACAAACACATCCTTAAAATGGGTTTTCATGGGACTACAGAAGGATGCAGATGTATTGAAGCATTGATGTTGTAGAGATTTTGAGGCTGAAAAAAAATCAGTGGGTGAACCTTTAAGCTCCAAACATTAAAGATCATAATGGGGGCAGTTCTTGGCATCAATAGCTTGATTTCTTTTGGAAATGCTTTTTTTTATCGGTGCGATTTTAACCACGTATCTCTGATAGCCCGAGAAACGAGATCGTGATAATGACAGCGATGACGTGGAGAGCAACTTGTTACTTCCAGCTGGGGTAGCCCTCCGGTGGGTAACCTTCTTGCTGAAGATCTACCGAGCAGAGGACATCCCCCAGAGTATGTACTGCCCTAGTCATGCGTGGGGCTTTCAGAAGTCTTTGAGATGGTACATGTCGGACTCACTCCGAATGTTGATGGATACTACTTCCATGGGTTCCCCCTGAAAGGCCTTCCTAGATTTACTTCCACTTATCCCCCTACTTCCTGGATGCTTTCTGAGTAGCTGCTGGGAAGCCGTTGCTCATCCATCTTCCTTCTTGAACACCTGCCTTTGACCCATTCTGCTTGGTCCTTTCTTTCTTCTATGTTCAGTCTCCGTCTAGAGACTGATAAAGAGAGGTGAGCAGTAGCGCTTTCAACCTCCTTTTTTTTTTAACATTACATTTAGAGTGTGAGTGTGTGTTTGTGCATGTGTGTGTGTGTGCGTGCGAGAGAGAGAGAGAGAGAGAGAGAGAGAGAGAGAGAGAACACAGGAAGTCAGAGGACAGCTTGTGGGAGTCTCTTCTCTCCTCTCATCATGTGGGTCTTGTAAGCAAGGGTGCAGTGAAGCCACTGAACTGGACCAAATTGGTAGAATTTGGTAGAAAGAAGGGTTTATTGGGGACCAAATTGCCAAGCTTTCTCTTGGGGGCCAGAGAGCAGCAGGATGGTGTCTTTAAGCTGATACAGGTTGCTCAGATTGACCCGGAACTAGATGCCTTTGCCTGAAGGTGATCTTTGAAGGTGGACTAAGGGAGGTTCCTGGTAAAGGTATGTTTAGGACACTGTCACCAGAACTGCCATTTTGGGGGTCTTATTTGGACCTAACAGATCATAGGGACTGAATTCAGATTGTAGAGCTTGGTAGAAAGTGCCTTTTCCTACTGAAACATATAACTGGCCCCTATTAACCTCTGTTTGTCCTAAAGAAAATGTTAAAGTTTTATATCAAAAAATGTGTTTATTATTGGACGATTAAATATAGCTGAGCAGGGGCTGGGATGATGCCCAGTGGGTAAAAATGACACTCTTCAAGCTTGAGGATCTGATTTCAGATCGCCAGAACCCAGGTAAAAGCTGAATGTGGTGGCTTGTATGGGCTTAGTGCCCCTAAAACCAGATGAGATGCCAAGACCCCTGAAGCTGGGCACGCCACTAACCTGGCATGCATAGTATAGTAGCAAACAACTCAAGAAAGAGCCTGCCTCAAAAACAAGTCAGCAGATAGAGCTAGACACCCAAGGTTGTCCTCTGACTTCCACGTGTAAGTCATGTTATGCATGTACCCTCATGTACAAAGCATGTACGCATACATCATAGGCACATATGTGCACGAAACAAGTGAAAAATATTTTAAGAGGTGTAGAGCAAAGTATAGTCAAGTCTCAATAGCTGTATATGTCTCTATTGTATTATGAGACATATTTAGTGAGAGGCTGAACACTTGACAGCAAATGTCTTACAGCGATTCCTCTGGAAGGGACCAAGCCTGACTAATCATTTCTGCCTCCTCTGCTGGGCTCTGGGGCACAGGACTCTTTCCCAAGTCCCCAGGTAGCAGCACAGACCCCTGACGTCTTCAGGATTTCCTTCTTTTCCTCGGAAGTCTTCCCTCCTTTCAAAGATTCTAGAATGTTCCCATACTATCTTTCGCTCAGAAATATCTCCAGTCTATTAAATTTAGCTTCATATCATTCTTCCTACACTGGCCAATCAATTGATTTCTGTCCAGTTTGGGGTTTGAGGAAACAGAGGCACTCACATGTGCAGTGTGTCGACACGTGAGAACTACACTGCTTAGGAGTATATTGACTTTTCTTACATTTCTCTAAAATGTTCTATTGGGCCTTGATACGCATTCTCCAAATTGGACAAAGGCCTGAATTGGCTCTTACCCTAACCAAATTGATATCTGGAATCTTCTTCCTTCTATGAATGATTAGTTCCTTTTAACATAGGAATTTATCAGTTTATTTCTCAAGGCACTCTTGATTATTTTAAGACTTTGCAGGGAGAAAAGAGTTCTTTCCTTCCCTCACTCCCACTCCCCTCCCCCACTCTCACCAGAAAAGAGAATTTCTGCTGCTCCCTTGCCACCTCTTCTTAAATCTCTTTCAATGTGTTGTTTAATTTCATTGTTTTAAGAGAGTAGGTTTGATTTTTGCCGTGTGATTTTCCCTTTCCAGTGGACGATGCCTTCTCACAGACGGTGAAGGAAATATTTGGTGGCACCGCAGATAAGAAAAATCTCGTGGACCCGTTCGTAGAAGTCTCCTTTGCTGGGAAAAAGGTTTGTATGTGATCTAAATGTGTGTATCTCTTAGAACAGACATTTAAAGTGCCATGACTTCTTTGGGGGTGAATCCTAGTGGGCCACCCTGCAGAGAGACTGGTTATTTGGATCTGGTTATGCCACATTTCCCCCATGACATTATTTTGGAAGTGAAAAGTATACAGGACTCAAATTAGAAAATTCTGCCTTTCAAAGACTGTAATCGTGAGACTGCCACTGCACTGTTTCTGTTATTTCTCAGGTTTAACTATTCCTTTAATCTTGGGCAAAATCCTCGTCAGCTGTCCATCATTCTGCCGCTGTGATGAAACACTCTGTCTAGAGCACCTTAGTGGAGGAAAGGGTTTGTTTCCCTTTCCAGATCAGCACCCATCATTAGGGCAGTCAGACAGGGATTGAAACAGGAACTGGAAACAGAAGCCACAAAGGAAGACTGCTTACCTGCTCAGTCTCTGGTTCCCAGGTTCATGTTTAGCTAGATTTCTTACACAGCCCGGGACCACCTGCTTAGGGAATGGTGCTGCCCACAGTGGACCCAGTCATCCTTCATCATTAGGATAGCTGTGGGGGACTAGTTTTATGTAGATTTGACTATGAGAACAAAGGTTTAGCTGAGTCAATGCTTTCACACCAGGGCACCATGGTGTGAGAAAAGGAATACAGTTGCCCATATGGAAGAAGTTATCTCAACAAATGATTTATTTATTTACTGCTGGGATATTATGGAAGGTAGAAATGTCATGATATCACAAGCTTTCTTCAGAATTGACAATGACTATCCAAAAGACAAGTGCTTCCAAAGCTCTGCAAGTCAGGTTCTCCATGTGGAATGTAATACACTCCGGTGGATCTCACCGTCTATGGGTCTGTCAGCTGAACTTTTGCTGTATAGTCTTGTGAACTTGTGACAGTACAAAGCCCTGGTGTAGTCCCTGTCACCAAGACAAAAGGGAGGGGTTGGGAGAGAGAAAAACAGAGAGGGAGGAGGAGAGGAAAGAGAAGGAGGAAGAGGAAAGAGGAGGAAGGAAGGAAGAAAGGAAGAAAGGAAGGAAGGAAGGGACAGAGAAACGATGTATAGGTTACTAAATGTATAACTAATAAGTAGACTGCTAAAGTCACAATCATGGACATACACATGCCAAACTGTAGTAGTTGGAAATGTGACTACCTACTGTTTTTCTTTGGTGATTTTGCAGGTTTGCACAAATATAATTGAGAAAAATGCAAACCCCGAATGGAATCAAATTGTCAATCTTCAGATCAAGGTTTGACTTTCTTTTCTTCCATAAAAACTAAGAATATTGACTCCATTAGTTAGTAAATAAGTGGAGAAATAATTGCCTTTTTCTCTTTCACTTTAACAGTTTCCCTCCATGTGTGAAAAAATAAAACTGACAGTATATGACTGGTGAGTTGAAATGGATTCAGCATGAAGGAGCTAAACATTTGGGGACTGAGAGCATTGCTTTAGGTGACTTAACTCTCACCTTTTGGTGTATTTGCTATTCTTCCACAAGAAACCTGAACCTGGAACTGGTGGCAGGGAGTTCTTTAAAAACATAATAAAACAACAAGAACAACAATAATAATAGTAATAATAATACTAATAATAGAAAAGGCTTTTCAGAAAAGTTTTGGATATCTTAGTTCAGTTGTTCATAACAAAATAAGGGAGGTAGTTATCCAAAAATACCCAAAGTAAGAAATTAAGGAATTTTTATTCCATCTGGCTTTCCAAAATAGATTTCAGCAAGAGAGTAAATCAATATGTAGGAAGAATCACCAAACTGTCTGAAAATAATTTTTTTGTTATTCTAAGAAAGGAAAATTGATAAAGTTGCATTCCCAAAGGCAAATTTTTTTTTATTAAGTCGAGCTTGGTAGTATGTGTCTGTGATCCCAGAATTCAGAAGACTGGGGGGTATTGTGAGTTCTAGGTCATCCTGGGCTACATAGTAAGACCAGGGCTCAAGAAAAGACAGGAAAGGGGAGAGGGGAAGGAGAAAGGAGGGAGTTTATTGAAGTATTCTTCCTAGACTAGCTTCTTAGAACCAATTGTCCATCATAAGACTGTTGAGGAGGCTACTTGTTGGTTTCCTAGCTACCCAGACTCCCAAAATAATCACACAGAATCTGTATTAACTGCAAAACTGTTTGGCCAATAGCTTAAGCATATTTCTAGCTAGCTCTTACATTTTTAGTGAAACGAACAAGCAGCCTCCCCCAACATAAGACCACTTATAGAATGTTCTTGTTGAATGGAGTGTTCAAATGATTGTCCCTTAGCCCTCTGAGGAAGAAGCATGGGCAAACGTCATCATCATCTCCATGGTGACTCTGGGGGAGGGGGACAGGGACCACTCTCAGCTTCACTTCACAGTAAGAACATTGAAGTCCAGAGAGGTCAGGTGGCTTGCCCACAGACACTTGATGATTATGGACAAAGTTGAGCTCACATATTGCCTGGTGACCCCATGTTTCTCCTTTGGTCAAATGAATCTGACTTTCATGTTCAGGCCATACTGGTCCCACAGCAAGATGGCATGCCAGGTGGAGGAGCACTTGTTTTATGACCACATCATAACTGGGAGCTGCAGCTGAGATCTGAGGACAATGTTCCTTCTTAAATCTAAAGTTTCAAGGCATTGGGGATCCTCAGGTCATAGACCATAGGAGATCCCAGGGCCAAAGTGACCCTTGGGAGTATAGAGTTAGACGCTACATGGTTTTGGCATCCACTCTGGCCTATTGATCCTAGAGTTGGGTGAGGTAGGTTGAACCATCCCAGTGTTACCTGTGGTCTCTGTGAATGTGGGCATCCCTGTCTCCTGCCCCCTCCAAAAATGAGTATACACGAAAGGCCCCCAGTTTCACTGAGGAACACTTGGACCCAAGTCTGGGATTGCATATACTAAAGGGTATTTGAAGAACTAAGGTAAGGGTCAGGATTCTGTAGCCATCTGAACAGACAGAAAAGATTCAAACCTTGTGTTTGTGATATTATAGGTGGATATAATATTTTTCTAATAAATTACTTGAATTGGTTATTTCCTTTAAGATATTATTCTATGATCTTTTCCCCAAAACACTGAGCCTTAGGCTTCAGAATGGACGTGCTCTAGATGGCTAATGGAAAAAGGAATGGAACAGACCAATGTTCATGTACATGCCAAACCGAAGGCCTCTCTAGGATGCCTACAGAAGGGCACGCATTGACATTTGTACTTGTAGTGAATATTGTCAAAACTTTCCCCACAGTTTAGGTAAAATTTAAGTTTTAGTCAAGCAGCTGTGCTCCGAGAAACAGCATTTGTCATATAGTAGGCGTTCAATACATACTTGAATTTAATTAGAAGAGACTTTTTCTCTCTTTGATAGATCCCTAGATACAGCCTATTATACTTACTAAGCCGTTTAAGTCACCATAAAAATTGCTGTGGACATAGTAAGGCATAGCTGACTAGTTTACACACCATAATTACAGTCCACTCATGAACCCATAATGTAACATCATATAAACTCAAGTGTGGCCATTTGAAAACCCTTTGACTTTTCTGTGAATCTCAGCTTCATGACAGCAGAATGAACGGTCCAACTGGACCAGGGTTTCTAGAGTGGCTGGAGAGTCATCTAGACTCGCTGGCTGTGTATACCTTCATGGACACTAGCCCAGGTTTCCTGAATTGAACTTGAACAGATGAGGGTGGGAACTTTCCACACAGTCCTTAAGTACAGTAAAGACTGAGGCCACTGGACAGGATCCTTCTAACTCTTCCGTTAAGATTATTGAAATGACCCAGGTGGTAGCAGTGGCACAGACTTTTAGTGCCAGCACTCAAGAGGCAGGTGGATTTCTGTGAGTTTGAGGCCAGCCAGGTCCCCAAAGTTAGTTCCAGGACAAGCCAGAGCTGTTACACAGAGAAACCCTGTCTCGCCAAAACTGAAACAATAACCACCAAGATGATTGAAATAAAGGTATAACTTTACAGGCAGAAGGTGTAACATCTTGTTTTGCACAGGGACCGGCTTACCAAAAATGATGTCGTTGGGACAACGTACCTATACCTCTCTAAAATTGCCGCCTCTGGGGGAGAAGTAGAAGGTAAGTCCCTTGAGGGTCAGAACAAGACTGGACTCAAAGCCTCTAGGAAAGAAGGGGCCGAGGTGCTCCAGCAGTGACGTTTGGTCAGTAGTAGTGCTTACACAGAAAGCATGAACTGAGGTGATCACCTAGAAACAGAATTGATGTCTTAAAAGGCAGGTATGTTTGGGCACAGGACTGTGTGACTCCAGTTGCAGAGGAGACTAAGACAGAAGAATCACATGCTCAGGATCTGCCTGAGCTACAAGGAAGTTTCCCTCTAGCCTAGGCTACTAACACGACCCTGTGTCAAAACAGAAATGAAAGGACTGGCCATGTAGCTAACCAGCAGAGTGTATACCTAGAGAATACAAAGCTCTGGACTCAATCCTTAGCATCCCCACCCCCAGACAACTCCCCCCATATACACACGGAAGCCCAGTGAGTCCAGTGAGTCATGACAGTTTATGTTTTGGTGATAAACAGCAAAATAATTAATGATGGAAGCAAAGAACAATGTAAAACTGTTTAGCTCTCTTGCTCCCATCCAAACCCTTTTTGCCAGGAGCTGTTTTAGAATTGTCTTGCTTGTCAGTATAGTGCCCACACATCGCTGTGCCTGTTGTTACGGTTTGGTGCATATCCAGGGAAGTACTTAGATAAGAGGAAAAATTAATGTCAGCACATTAATGCCTGCAGCTCGAGTTTTCCAGGGGCCAGTAGATTAAACATGTTGAGGAAAGTGAGGTAATTTGGAATAAGATTTTTGTCTTGAGAAGCTGAAGTTTCCTTTTATCCTAATTTTAAGAAGAGCATCAGTATGGGGGTGGGGAAATGGCTCAGTGTTAAGAACATTCACTGCTGGCATGGGACCCAAGTTTGGTTCTCAGTACCTTCAAGGTGGCTACAACCGTCAGTCACTCCAGTTCCAGGGGCTCTGGTGCCCTTTTCAGGCCTCTGTAGGCACTGTACATGCATGATCCACATATACACATGCAGGCAAAACACATAGAATAGCAAGTAAATCGTATCAATCCTAACCAATGTCAAGAACCTGGAAGGTTCTAAAGATAGGATTTTAAAAAGGCACTGGTTCCAGATCTTGAGATGTTAAAAAGAAAGACAATTATAAATCTCAGGGGAGACGAACAGAAATGCATGGTTCACATATAAAGTCACATGTAGCACTATTTTAAGCAAACAGTTAAAAGTCAGAATGAGATTGCACCTGCACGTTCTCTGCTGGAGGGATCCCAAGACTGAAGCTTCAGCAAAGAAAATGGAACGGTAGCCCCTTTCTCTGCAGAAAAGAAAAATGGATTAAGATAATAATTTATTTTATTTCTTTTAAGCCCACAGCCCTAACTCCAAACAGAGCATAAGGGCCATCACCCTTCTCAAATGTAAAACACAAGCACAGAACATAGAGATGAAAAGTGAACCGAGGAAGGGCAGGCGTGCTCCGAGGCTCTTTGTGTGGAGTGGGCATTATAGATGCACCCACTATAGGTTAAAAACAAATCAGTAGAGGCTCAAAAGGGGCTGCATCTGTAGAGAGGATGGGCAAAAGCAACCCAATCCATTTATTAAGTAAGGAGTCATTAAATACTATCTCAAGGTAGTGGTTCAAGAAATACCCATAAAAGTATTTTACTTCATGATAGAATCAGAACCAAACCCAGACATTGTTAGAGGCAGTTTCAACCCCTTTCTCAGAGAATTTCTGCCATTACAGGTCCTACAGATAGCCTGGTTCAGGGTCTGAGAACGACAAGGAGCTGTCTCCCCCAACCCTGTGCCTCCCCTCACCCCCCACTCCGTGTACATAAAGAAACAAACAATGCTTTGCATCACATAATCCAGGGCTAACTACAGGTGTTTGCTTATATCACCTCAAACCAAATTAACTTGCATTTTCTGGCCATAGGCCCAGCTAAAGACATGTAAATGTTGTTTGTATTAAAAGCATGCCCTGTTGTTAACTTCACCCGCTTCCTACGGTCATGGGAACCCAGGTCTTCTCAAATGCCAGCTCCTTGGCGCTGGTGAATTTGGGTTATTCACATGTGCTGGCTCTACCACTTGTGACAAAGCTTTTCACCCAGTTGACATTTAACTGGTAAGACAAGGACGATGAATCAAAAGGCTCATGGGATTTGGAGGTGAACTGGGGATTCCCTGCTGTTGCTAAGCTGCTTACTCAGCACAGAATACGATTAACTTTGCGATGTGTGTTTTTATACTGTCCATGTTTCTCTTGTTTTTAACCAATCATATTTTTACTACATAGATCTCTCCTCTTCGGGAACTGGGGCTGCATCATATACAGGTTTACGCTTTGTAATTTTGCTGTCTTCTAGAGCTTTCTATCTACTGCCATCTTACTGAGAGTATTTTGATTGACTGCTTGCCTTAGAACCTTCTCTTTGGTGTTTCACTGTCTCAAATGCAGTTTTGCTAGAGTTAGGATGTTTCATGAGTTGTGTGTGCTTGTCCTGCATGACTAAAAATTGAAAATCAATTTGATAGGCAGCCTTCCTGCCATGTTTCATCTTTCACCCTGATACACACCATTCTGTGTGGCTTTACTGCAAATAATTGTTTGGAGGTATAATGCTTTCTGTGATTGCTTATGCTCAATGGGTAGAGATGTGGGGCGCTACTAAGTCAACACTTCTGATAACATGGGAAGTACCTCCGCCCACCTTTGATGTCAGTCTCTAGGCTGGAAGATGAGAGTATTTTCCACTTCTCATGCCTCCCCAGTAGGAGATATCGTAACACGTCTTTGGATTGTGCAGAACTCACCATTTTTTGCAAGTTTGCTGATTATTGGCCATCACAGTCCTCTTCTTTTTTGTTTGTTTGTTTTTGTTTTTGTTTTTGTTTTTGTTTTTCAAGACAGGGTTTCTCTGTGGCTTTGGAGCCTGTCCTGGAACTAACTCTTGTAGACCAGGCTGGTCTCAAACTCACAGAGATCCGCCTGCCTCTGCCTCCCGAGTGCTGGGATTAAAGGCGTGCGCCACCACCGCCCGGCTCCATCACAGTCCTCTTAAGGCAGATGTCATTGTTCCTCCAATGGATGAGGATTCTGAGTTAGAGAAGCAGTGGCTTTAGCAACTGTCGAGTACGAATGTTTTCTCTGAGATGCTCTGTTTCAGTCCTTTATTCCTAACCAACACTCTGGCCCTCTCCACCACTGAATGTTAAAGACATAAAATCAAACTAACGAACCAAATTTGATCTCCATGTATTGCCCAAGAATGCTTCTAACTCTGCTTTTTGGAGAAAAAAATCCACTGCTCTTCCACTTGGGAGCCTTCAGGCTGTTGACAGAAGCGCTTGTCTTCCCCGTGGTCACCCATGATTACCTCTGGATTTGACTGTTTCCTTATGTGGCCTTCATAATCTTTATTGAGGGGTAATCTTGCTGAGTCCAGGTAGCAGAGACAGAGTTTATCCAAGTAGCAGAGACAGAGTCAATGAATGGCAACCTGCTTAACACTTCGGAACACCATATGGTCTTAGAACATAAGGAACTCAATCGAGACATTTAAGATTTTCAGTGTACTTTTAACACCACCTACCATACTCCTTGAGGTTAAGTGACATCTTTATGGGTGGCAGAAGTAAATCTGGCACATCATTTAAATGCCTTCTTAAAACAATATCATCTTTTACTCCAAATATGACAAAATATTTCATGTCAGTTGTAAACTTGCAAAAAATGTGAAGATCGATCTATGATTCTTTCATTTAAATAGCATTATTTTGTAAGGATAGGTTTTCTAAATTATCCCTTTTTTTTGTCTAACATCTTAAAGCAATAGTAAAATGGAAATATGGCAGGTCCCACGGTATTTATAATTTTCACTAATATAACTAATTCACAAACTAGAGAAAAACTTCATCTCACCTAACTGACTACTAACTAACTTTTATTTCCACAGTGTGAAGTGTGAAAGACCTGAAATCTAATAGTGATGTTTATGTCTCAGCAAACACAGGAGAGACAGAGGTGGGCTTTGTCCCCACATTTGGGCCGTGTTATCTGAACCTTTACGGAAGCCCCAGAGAGTACACAGGATTCCCAGATCCCTACGATGAACTGAATACAGGGAAGGTTAGTTTCTCAATGAAGGGTGTGGTTAACGGATGCTGGTTAATGGGGTTTCTTCTTAGAATAGCAATAAACATCTCAAGTAGGGGCACTAACATTCCCCACCCCTAACTCACACCTACCATCCAGCTGATAAAGTGTTAACAGAGAGAAGAAGTCGTGAACTTCTTAAAGACTTAGAATTAAAGGTTTCCGGAAGGTCGGGCACGGCAGTCCACACCTTTAATCCCAGAACGCAGGAGGCAGAGGCAGGTGGATCTCTGTGATCTTGATGCCAGCCTGGTCTATATAATGAGTTCTAGGCCAACCAAAGTGACATAGCAAGACTCTGTCCTAAAAAAAATAAAGAAAAGGCAGATTCTGGCAACCAAGTAATCAAGTAATGGGGTAAGTGGCATATCCATGTCTGTCCAGTCTTCGACTTGACATTGATGGAAACATCAGGAGCCAATGCTGGCCTTCCTAGGAAGACCCTGCAAGGCTTCGTTCCCAAGCATGTTCCAGGACTGGCAGTGGTATGACTGCGGAGACACCACGCTGTCCTTGATCTCCATTTCACTGACGGGAAACTCTCTTTGGATCACAGTAGATGCGGTCAAATGTCTTTTGATTATCCCCCAAAACTCAAAGAAACAAACAAAAAAAGCTTTATAAATGATCCTGGGAAGGGAACAGTGGGGACAGTGAGGAATTGGGAGCCTTTCATTTCCCTCCAGCAGATTCTATCAACAACACTGTTGAGTGTGGTGGGAGGAGTAGCCACCCTTGACTCGTATTTGTCACACCCGGAGCATCTTTTGTTTCTCGGCCACTCTGAGACTTGGCTGGTTGCCGCACAGCACTTTCTTTACTATGAGAAGTGGAGAGAAAGATCCAAATTAATAAATGGAAATGCAGGGCTATTCTGATAAACTAAGATGGAGGAGACTTTGAGCCTAGACTCCTCACCATCCTGCTTGAAGAACTCCCTCCAGACTCAGAGCATGGCTTCAGGACCACTGGCCTTGGTCAAGATAAGACCTTTTCTGCCCTAGTATCTCATGGCATCATTTGGAATCCACCTGAAAGTAAATGGCTCTTCTTTCAGATAGTAAAGTCTTAGGTTAGTAGGAATTGCTAGCTGATTCACTAGAGAGGTTGGGACCATGAAGATAGCACCACACACACACACACACACACACACACACACACACACAGAGAGAGAGAGAGAGAGAGAGAGAGAGAGAGAGAGAGAGAGAGAGAGAGACCGCCTATGGGGATAATCCTGTGTTCTTGCCTTCCAGGGAGAAGGTGTAGCCTACAGAGGAAGGATCTTGGTTGAACTGACCACTTTCCTTGAAAAGAAACCACCAGAAAAGAAGCTTGAGCCTATTTCAAATGATGACCTTCTGGTTGTTGAGGTAAATGTTAGTGTGAACGTTGCATGGGATGGAAGGGATTGAGGGCACCAAGGGTTATCTATAGGAGAATTGGAGAAAGACCGGCTTCGTAGTCAGTCCCCTCAACATTCGCTCATGTATCTATGACAATCATATGAAGGTAATGAGGCTTGCTTCAGCCACCAAGATGTTAATAGGTGTATTGGCCTTTGGCACTCTGACCAAAATTGCTGGACACTTAGTTTCAGGGCAGAAGGACTCATTTTTGGCTCACTGTTTCTAAAGGTTTGGCCCATGTATAGTCCCATGCAAACTGAACAGAACAGCATCAGGGAAGGAGTGTGTGGTTAAGGGGTTTCTTCACTGTGGAAGGCAGCAGAAAGGGGAGGGGGGCAGAGAAAGAGGCCAGGATCTTACAGTCCCTGTGATCTGCTTTCTCTACCTCCTACTGTCACCAACTCCCAATTATGTCATCATGATATAAATTCAGCAAGGGATAATTGTAGTTTTTCTGCACAAGAGGAAACTTGGTGGGTGAGCAAGAGACAAATGCGCCATGCAGACAGAGCTTAAGTGGGGAGTTTATTGAGAGAAGGGGAAAGTGGGGAGAGAGAGAGGGGAAGAGAGAGACGCAGAGAGGAAGCCTTGAACACTTCTTTATCTCAAGTTCTCATAAGATCTCAGCTAAGCCAAGGCAGTTTCCTTCCTTGAAGTAAATTAATGTCGCCCTCTTTAAACTCTGCCCCCTTTTAGGGTGACTGACAGGGCGAACGTCTACTCATTTTAGCGGAGGCTTTTCCGTTTCCCCTACACTCTGTGGCCTTGTTTGCACCAGCTTCACCTCCCGCACTAGGACAATGAAGTCCAGCTAGTATCTAAAGCAGGACTGATGGACTTTTCCATTGGACGCGTTTGGAACGTCTGCACCAGGTGCATTCCTTTCACTCCATCAAGAGCATAGGCTAATGCTCCCCCGTTCTTCCTGGGGGTTGCCTTTCCCTTTCCCCCCCTCACTTACCCCTTATTTATCCTTTGTGGGAGGCAAGCCACAGGGCACAACTCTACACAGGAAAAGAAGTATTTCTCCCCACAAGTTAGCAAAGATCACAGCCTTTCTTCTCTCTTGGAAGTTTATGTTACCATATAGAACAATCAGTTTAGGTGATATAAATAGCAAAAGAACCACAGTAGCCATTTGCTTTTAAATGCAGTTAAGGACGCACCCATGAAAATTTCCAAAAAGAAGGCTAGATGATCTGCCTCGGATGTAAGTTCATATGTCTGTCTCTAGAATCAGGAATTCCTTACAGCTCTTCTTGCACAAGCATGGAGACTAGAGGCCGGTGATGACAAAGAAGATTCATGACATGAAATCTACTCATCTTGCCATCTTTGATCTGTTTGGGCCAACAACTAGTTGAGATTGCCTGGCTATCGCAAGAACGTCTCTCAGCCTATAGTCTCGTAGAAAGAGACAGGAAAATCAAGAATGACACAAGAATAATTGTGTTTGATTATATTTAGTAAATAAAAAGGATCTTAGTGTTTTTTTTTAAGTGTTTTTGAATCAGTTGTCTGGGTATCTCTGTAAATCCATGGCCAAACGTTTGACTCATACAACTCCCTGGTGGAGTATTTGCCTACCATTTGTAAGGTTCTAATTACCTGGGCTTAGAATTGTATCTGCCGGAAATCCACATATATACACAGACAAATGAAATGCTACTGAACCTTGTACCTACCCTTATTTGATAGAAATACCAGCGAAGGCGGAAGTACAGCCTGTCCGCCGTGTTCCATTCAGCCACCATGTTGCAAGATGTCGGCGAGGCCATTCAGTTTGAAGTCAGCATCGGGAACTATGGCAACAAGTTTGATGCAACCTGTAAACCTTTGGCATCAACGACTCAATACAGCCGTGCAGTATTTGATGGTAAGACTGGCGCTAAGTGTTCTCTCTTATTTATTCTTGCTTACAGTGGATATCTCTCAGGACAAGAAGCCTGTACTGTACCTTCCCTCTGGTGGTCATCATGCCCAACATCTCGTTAGCTAATATAATGAGGCGATTGGAGTTTAGGAATCCACAAGAGTGGCCAGACTTGGGGGCCACTGAGATGGCTCCATGGGTGAAGGAGAGTGTCACCAAGCCAGACGACCTGAGCTCAGCCCTCAGAACCCATATGTTGGAAAGAGAAAACTGTTTCCTACAAGTTGTTCTCTCATTGCCCACTCACGTGCACGCCCCATTACATGGGCGTGCTAGCACACAGGCAGAAAGGGAAAGGGGGTGGCTGGACCCAGGTCCCATTTCCCAGGAGCTGAATCCCAGGTTCCTGATCCTATTCCCTAGCTGGACACCAGAGCTCATAAAATCCCAAGATGGTGACCCCACTAAATGCCCTATTCCCTCGAGCAGCTGTACCCCATCAAGACCTTATCTCCCTTAGATTCAGTAGATGACGTGAATTGCAGTCTGGCTCAGATGCCAGGAGAGCCAGACTTCTGATCCTCGCTGTTACTCACCCAGTCCCATCACCTCGTTTTTTTTTTTCTAAAAGATTCTGTTTTTCTTTTTAATTATATGTTTGTGTGTATGGATCTGTGCACATAAACAGTCCAACAATAATGCTATATTTTACCTACATTGTTGAACAGGACAATTTAAAACATAAAATGCCCTTAAAATACCAAATACTTAGTCCTAATTACAGAAAGCTTCCGAGTATTGCCAACCCCACGCAGGCAGCCGAGGTTTGCAAAGAACAGGGCTTGGGGTGGGGTGCTTGCTCCTCTTCCAGCAAAAACAATAATTTAAAAGAACAGTTTTCATGAGGAAACGGTGACCCTAACCCCCAGTGAGCTTTACTCTTATTGCAATGCATATGACGTAACCATCGTGGATGTCCAGCTGTGTGATCCTGAGATTACTGTCCCCAGTTTGCTGGTTATTTTAGAGAGATTTACAAAAGCAGATGAACGAACCACCTTTTTTCCTGTTGCTCAACAGAATAAAAATGATGAATCTGAATAGTGCCTGGGTGTGGCTCAGTAATAGAGAAGTTCCCTAGCTTGTGTGAGGCCCTGGGTTTAATCTCCAACACCCAGAACAACAAACAAACAAGACCATTCCCCCAGCGCATGGAGTAGCTCTGACAGCACGCCTATTTAATACGTATATTGCCCACTTCAAGTGTCCCGTGCTTACTGACCTCTGATTCTCCGTACCAGGGAACTACTATTACTACTTACCGTGGGCCCAAACGAAGCCGGTGGTCACCCTGACTTCCTATTGGGAGGATATTAGTCATCGCCTGGATGCAGTGAACACTCTCCTAGTCATGGCAGAGCGGCTGGTGAGTTATCCGTCCTGCACTTCCTTTCACCAAACCGGAAGTTAAGCACCAGTTAGTGCATAAGCTTGGCCATTGTAGCACAAGGTCTTAAGAGACAATGGTGGACAAGAGGAATTTCTGACTAAGAGCTGAGGGAAATGGTCTGGAGCTAGCAGAAGTTCATTGGTGCTGTGCCCAGGCTCTCCCCCCCCCCCCCCCCATGCTGTACTCTTCACTGAGAAATTACCTCAGTCCATCCCATAGAGACAGCTCACCACAAACATCCACCCTCCGGCCTAAGGGGTGGGGAAAAAGTGAGGGGATGACAAGGACCTCTTACTAGGAAACACCCAGAGGTCAGACACTTGATTCCCGCTCACTTTCCATTGGCCAGAATCCAGTCATATAGCCATATCTAACCACAAGGAAGTGTGGTCTTAGGCTTGTGCGAGCACATGCCAGGATACAGGTTCTCTTCCTGAGAAAGACAGGAGGATGCGAAAGGCCAGAGGCCAGAGGAGAGGGGCTCAGGTGTTGTCTGATTTGTAGATGAAGGGTGCTTTGTTCTTATTGCTATGTGCACCCTGTGCGACTTTGCTGTGATCACAGTGATAATTTCTGCCACGGGAAGAGCCAGGCCTGCATTCTCTGCTCTTGCTTCAGAATGGAGGAATGTTCTGTCTTTGAAGATCGTGACAGGGGGTTCCCTCTGGTAGAACTCCATTATAGTATCTGCATGATTTCACCTTCTTGACACTGATCCACTACAGTAGTGAGGAGAACGTGGTGCATTTGAGACAGGTCTACTCAATTTAAAGATCCTAACTTGCATCTGTTGGGTATGGATAAAATCCACCTGGCATCAGTGCTTTTACTTCAAAATTATGTAATTTAGGGTATAAGAAAAAAGGTGTTTGAAGATAATATATGTCATATGTATGAAAATATCACAGTGAGTGATCTCATTAATATGTGATTAAAATATCTTAATGACAAAATGATTTTAATTTATATTAAATTTATAAGTCCTTATTTTATAAGGACTAGACCAAGATATATGAGAAAATAACCTGATCAAAGACTTCATAGCAAATTTAAAAATACTGCTTTTTGTTATAAAGGCAATATGAGTCCTTTTCCTACATCTTTCTATGCCACCAAAGGTACGTGTGAGTGTCCTGGCTGATGCTCCCAAGAGCAGCAACAATGTTGAGAGAGGCTAGGGCTGGGTCAGTATAGGGTCCCCAGTCATAGTCCAGTTTCTGTCTGTGATGAGGAAACACAGTTACCCTGGGGAATTGGAGATCACTGAAGACTGCAGAGCTGGGAAGGTTGTCCTGAACTTCACCGGCAGTGAGTGGTCAGGAGCATGGATCAGTCAGCCCCAGATTTCATGCGCAGCTCCACGACCCTGAACGGAAGCAGAATAGTTTGTTCCCATCCCATTGCTCGGGTTTCATTTTGCCGACAGCCCCAGGGAGCATCACGGACCCTGGAGAAGTAAACATGCTTACGAATATGGGAGCACCACTGCAGAAGGATAGTTGAACTTTACTATAAAATCGAGGGGACTAGATAGATAGCCCTGTGATTAGGAGTGTTTGCCTCTCTTCCAGAACAGCTGGGTTCAGTTCCCAGCACTCATGTGGCAGTTCACAACCACCTGTCACTCCCTTTCCAAGGGATCTGTTGCCTTTTTCTGGCATCAAGGGTACCAGGTACATGTGTGGTGCACAGATGTAAACTCAGGCAAAACATCCATGCACATAAAGTGATACAATTTTAAAAAATAAATAAAATTGAAATAGAAATGCTCCATTCTTATTAGTTTCCAGTTCCCTTCCTCAAGGGAGTTGGTGGAGAACTGGTCCCATCTTTCTTCTGATGGTGTGTGGGACATTCTTTGGGGTCTTTGCCCTGGTTCTTACCATCTCTCTCCACTGACCAAGCTGTCTGAGTTCCAGGCCAATCTTGACAGAGATAGTGGCTTTCCATGACCAGGACTTTGGCTAGGCACAGAGGGCACTCCCTTCCTCTCTCGGTCAACAGCTGCTCGGCACTAGCAAGCTTGTATGTTCTGAGCTTATCTTTCACTTTCTCAAGCCCAGCCCTGAAATAGTCATTCTTCTAACATGTTTTAGTTATTTTAATGGGAAGTGGCATAAAAAAAGATCTGGTTACTAGAGTGATTATGACTACTGGTATATTGTTGCTTATAGGCTTCGTCAGCCAAGAAATCAGGCTCACACACACACACACACACACACACACACACACGCATACACATACGCAGACACACACGCAGACTTATGCATAGTTACTTCTATAGCTACTGAATTTTATTGAAGGCCAGAATGGTGCCTCTAATTTTAATATTCTACCAAGGACTTAGGCTTTCTTTCTTACGGTGAGACTCCAGTTTCTGCCGTCCTAAATATAATCATTCCCTTGTTCAGACTTAACCTCCAGAGATCATTCACTGTGAACAACGAGCTTCCTGATTCGAGTTTCATACAGTTGGGATTGCCTTTGTTTTGTAACTCAGGATAAGTATTCAAAATGCTATTTTCATAGGTTTCGTTGGTTACTTCAACTATTCATCTAAAATATAATGAAGCCCATTGTGCTTCTATTAAATCCTTTTAAGGGTTTCCTCACCTATTCCTATTGTTTTTGTTTTTGTTTTTTGAGACAGGGCTTCTCTGTGGCTTTGGAGCCTGTCCTGGAACTAGCTCTGTAGACCAGGCTGGTCTCGAACTCACAGAGATCCGCCTGCCTCTGCCTCCCGAGTGCTGGGATTAAAGGCGTGCGCCACCATCGCCCAACTCCTATTGTTTTTCTATGCTTATTTTTGGACTATATAAAATATTTTCATGGTTCCAAAGGTCAAAATACGTGATAAAGTTTTCTATAGCTTAAACTTACTAGAGCCGATTGCATTTTGAAGAAAAGTAAATAGCACAAAACTCTGGTCAATATTAAGTGGGAAACAAAGCCCTCTGGCTTTTCTGTAATTCTGTTTTTTTATGTCCTTACCCCACTCTCTACCCTGCCTTAGAAATAATGCTATCCTGGGTATAATGGCAGAATTTCCAGCTAGCTCTTCTCTTTCTTAATTCTTCAGCAATCAAACATAGAGGCTGTGAAATCAGGAATCCAAGGCAAAATTCCTGCAAACCAGTTGGCGGAGTTGTGGCTGAAGTTGATAGATGAAGTCATAGAAGACACGAGGTACGGGGTCTTCCTATCTCCACATCCCAGACATGTCCTCAGACCATAAGCTCTTCTAGAATCTTCTTAAGTATTTCTCTGAAAAGTGCTTTTGAGCATTGCTTTTTAGTTTCTTGAAATCCCCACCTCACCCCAGGGGGAGTTTCTGAATCACCCTGAAAAGCCCCATTCTCTGGTTTGTTGCTTAGGGAGGTCCAGATTGGACTTCAGGAAGCTAGTCCCAGCAGCCTAAGGCAAAGGGGGAATGGAGGGGAAGGGAGGGCGGAGTGACAAGCCTGAGCCACCCTCCTGAAGAAGGACTCCTGACTTCCATAGGGAGATGGGGACATTGATTCCACCTTTCAGAACAATGTTCCTAATTCATGGTTTGAGAAATAGTTTGCTTTTTTTTTTACTAAGTGTCTCAAGCGCTCCACACCCCTTTAGCAGCGACGCTTACACTAAATTCAGAGCAACAGAGACAGAGTGGCCCCTTACTAGAATGACATGCACATTCATAAAGCATTATCTGTTAAAACAACAACAACAACAACAACAACACAACACAACACAACACACACACACTCCCCAAACCAGGTTAGACAAAACTAGTACATAGGCTTAGTCAGAGGCCTTTTCATTGCTGTTGCTTGGAGAACTAACTCAGATCTTTTCGTATTTAGAAATCATGGGGGAAAGTGATTCATCCCAAACTCATTTTAATATTGGCTAATAAAGCCATGACCCAGGAAGGTGGAAAAGAAAAGCACATTGAGTAACTCCTCTTGCTCTGAGGAAGCAGATACTTCCTCCTCTAGGGTAGGGCTCTGAGTCACCCTGTCTTCTTGTGCCTTCTAGTGGTCTAGTCGGGTCATTGAAGAGCAGCTGAAGTGGAAAGGCCGCACTGGCTTTGTGAGCACTTAAAGCTCACACTGAGAGGCTGAGGGATCCTAAGGGGTCGCCTCTTAATTACAGAGAGGAAAACAGAGAGGCCCCATGGCGCCTTGGTGCTGGGGAGGACGTACCCTCTTAGCCCTGCCGCTCCTTGCCACCGTCAGCATCTCATTCTCGCGGGGCCCAAGTGTGACTTCCGAGCTCAACAGCTTTCACATGTGTTTTTGTTCTACGTGGCCACTGTAGGATCTTAACCCTTTACTCGTATGCTGCCACAGTTGTTAACGAAATCAACCCAAAACGTGGAGTTTCAGTTTTCACTTGGAAAATGCCTGCGAACCGTAGGCTTTGCTGAACAAGGCATGGCCTTATCCAGCTGTCTTCAAAGAAGTGAACTGGAGTCTCTTAAACGCTGCATAACAGGCAGTCCCATGATTGAGGAGAACCGTGCTAGATATCCTTGGTTTAAGGTGTCAGGTGAAGTACAAATGACTGGAAATTCTAGGTGGGGACAATATGAGTCGGATTTCCTGGTCCTAGTGGCAGTCTTGCCCAGTGGTCTCACCTGCTGCCACAGTGACAGGGAAGCGTAGATGACAAGGGGCTAACCTGAGTCACTCACTTAGCCATATTTCTTTGTGGGGGTCCCACCACTGGGACATGGATGGGAATGGCCCTAGGCAGGCTGTCCTTCCTGTTTTCTGGAACTCTTTTAGAACCTTCTGAGATGAAGGCAGTGATGAAGACGATGGCGGTGGGAATATTGTGTAGACTCTGCTGCTTTGAAATCTTTATTCTCTTTCCTGTCAGGGCCACAAAAAATATCCTGAATTCCAGCTTAAATCAAGCAGTGCCATAGTTCAGTACTGACATTTCAGTCTACATGAAATGCATGCAGACATATGTTCGACATGTGTGTAAACATAAGGACTCGGTTTTGAAGCCTAGAATGTCATTCTTAAGTTCTCTCTTTTTTTCCCCTTCCTTTAGATACACCTTGCCTGTCACAGACGGAAAAGCCAATGTCACGGTTCTGGATACTCAGATTCGAAAGTTGCGGTCCAGGTTTCTCTCCCAGATACACGAGGCAGCTATGAAGATGAGATCTGAAGCTACCGATGTGAAATCCACCTTGTTGGAAATCGAGGACTGGCTTGATAAATTAATGCAGCTTACTGAAGAGGTAGACACCTTGGCATCATACTAGTGGTGTGCTTCCAGAAGGATTCTGTGGACAACACCACGGATGGGGCAATGGGTGGAGTATCTGCCGTGATGTTTGTTTGAGACCGTGAACAATCTGGTCGGTCAATGATAAAAACCAAAAGAGTCACTGGGCTGGGAAGGCTACCGAGGACTGGGGGTGAAAGTCACCAAAGTCAGGACAAGAATTTTGAGTTGGGCCTTAGAGGTGCCTGCAGGAAAATCATTGCTTTCATAAGTGCTGTCACAGAGTGTTCTGAATGATGGAACAGTAGAGCACGACACAGAGAATTAAAATATCTCTGTACTGGATTAGGAAGATATAGATTTAAGTCCTAAATCGTATGTGACCTTGGGCAAGCTGTATAACTCACTTCTGCCTTCCCTGCCTGTAAAATGGAGAAACGCAGTACTTGCATCACAGCGCTGTTGTGGAAAGACTTAAAGAGGATGATGACGGTTACAAAGGGGACAGCACAGTGCAGGGCACACAGGAGTTGCTAGATACATGTCAGGTGTCCCTCGCCTCTGCGGCTGAAAGGACAGGAGGAAACAGACTCCTCCTGTCCCTCGAGTATCTAGGGGATAGTGTCCTACACTCTGTCCGTTCTTATGATAACTAACCCGCTTCTGCAACAATGGCATTAATCTGAGCTTGTGGGTCAACCACTCCCGGCCTTTTCATCTCTCATTAGGCCGAGTAACACTGTTGAGAAAAGCTTTTCGACATATAACCCTGAGGAACACATTCAAGCCATGGCAGCTTGCAGCTTTTTCAGTCTGCTGATGGTTTTCTCTAAATGATGCTTGAGAGATGAGGGGGTACTTTCTAAAATGCCTTTCAGACCAGAGTGGGGTGCAACTCTTCACCTGCTTCCCTGTTTCTCTCCTCCTTCCCCCCAGTCACCCACAGCCTGTTCCTTAGCCCTGTGTAACCACCGTGTGACTGAAGAAGATGTGTGTCTCCTGACTTTGAGACACAGTATTTCTCCAGCCTGTCCCATATAAACTCACCTTGTCTGCTTTCTTTTCCACCCAATTCACTGCGCAGCCTCAGAACAGTATGCCCGACATTATCATCTGGATGATCCGTGGAGAGAAAAGACTGGCCTATGCACGGATTCCTGCCCATCAAGTCTTATACTCCACCAGCGGTGGTAACGCTTCTGGAAAATACTGTGGGAAAACCCAAACCATCCTTCTGAAGGTACGTCTTCACGGCGGGATGGAAAAATGCATGCAGATTCTGTCCCGAAGGAGGAGTTGTTTTATCATATTCATCTGCTACAGAGCTAAGGTGTTTAAGATCAATGCTGACCTGTTCTGGTCCCTTCTGGGATCATAGTTTTTAGAGAGTGACATGAGGATGGCTGGCCTTCAACCACAGACACCTCTCTAGATGTCTCTGACGTTAATAGTAACACGACACTGTCATTTGCTTTCTGACATGCATTTTTCTCTCTTAATGTCTCAGACAAGCAATACATTTCTTCCGCTGATGCTAAGTATTTGAGAGAAGTGGGTGGTATAGTCAGGCATGGGATCAAGGGTCTCTAGAACAGACAGAATGAACACACATTAAGAGTGTATCTATTATATTGGCTTATTGGATAGGGTCTGGCTCAACAATGGCTGTCTCAATCAGAAAGGCCAAGAACTGGTGACTGATTGGTCCACAAGGCTGGATGTCGTAGCGGTCTCAGTCTGGTGCTGAAGGTTCAGCAGATTCTTGAAGAGCAATTGATCTTAGGTTTCCATTGGAACTGGAAGCTGAGTCTTAATATTAGCAGTGGCAGCACCAACGTTGATGAACTTGCCAGCAAAAGTGAAGGCAAGCAGGCATAAAGCAAAAATCTTTCCTCTCTTTCCTTCATCTGGGTTGCCACCAGCAAGTGCTGCCCACATTTATGATAGGTCTTTACACTTCAGATATCTGGTTAATAAAATTCCTCACAATAGGGCTGGAGAGATGGCTCAGTGGTTAAGAGCACTGGCTCCTCTTCCAGAGGTCCGATTCTCAGCGATCACGTGATGGCTCACAACCATCTGTAAAGAGATATGGTGCCCTCTTCTGGCTGGCAAGCATAAATGCAGACAAAATGCTGTGTACACAATAAATAAATCTTTAAAAAAAAAAAAATCCTGACAGCAATGTCCAGTATCTTACCTTTTGATTCAGATCCTGTCAAGTTGACAACCACGATCAACCACCACAGACAGAAGGTGCTCTAATAGATAAAAGTTTTGATAATTGCTACTTTAAGCAGAAGTTTTGAATATCACCATCATCATCATCATCATCAAAATCATCATCTTCGTCACTATCGGTTTTTTGAGACAGGGTCGCACTATTTACATCAGGCTGGCCTAGAACTCAGAGAACTCTACCTGCCTATGTCTCCCAAGTGCTGTGGCATGTGCCACAATACCACACTCGTTCCGAATATCTTAGAGTCACGGACTCTAAAGTACTTTTTTGGGGGGTTGTGCCTGTATCTACCATTCTGCCCATACTCAGCAAGTTTCCTAGGACCCACAACCCCATCCTAGGAACCCCCCCCCTCCATGAAGAACTTCTATGGGCATGTCTTGGAACACTGACAGAGGCCTGGGCTGCATCTATGTTCTCAACATAGCCCTCATTGGCATGATTTGATGCCCGATCCTGTCTACCCAACAGCAGTTCCTTGGAGTTAAGAAAGGAATAACCAGTTCTGAGACGAGAAAGGGCTCGGCTAAGGGAGACGTGTTCTCTACCACCAGGACCCATCCGCTGACCTTTATTAGTGTCCACATGGCTCTTAGCCAGGAGGCTGTGAGCAGCATCTGAGTGGCCATCTTCTTCCAGCTGTCTTCTGCAGCATGAATCAGACTTCAGATAAACCTCAATTAAAATCCCCATCAGCAGCAGTGGAAGCAAACTGATTAGTTAAAAAGCTTCAAGGAAGCCAGAGAGCCCAGGGTGTGTGTTCCGGGTTAGGTTGTAGAATCTAAAGAAAAACTCTGTGTATTTGTTGACTCCCTTTGCCCTCATTATCTAGCTTGAGAAGTCTTTTAGTTCAGTTGATTTTTTTTCTTTAGTCTCAGCATCTCTTTGTAACATTAAAAATATTATTGTAGACTACAAAGGGCCTTTGTTTATATGACTTGTATCCCCAGTACTTGTTGTAACAGAAATTAAAATAGAAAAACAAACACAGGACACAGGAGACTTTGTCTCGACACACATACACACACACACACACACACACAGCTATCTCTAAGGGTCAATTTATAACAGAGCTTTTTGTTAAGATACTGGTCACATGCTAATTTGTGAAGTGACTTGGGAGAACTTCCTCCTTTATCACGCCAAGTATTAAACAGTCAAGTACTCAAGGGTGAGGATTTAACAAAACTAGTAATCAATACTGGGTTATTTTAAAAACCCATCAAAATTGTTTTAGTTCTTTATTTTTTTTAAGCCAAAGTAATTCTTTAGTGGAACTGGCATTTCATGTTCTGTGCTTGAGAGTTGAGTGCTGTTAATACCGATGGGTACAGTGGGATGCCACTGCCTCATCTGTATGAATGCCAACAAGACAAGACAGATCTCACGTTGGTGCTCTTAGGAAGAGTGTTCTGCCCTGGTAGACCTCCTGAAATGGTCTCAGGAATGGGTGACAATCTACAGCTCACACTTTGAACGGTCTCAGGGACAGGTGGGAATCTCCGGCTCACACTTTGATTGACTGATTGATTGAGTGAATGAATGACAGTTTATCAATGAAGGAAAAGATGTTCTTGAGAATGGAAGTCAAAGAGCTGGGAAAGGCCAGGCACTCTTGACGGCTGCGGGAACTTTGGGACTTACTGCTTTAGCTCCTATTACAATCTTTGCTGTAGGGTCATTTGTCAGTTTTAACCAAAGCAGATACAAACTCAGTCTGGTGGGAGCGATGAGTAGAAGTTGAGCATGCTTGAGCTTTATTTAGCGTGATGTCACAGTTCATGCGGTATTTGTCCCATTGTCACCTAAGATGCTATTGTTCATCCACAGTATCCACAGGAAAAAAACAATGGGCCCAAAGTGCCTGTGGAATTGCGAGTGAATATCTGGCTGGGTTTAAGTGCCGTGGAGAAGAAGTTCAATAGCTTCGCCGAAGGCTCCTTCACCGTCTTTGCTGAAATGGTACCTTTAATGACAGCCCTGTCTTCTCTCTCGTAGAGCAGAACTTTCTCTTTTTAATACCGAGAGCAGTCATTACTACCTCCTGTTAAAGAATTTTAGCCCAAGGGATGAGGAGAAGACCCTCCTGAGAATTATTGACAGTAGGACACTCCAGAGTCACTACCTCCTATTTAGTGTCATTCAAAGATGGAAACAACTCCCATGATGCATCACGGTTCGCAGAACACATTCACAACCGTTTGCACGCATGAACTCTAAGAAACCTGCTGTGCCCAGTTTACAGATGAGCATGTGGACTCTCAGGAGGAGGAGCGACTTGCCCAGAGTCGCCCGAGCACTGGCAGGCCCGAGTTTAGGCCCATACTTTTTGTGTGTACAGCTTCTCTGCTTTCTGTTGTCATCTAGCCTCCGAGCTGGGCAAATTCAGATTTCACAGCTGGCTTGCTTTCTCAGTCTCTGATAGTATTTCTCCAATCTGTCTTTAACAGTATGAAAACCAAGCCCTTGTGTTTGGGAAGTGGGGCACATCTGGACTGGTGGGACGTCATAAATTCTCTGACGTCACGGGAAAAATAAAACTCAAAAGAGAATTCTTTTTGCCTCCCAAGGGATGGGAGTGGGAAGGAGACTGGATGGTCGACCCTGAAAGAAGGTGAGTGTTCGACTTTCTAGGTCACTTGTGTTGTTGAGTTGTGTGTGTGTGTGTGTGTGTGTTCAGGTGTTTGCATGCCTTAGCACACATGTGAGCATCAGAAGACATCTTTTAAGAGTAAGTTTTTTCCACTCTGTTGAGTCAGGGTCTTTTGATTCTGCTGTTATTCTGTGTCCAGGCTAGCTGGTGCACAGCTTCTGGAAGATTCTCCTGTCTGTCTTCCAACTCGCCTTTGGAATGCTGGGATGATTGACGTTCACCACCACACGCAACTTTTTTCTGTGGGTTCTTGGGATTCAGCTCAGGCTATCAGACTTGAGTCCTGGCTGGAGCTTTTACCCATGGAACTGTCTTTCCAGCCCCTCCGTCGTCTGTTGTCATTCTTATTAACATTAATTTTACCCACTGGATAGGACTAGGTCCATAGAAATTTACAGGAAGTTGGAAGATACCATCAGTCCCAAAAGACAAAAATAAAAGGCACCTAAGGGAATGTAGGGTACAGGTCTGTTAACCCCAGCTACCCAGGGGCTCAAGTAGGAGGATTGCATGTTTGAGGTCTGCCTGGAGTGCAGACGGACTCCATTCAAGTCCAGCAACTTACAGGACCCAGTCTCAAAATGCCAAGTAAAAGTCAGGGAAATGAGGAGGGACATGCCTCCCTGGGAGAGTACTTGTCTCTCATGCGCAAGGCTGTCAGTCTAATACCCAGTACAACACTGTCTATGCCTAGATCTAAATATGTGTTTATATATGTCTGGCTTAGGGTTTCTATTGCTGTGGAGAGACACCATGACCATGGTAACTTTTATTAAGGAAAACATTTTACTGGGGTGACTTGCTGGCTTATATCCATATCATGATGGCTGGGAGCATGGTGGCATGTAGGCAGACATGAAGTGGCTACATCTTTATCAGAAGGCAACAGGAAGTGGACTGTGACTCTGGGTGCTATCTTGAGCATGTATGAGACCTCAAAGCCCACCTCCACCATGACACATTTCCTCCACAAGGTCACACCTTCTAATAGTGCCACTCCCTCTGCTATTTGGTGAGGTCAAGGGTAGCCTGGGCTATAGGAGACCCATCTCAGCCAATCAATCAACAATCACAAAGTAAATAAAAATGGTTGGTGGCAACATTAGTCCTAGAGCTCCCTCTTGTGGCCACCTTGTGATGGCACATTCTGGGACCTGTATTGTAAGGTCTCCTTTGGAGTCATCGCATGGCCTAAAAACGAAGGACAAGAAGCAAGCTGGTCTGCCAGACCAAGTGCCCACACGTCCTTGCTTCTGGTGCAGGACTGTTTGCTTTGTTTGGAATTGTGGGAATTGGTGAGGAGTGGAGGTGGGGAGTTGAATTGAACAGAAGGAAGGGGATGAGGACCCGAAAGGTAGAGAGAATTGTGACAGGAAAAACACAAGGCTGGGACACCAGAGACGGCAGCCAAACCTTTGGGTCTCCTGTGTGGTGCAGAGGAGAGATGGATGATTTCAATTTATACAAATGGTTGGGGCTGTTGGCTTTTTGATACCCTTCCAGGGTTTGGTTGGAATCAAATAGTAGAAATAGTAAGGGAGAAAGAACCATCACTTGAGGGTCCCTGGCAGACAACTCAAGGCGAAGTTGGAGCCTCTGTGCCTTTCTTCCATTGGGTTTTTAAATCCGAGCCAAAGCTGGCCAAGCAGAGTCAGCACAGAGCGCTCGAGGGCCCCAAAGGGTCTGGAGTGTGAAATGAGCAGGCTCGGCTGTCTTCTTAGAAACCACCAGTTTATGTCGCGCAGAGCCAGCAAGCCAAAGGCACACATTTCCACACAGCCTCACTCCATTCCCTGGTCTTTGAACTGTCAGCCAAGAGTTTCACTGAGAAAACGCTGGAAAGTCTATACTGCAGCAAGCAGTGTGGAAGACGCTCTCTGTGCTCCCTGCAGGGAGCGGTTCAAGAGCCCTTTTAGCGCGATTTTCCTGGCTCCACGGAAGGAGCGACCATGCCAATGGTCCTCTATAATTTACGTCTCGCTGGCCCAGCCCCCCTCTCCGAATGACTGTCAAAAGCTTTTAGTTCAAAGTCAAATTTGGAATGGAGAAACCAAAGGGCTCAAGCCAGAAGGCCAGAAGGGAAGTGGTGTCATTCCAAGCTGTAGGGGTCGCCCAACAGTGTGAAATGGCTGGGGTTCCTGGTTCCGGTTCCATTTCTCCTGGGTAACAGGAGCCCCCTCTCGCCCACAGCCTCCTGACTGAGGCCGATGCAGGTCACACAGAGTTCACGGATGAAGTCTACCAGAATGAGACTCGCTATCCGGGAGGCGAGTGGAAGGCAGCAGAAGACACCTATACGGATGCGGTGAGCCACCGGCATGCCCCATCTCTGCATCACGAGACACAGAGATGCTCCACCCTCTCTTCCCGCTTCATCCCCGATTCCAAATAGTCTCCCATTTACAACAGAAGCCCCGCAAGTGCATGCTCATTACTGACATCCAGTAAGCGCTGGGCCGCTGTGGCTAGACACTGCTCCAGCATCAAGTTTGAGTTGTGCACAGTTTCTAAGTAGAAATTTACTATCTAGCTTGTTTTTAAGATCACGAGAAATGAAATGTTCACTTTAAAGAAATACACAGGTGGGCAGGAGAGATGGCTCAGAGGTTAAGAGCACTGCTATACTTCCAAAGGTCCTGAGTTCAATTCCCAGCAACCACATGGTGGCTCACAACCTTCTGTAATGAGATCTGGTGCCCTCTTCTGGCCTGCAGGGACATAGGCAGGCAGACCACTGTATACTTAATAAAAACAAATAAATCTTTTTTTTTTTAAAAAAAAGAATTACATAGGCAAGCAAAAACAAAAAAAAATGGTAAAAAAAATGGAGCTGAGGAGATGTGTTGGCAGCTCCCAGCGTTCATGCCGGCAGCCTGCAAACACCTATACTGCAGTTGCATGGCCTCCCATAGCCTTCTGGGGCCTCTGCGGACACTCTTATGCATGTGCACATAATCACACACATCCCCAAAAATAAAAATAAAAATGTTAAACTTTAAAAAAAAATCCAGTGTTCAGGGAAATGAGAAGTAATTCTCCCCGCCTACCACTGTCCTCTATAAAATAGCCACCGTTGCAGGTTTCTGTTTTTATATAAGTGTGCTTTTTCCTCTTCAAACTAGAATTGTGTTGGGCACACAATTCCTCAACATGTATTTTCACATAATGATATATTTGAGCACCTGTGTGTGTGCATGCTCATGTGGATGTGTGCACACATGCACAGAGAAGCACATACAAGTGTGCACACATGCTCGCAGAGGCAAGACCAACATGCAGTGTCTTCCTCAGCCACTCGCTGCCTCAGTTCAGGGATGTTTACTGAGCCTGAGCCCCACTGACTGGGCTGGGCTGTCTGACCACAGGCTCCCAAGATCTCCTCACTCCTCCTCCCAGGTGCTGGGGCTACAGATGTGGACTTCCACTCCTGGCTTTGATGTGCATGTTGGGCTTCTGAACTAATTATTAACTGAGCTGTTTCCCAGCTCCAGGTCATCTTTTGATAACTGCACACACAGAGCTGGGAACTTTGCAATAAGCCCCTATTGTTGTTTATTTGTACATCTCATAGACATTTGGGGGTTCGGTGGTTTGGGGTGAGTTTTTTGTTTTGTTTCATCGTTGGTTTTTATAAAAGATGTGGCAGTGAATATCTTTATACAACCATTTTTACACATTAATGAAAGCTTATGTCTAGAAAACTGTCCTTGGAATTGTGTGGTCAAACTCCAAATGCAGGGAACTGGTACACACGTACTCCCAGCAACAGCGTAACAGGGTCCTTGCTTCCGTACCTTCCCACCACGTCATCTTTGTTGATCCGTGACGTGGGGTCCCTGCCACGGATCCACTTTGCATTCTCTTAACTTGAAACGGAGCTGAGTGTTTTCCATGTTTACAGTCACCTTTATTTCTTTTACACGTGAACTTTATCATAACTCTTTTTGAATTTTAAAGTAAACCTAAGTCAGCATTTTATATAAATTTTGCTCAGCCTCACGTGATCAGCACCATGAGCCTCCAGCAGCATTTCCTGAACTTAAACACATGTGTCTTTTTTTAAAGATTTATTTATTTATTATCTATGCAGTATTTTTCCTGCACACCAGAAGAAGTCACCAGATCTCATTATAGATGGCTGTAAGCCACCATGTGATCACTGGGACTTGAACTCGGGACCTCTGGAAGAGTAACCAGTGCTCCTAACCATCTCTCCAGATCCTGAACACATGTGTCTCAATGCTTGATCTGTTCTGTTCTATTTTTTTTTCCTGAATAAACTCTCATAAACTTGAGCAGCACTATCTAATAGAATTAAATGAGACCATATGAAATTGCTAATGTTAGATCATTTTGGTTTACAAAACTAAGAATTTCACATGGTTCAACTTAAAGCTATTCTTTAATAGTAAAAATAGAAGGTACTGGAGACAAGTAATTTTCATGCAGCATTTGTATGTGTTGCATGAATAATAAAAACCCAGAGACAGACACTTCGACCTGAAGATCAGCAAAGCAAAGCAGTCAAGCCACTAGAGAGATCTTACCAAGGCTCAGACAAAGGAGTGATCCTGCAATGGTTTCCACCAACCTCAGACCCCTCACTCCACTGAGTTCCTGTCTCTTCCCCTTTAGATTTCTCTCTCTGCCCAGCCATATTGCTCCTGTCTCCACCTCCCAAGTGCTGGGATTAAAGGCATGGAACCCCAAGTGCTGGGATCACCTTTGTGTGAGCTCTGTTTCTCTTTTGGCCATATTCCATCTTACGTAGCCCAGGGTAGCCTTGAACTCATAAAGATCCATCTGCCTCAAGTCCTGGGATTAAAGGTGTGTGCCACCACTCCCTGTACGGCTGACTAGCGTGACTGCTTTTCCCTCTGATCTTTAGGCAAGTTTTTAGCTAATAATATACCACTATATGTATATAAGTAAAGATTACAGTTTTCTGAATAAAATGGATCTGGAAGACGTTATCTATAAAGACATGCACATTCTGTAGTTAAGTATCAGGAAAGTTTCCTCACCTTTGGATCTCATTCACTCCTGTCTGTCTGTCTCTTAGAATGGAGATAAGGCAGCATCACCCAGCGAGCTGACTTGCCCTCCAGGTTGGGAGTGGGAAGATGACGCGTGGACGTATGACATAAATCGAGCCGTGGATGAGAAAGGTAAGTACATCTCTTAGCTTGAGTGTGAGTCAGCAGAAAGGCCTTGGTTAACTAGAGCAAAGGCTCCACGGGAGGAAGGGCCTTTCCCCGCTGGCCTAGGACAGTTAGGTCATGTGGTGTTATCCGTGACTATTCAAATGTGTATCTGACTCCCAAACAGATAGACAGATGCTGGGTGAGGAGATGTTCGAAGCAGAAAATGGAGGTGATGGGGCCAACCGGCCGGACTCTAGGATACCTAGAAATCCAGAGTTAGAGTATAGGAGAGATCTAGAGCTTGGTTTTTCTCTTTCCTAATCACATTTCATAATCTTCCTGGGCTAATCAAACTTAGAGGTCCTATAACTCAGACAGGAGAATGGCAAATGTCTTGTAAGTCATCCCACACAGCAGGCGTGTGATTGACATAGCTTCTAGGTATAGCAGTACCTACCATTCTCTACAAATAGCCAGATCAGATGAACTTGACCATTTGGAACTAGCAGGGGAAGAGCGTAACTGGTCCTTTCTTTTAAGAGGTGATAAAACATGGACAGAGTAGGATTGATGCATAAGACTCCAAATGGATGGGCAATTCTGCCTTGGTTGTGATACATAATAATATATCTTATCATAATGGTATTTATTGAGCAATAACTGTGTACCCAGCACATAGTTGTGTGCCTTTTACCATTAAGGCCGTCATGTTGGAACACAGACAGGTTTACCAACTTGTAGGAAATGCAAGTGAAGGTCTAGAGATGTAGTTGGGTAGCAGAGCCTTACCTGGTATTCACAGGGCTCTAGGTTCCATCCCAAAGGAACAGAAAGATTGAGTAACTCTTACCCAAAATCCTGGACCCAGAGGAAGTGGTTTTTGGTTTGAGAAATATTTAGATTTTGGAATATTAGCACACACATGCATCTGCATACATGCACACATACATGCATGTATACGTATACATACTTTTACATTTGTGGCCTGATGGCACCCAAAGCTTCGGCATGGCACACTTCATCTTCTCAGATTAAGCCTGCTCAACCCTGTGACAGTCGTAACAGCAGAACATCTGTGAGCAGAGAGAGGAGCTATCCGTTATCTAGCAAGCTATTTGCTGGCCAGGCAGAGGCTTCTCTTTCGAGTAACTATTTTCAAATTCTGTTACAGGCTGGGAGTATGGAATTACCATTCCTCCTGATAATAAGCCCAAGTCCTGGGTTGCAGCAGAGAAAATGTATCACACTCACAGACGGCGGAGACTGGTCCGAAAACGCAAGAAAGATTTGACCCAAACAGCTTCGAGTACTGCAAGGGTAAGAGAAGTAGGAGGGGACGGTGCCTGGTGTTCTGCCTGCCACACCGTGCAGAGTTCCAGCTGCATGGCTGTTTCTGCACAGCCGTTTGCAAATCAAGGATCTGATACTGGAATTCAGGGCTCTGGAAGTGTGCCCTGCTCACCTGATATCTCAGAAATCAGCCAGCCTGCTCACTGAGTAACTCTGGGGACAGAGCAGCGAGCGATCTGTGCTTCCTGCAAGCCCTCCATGATGCTGAGACAGAGTGGATGAGGTCTCTAGAAGGGTAGAAAAGGACTCTGAAGTTATGCTGGCAGGATAAGACAGGAGTATCGATAACCTCAGGACCTAGGACAAGACCCAGAATTCAAATCCCGACTCTACAGTCTTTCTCATTTGTGAAATGGGATCTGTCTTAGGTAGGGTTTTCTCTTGCTGTGGTGAAACACCAGGACTGGAAGCAGCTTGTGTGGGAAGGGTTAATATTTCAGCTCACCTGTCCTCATCACCGTCCATCATGGAGGAAAGGTTTTGCTGCCTGAGGGACCAGCCTCCAGCTGCACAGAAGTGGAAAGGAATCCACAGACTCAATGTGCTATGACTTTTTTATCTGAGGGGTAAGGAGAAAGACACTCATGCTCTCTTGATAGTTTCCTTCTTCTGTAGTCTTTATTCTCTTTTCTTATCTCTATCCAGAAATGTCCCTTCTGTCTCTCTTGATGTTTTCCTCCTAACCTAATTTTTATTCTCCCTAATCTCTCATTCTTGACGTTTTTCTTCTATCTTTATTCTTGTTCTCTTTCTTTGTTTTCCCTTATACGCCCCACAAAATCTTTCAAGCTATATAACAATTACAATGTGGTTACATCCTATTTTTCAAGTGAATGATTACAATGAAAGCAAGTAGAAAACATGCTTTTTATTTCCTTTCCATGATTTAACATTTTACGTATTACAGGTAAAAAACAAATTATCATCAAGAACCCACGTACATTCATACCCAAGCAACTTGTTACAGATTAACAGAGTATAAACAAGCACGGTATTCTTATCAGCCAGTTCTATTACTGGAAGGCTGCGTGTTGTGGTTACAAAGAAAGGACCAGTTACTTTATTACTTATCTTGAAAGGTGATCTTACAAGGGCTCTTAGAGGAATCGCAAGCCTAAACGTCTGTACATGAAAAACAACCAGTCAGCTCTACTTTAAATCTTTAGCCTGCGTACCCACTCATCAGTAGTTTTTATATCAGGAGATTGAGGGCAGAAATGGGTACAGGGAATTAATCATCATCTTTGATCAACAACCGATTCTTAACAAGGGAAATACATCAGCTAGTAATAATTGGGCTGCTTTGTTTTCTGATCCCTAACTTCAGAGCTATTATCAAAATACCTTAATCTAACCCGAGGCTTTGTCTCAGCTATGATACACTCCAAACCTGTGAACATCTCCCAGCATTAAGATGAAAAGGGTTTAAGCTAACTGGGCTACCAGGACTCAGCTGTTTTCCTTAATCACTATCCTAAGGCGCAGTCTATGGGGCTCCTCAGTAGGAACTTATGTGTTCTAGCTGTGTGATATTTCCTTGTTTTATTTTTTTAGCCTCTGCAGCCTCTGCTTTATCAAAGGCAGGGCAGCATTTTATCCTACCTTTACCTATGTTAATCCTATGTTAATTTTCCCACTAAACTAACCTCTATATAATCCCTTACAATATTTATTTAAAGTCCTCAATCAAAATTCAACTTAAACTCACACTAGTTTTTTGTTGTTGTAGTTGTGGGTTTTTTGTTTGTTTGTTTGTTTCTAGCTTTGGAGCCTGTCCTGGAATGTACTCTGTAGACCAGGCTGGCCTTGAACTCACAGAGATGTGCCTTTCTCTGCCTCCGAGTGCTCGGATTAAAGGTGTGTACCACCACAGCCTGACCTAACACTATTATTGTATAAAATCATTGCTTCGGTTAAACAGTACAGCTTAAGAGGAAATCATCTTCCTAATAACCCACAGGTAAAAATGCCCAGTAGAACGGGATGTTTCCATGAGACACGCACACTACATTTCAGGCAGGGGGATCTCCCCACCCCCATTTACACCATGCCAGACACCAGGGAAAGATGGCAGCAGCAGACACGTGAGGGCACAGTAGGAGCAAAAGTCACTCTGTGTCTGTGGTCTTGGGGCCTTGCCTATCCAAGAAATATCCTGATGGGCCAGTCCCTTGATGTCAGCTGTCATGTACAGCTCCTCTGACATGGCCACTGGCAAAGTCAAGAGACTGGAGGCAGGAACTGATGCAGAGGCCATGGAGGAATGCTTCTTACTGGCTTGCTCATCATGACTTGCTCAGCCTGCTTTCTTATAGCCCAGAACTACCTACCCAGAGGTGGCACCATCCACAGTAAGCTGGGCCCTCCCACATCAATCGTCAATCAAGAAAACTCCCTCCAGGCTTGCCCATAGGCCAACCTGGAAGAGGCATTTTTTTTTTCATTTAAGTTCCTTCTTCATAAATAACTCTAGCTTGTATCTAGTTGACATAAAACTATCCATACCTTAATTTAGTTAGGGTATCACAAGGCTTTAAACTGCATACTAAATTAAGTGGGATAGTAAAATGGAATTAATACCAAAAAGTATGTTTTACATGTCATTTAGAACATTCAGCACACAAATGTGTCATGCATAAGCTGTAAGGTCTGGGTTGTTGCTCATTCCACAGATGGAGTTCATAGCCATAAAATAGACTTGCTATAGGTCATATCTTCAAAAGGTGACAGAGATGACCTTTGAAGCCAGGTTAGACTGATACTAAACAGGAGCGCTTCCTATTGCTCTGAAGGCTCAACTCTAGCAGATGCTGGGAAGTCACATTTTATTCAATGATGATCTTCCTGGGAAGGAGAATAGTTAGACCATCTTGGTGTCTACCTTGCTTAGCAGCCTGCTTCCTGGACAGGGTGTGCTAGAATGGGTGTGTCTTAAACCGACATTGTCTCGACCTGATTGGGTGAGAAATTTCCAGACATGCTTCACTTTCTCTTTCCACACAAGCACTAACATGACTTGGGAAGAACACTGGACCATTGGTCAGAAATCCTAGTTCCACTAATGAGCCGGGCTGAGACTTCAATCATGTCCCCTAACCTGCTTCATTTTTGGCTACGCAAGTTATGTATGACCTTGTTCTTATTCACACTATCACAAAGGAAGCTGCAAGTTCATATGAAACCTGGGCTTTATGTTTATTCGAAGTGGAAAGAAAAGGACTACCCACTAATCACAACCATACATGGAGCTTTTATTTCTAAGCTCATTAATAATATTCTCTATTATTTTCCATTTATTCAAGCTGGTCATGATTGTAAGACAGTTATATAAAATTCTGTCTACTCAAATGTCAAATACGTGGAAGCAAAGGCCACATCTATCTTCTTCAGTCTTACTTCAGCTTTGAGGACAAATTCCCAGAATAGATCGTGTGCAAATGAACCATGTTTAACTTAAGAGTACTGTACTGGGTTAATAGTTACCACAGAAATAACATACTCTGATCTATCACATCGTTACTAACTAAGCAGCTTTTGGCATGAACAAGACATTTAACTCCTAAGGGGTGATACATGTGACCCCATATATAAAATGCAGATAGTAATTCTTTCCAAAAATGTCACATGGCATGTTCTTGTGAGCTCATTCTGAGAAAGCACCCACTCTCACACACTCCCATGTTTGAATGGTTGCTATAGTTGTCTTCCTGTATCCCACAGTCCGCCAGCTCTGCCAAGTCAGAGATCCCATCTCTTCTCTCTTAGCTGTATCCCTGGCTCCTCATGTAGTACTTGACAGAGTGGATATTTGTGACTACATATTGTCCTTTGACCTACTGGTCTGCTTTATCAATATGAAGAAGAGTATTGTTTCTCCTTTAAAGTTATGCTTCTATTTTAGGCCATGGAAGAGTTTGAAGACCGGGAGGGCTGGGAATATGCTTCACTGATTGGCTGGAAGTTCCACTGGAAACAGCGCAGCTCAGACACCTTTCGCCGCAGACGCTGGAGGAGAAAAATGGCTCCTTCTGAAACACACGGTGCTGCTGCCATCTTTAAACTTGAAGGTGCCCTTGTAAGTAACCAGAAGTCAAAGTGTGAATAATACTGGTGTAGAGGAAATGTGTGGGTCACCTAGAAAGCAACTCCAGAGAGGCTCCTGAAATCTCAGGGATGCATGGCTGTGAAGAAGTTGGGGGAAAGGTGTATTCCCTGAGTGCCCAATGACTCCCGTCTTAGGAAGAAACCACTACTGCATGAAAGGACCTCAGAACAGTACTGAAGGCACATATAGTTCTCCCAGAATTTCCCAAGTATGTCTGCCAAAGCCCTGATTCCAGAAACACAGAGGGCTTGGAAATTGTAGCTATTTAACAGACTGAAAGAGCTGAATATACAGACTTACAGGGGGAGAAAATTAAAAGATGATTAGATCACAATAAAGGAAGATGATGGGGTGGGCGCAGGTCAGTAGAGGGAATGAATAAAAACAGCAATGGGTGATCTGTGCAGCATGCTGGCCAAGATCCAGTTCCATGGATTGGGGAGAAGGCCCCATAGTTAAGAACATTTTCTGTGCAAGCCTAAGGGCCTGAGTTTAGATACTTAGTACCCATGTCCAAAAGGCTGGGTGTCTGTGGCAGTGGATAACTGTAACTCCAGCACTGAGGAGTGGGGAAGTGGCAGCAGGGGAAACAGAATAGTCACCAGGGCTGGCCACTGAGCCCCAGTTCAGCAAGACCCAGTCTCCAGGGAATGAGAAAGCGAGTAATAGCACAAGGCACCTGATACCCTACTCTGACCACACATACAATTGTGCATGGATATATACACATAGGTACACACACACACATGCCACTCACACAGACACACAGGAAGGAAGGGAGGGGCAGGGGAGGAGAAGGACCATTTCTCGGTGCAGTCTGTTTTCTCCTCTGCACTCTGACCACACCATTCTCTGCTGTTCTTTGTCTTCCTCCTCCCAGCCTTGGAGGGCTTCCACTATTCCCCACTCTTTCAACAGCAGGGTTTGGTAAACCTAGACTTGAGATTGAAGGATTGGCTTTCACCCCCTGCTCTGCCACCTTCTAGCGAGATGACTCTGAAGAAGTCACTCGCTGTCCTGGGTGTTACCTTGGGAAATGAAGTGGTTGGTGATAAAATCTCTCCTAAAAACCACTGTTGCAGCTGCTTGCTAATCTCACCTCTTGGCTTGCTTGGTTTTAGGTTGTAGTGGTGATGATGATGGTGATGATGATGGATAATGGTGATGATGATGGTGATGATGATGATGATGGTGATGATGGTGATGATGGTGATGATGATGATGGTGATGATGGTGATGATGGTGATGATGGTGATGATGATGATGGTGATGATGGTGATGATGATGAAGATGTAATGATGATCATTGTGATGATGATAAATGATGATGATGGTGAGGACGGTGATGGTGATGATGATGATGATGGTGATGATGATGGATAGTGGTGATGATGATGGTGATGATGATGGATAGTGGTGATGATGATGGTGATGATGATAAAGATGTAATGATGATAATGGTGATGATGATAGATGATGGTGATGATGATGATGGTGAGGACGATGATGGTGGTGATGACAGTGATGACGATGATGGTGATGATGATGAAGATGTAATGATGATAATTGTGATGATGATAGATGATGATGATGGTGATGATGATGATGATAATGGTGATGATCATGGATGATGGTGATGGTGATGATGATGATGATGATGGTGATGATGGTGATGATGGTGGTGATGGTAATGGTGATTGATGATGGTGATAATGATGATAATGACAATGGCTTCCTCCTACTTTAGGGGGCAGACACCACAGAGGATGGAGATGAGAAGAGCTCAGAAAAGCAGAAACACAGTGCCACCGCTGTGTTTGGAGCAAACACACCCATCGTTTCCTGTAATTTCGACAGTAAGTTTTACAGACTGATGTAAGTTCTGTATCTGTTATTTTCATTGAGAAAACTCTTCGGATCATCAAATAAGATAAAATCTCAGATGAAAGTGACTTTCTAGTTCTTCACTTAATGAAACACAGTCTGAAAAACTATATTATATTTGGGATGAAGAATGATTAAATCACTGATTTTAATGTCTGTCTAAAATACTCATTCCAGCTAGAAAAAGCCTAAATTATTATCTTAATTACAGAAAAAAAAGCTAAAGTTTTAGGGAAGTCTAGTCTCAATGCCAGTCTTCAAGAATCTTGGGATGTTATTAATAATAGCAATGTTTACATAGGTCTTGATATGTACCAGATATTCAAGCATTTATTGTTCTGGAATTCAGACATTCAGTCAATACTCTGCTATCCTTCAAACTGTGTGTGTGTGTATGTGTGTGTGTGTGTTAATAGTAGTAGTAGTAGGTGGTGGCTACTTGTTCATTCCTGGCCGCCCAAACCCAAAATAATCACACAGAAACTATATTAATTAAAACACTGCTTGGCCTATTAGCTTAGGCTTCTTATTAAGTAACTCTTACATCTTAAATTAACCTATTTCTATTGGTCTATATAACACCACTAGGCTGCAGCTTCCTAGTGCTGACATGTCACTCCTTCAGCAGCTACATGGACTCCACCTTCTTTTTTCCTCTATCTCTGCTTGGAATTCCCACCTTGCTCTATTCTGCACTGCCATAGGCCCAAAGTAGCTTCTTTATTAAACAATGGTAAGAAAATATAGTCACAGCATACAGAGGAGAATCCCACATCATGTGTGTGTATGTGTTTGTATGCACACATGCATGAATGTGTGTATATGTCTGTGTGTATGTGTGTGTACATGCATGCATGTGTCTGTGTGTGTGCATTAATAAAAGGAGTTTGAAAATTTTAAAAGTCAAAGAAACGTTCAGCAGAAAATTATCACAGACCTTGGTCTAACATAGCACCAAGGCCTTGCTCTGTGGCTGCTAGAAACCCAGGCTCTTTATATAGTCTGTGATGAACAGCTGTGCACTAAATCCAGGAAGGTCACAGCAGGACCAATGTCCTCCCAATGACCATATTGGCATCGGGACTGTTACAGCAGTCACTTGTTTGATTTGATTTTATCTTTAGAGGAGGTTTCTGTATATAATCCAGGCTGCCTCTGCCTCTTGTTTGCTGGGATTGCAAGTGTGCAGCACCACACCTGGTGTATAGTAGTTTAAATACACTCCCTTTACACTCTCCCCTGCCTCTTAACCACACTAGATCCACTCTAAGACTCCCGGCCAACCCTGCTGATAAACCGTCTAGTATTATACATGCATACATGTGGTGAAGTTTAATTTATAAATTAGATATAGTAACCAGTAAATAGCAGTAACATGATAAACATAAAGGGTATTAAAATCACTATAATAATCTGCCAATATCACTACTCTTATGTTGTGGGCTTTTATTAAATAAATAAGGGTTATTTCCTATAAGCCCTACAGTGTGACTACATCAGTCAGTCTGAAAACTGAGAGAAGGAACTACTGAGTGGCTAACATGCAGGCAGCATATACAGCATGGATACACTGGACAGAGGCATGACCCACACCCCAAGTGAGATGGAGCTGAATATTATGAGATGTTCACACTACAGAGCTTGCAATAAGAAACTTGTGAATTATTTATTTTTTGACCATTCCACTGTTTGCATTGGAATTTATACAAACATTCTTATGTTTGTGACCTGAGATTGACTCTGGGCAACTGAAATACAGGAAGCAAAACGGTGGATAAGAGGATCACTGTAAGTTTTCTTGCATAAGAAACCACTATCTTGGGAAAATTTGTGCTCTATGCTATGGGGAAATGGACAAGCGGCCTATGAATCTGAAACACATATCACCTCCAAACATTCCAGAAAGATCTTGTTAACGGGGTCCTATTTCTTGTCACCCTCTTCTTTTCAGGAGTCTATGTCTACCACCTGCGCTGCTACATTTACCAAGCTAGGAACCTCATGGCTTTGGACAAAGACAGCTTTTCAGGTGACGGGGAAATCCTTAATATACTATAGCATGGCGGGCTAGCTTGACTCGACTGCCTCTCTAGTGGGTTTGTGTTTTGTTTGTTCTCATTTCTTACAAGAAACCCCTCTTCATAGAGAAGCTACTTTGAAGTATACTTGGACTATACTTGAAGAAAACGACCCGATGGTTTCTAAAGGAGTTACCAGCTGCTTTAGGAACATACACAGAAGCCATGTGGCCCTTGGACACTAAGGATCACTTATTGAGCCATGACGTGTCACAAAGAGCATCTACTGTGCTCCCCTTGTGTGCATGGCTGCATTTTAGACCTGGGTCCTGGGCCGTTTGGTGAACTCAAATTCTTTACATTTTTTGCTTATATTCTCGAGATGATAAAAAAAAAAGATCACACAGTTAACCCTTTAACCCACAGCAACTGACTGTGAGCCATATGCTTGTATATTTCCTGCCTCCTCTGCTGCTTACCGCTAGCCACCTTCTAGCACTGTGTAACTATGAGGCTTCAACATCCTCATACTGGTGCCCAGGTGGTTTTGGCTTTACTTCTTCCTCCGAAAGTGCAGTGAGTGCAGGAACCATGTCTGGTTCTTGTTTGGATCAACTCTGGAAACACTCACCTAATGCTATCATGTACTGTACTTGTGTCAAGTCTGAGCTGTGTCTCAGCACTCCCCTGGCTCAGTATTGGGAATTATTTCCTTCCCTAATAAATTAGACCAAATTATCTGGATCTGATCTATAAATTAGATCCCGTTCTTTAAATCAGATCCTGTAGAGCAAAGCTTCAAAACTGTTTTAAAGAAATTTCTCAAATAGTATCCACCAGGGGGCACTCCCTTACTGTAGATCCAATTGGAATTTTTAGAAAAATCCTTACTTGTGTTTGCATAAAACTTCAAGCCCATTTCTCACAGTTGAAGATGCAAGATTGATCAATGGGGCAAAATAAAAAAGTTCCATCCATGTGATGGCATAGGCATTATTTTATTGCTGGAATGTCACCCCTCTGGGAAACTGAAATGGTTTAGTGTTCCTCACCACGTAGGAGAACCCAGAATAATTTTTGGTATATAAGACTGGAAACACTTTTCTGGTGTTACAAGCTGTAGATTCTGAGAGCAGCTGAGACTTTCTTATTCACTGCTGTATTCATAAACCCGGCACTCTGGGTGGTGGTGGTGCAGGCCTTTAATTCCAGCAGATCTCAAGCTCAAGGCCAGCCTCGTTTCCAGAGTGAGTTCCAGGTTAGACTCCAAAGCTATACAGAGAAACCCCGTCTTGAAAAACCAAAAAAGCAAAGCCAAAATAAAAAACCTGGCACTCGACCCCTTTGCTCGTATTATCGAGTGACTGGTTTATATCCACAGAAACAGCTGACCGGAGCTAGTGGGAGCTCACTGACTCTGAACTGATAGCAGGGGAACCTGCATAGGACCAAACTAGGCCCACTGAAGGTGGGGGGGGGCAGGTGTGAGACTTGGGCAGTCTGTGGGGCCACTGGTAGTGGAACCAGGATTTATCCCAAGTGCTTGAACTGGCATCTAGGAGCACATTCTCTTCGGAGGGATACCTTGCTCAGCCTAGATATAGGGGGGAGGGCCTTGGTCTTGCCTTGAAGTGAAGCTTCAGACTTTGTTGACTTCCCATGGGAAGACTTATCTTTTCTTAGGAGTGGATGGGCAGGGTGGAGGGAAGGGTGGAGCAGGAGAAGGGGAAAAAGTAGGAATGGGGATAGCTATGTAAAATGAGAGAAAATTGTATTTTAAAAATCTTTTAAAAAATTATGGCCTCAAAAAAAAGGAAGGAAGGAAGGAAGGAAGGAAGGAAACAAAACAAAACCCCGGCACTCAAATATAAATCTTTCAAAATAGATATCATTAGAAGCAAATGCATGAAATAAACTGGTATTTATCAGCTTATCAAAACAGCAGAAAGAAAAACATAAAAATAACCGGTATTTATGAGTGATGTGGCTAACAGGCCGTGTCCTAAGCAGCCCATGTTCTTCACACCATTTCGTCTTCTGTCCACTGGGGACAAAGGAAGGAACAAAGGAAGGTTAAATATTTAGGAAGATTAAATATTTTTTTCTCCTAAGGTCATGGAAACAGGGGCTTGACACCATATGCGTCTAGTTGCAAAGCTTGTACTCTAGATTATGCCTGTGAAAGAGCGTGTGCCTGACCTGATTAACCTTGTTAGGCATGAGTACACTCCAGAGAGACACCCCTTTGCACACACCAGGGTCTCCCTTTAGGTGCTTCTCACTCACTATGATACCTTCCTCTGTGAGGCCCAGCGTTCTAGAGTCCTTGTCTTAATGGGCGGTGAAAGCCTGTGACAGCCATGTGCACAAGAAAGGCCGTGGGAAGAAATGGGCTGTCCTGGAAAGGCAGACTTCGCCTTGACTCTGTCGTTGTCTTTCTCTGCCCGTAGATCCATACGCTCACGTCTCCTTTCTCCATCGAAGCAAAACCACGGAGATCATCCACTCCACTCTGAATCCCACCTGGGATCAAACGATTATATTTGATGAGGTGGAAATCTTTGGGGAACCCCAAACAGTTCTACAGAACCCACCCAAAGTTATCATAGAACTTTTTGACAATGACCAAGTGGTAGGTAACATGATATTTTAAGACGGCCTGGGGACATGGTAGAGGTCTCTAAGGGTTCTTTGATCAGGAGTTTGAATGTGGTTTCCTTCTGTAGGGCAAAGATGAATTTTTAGGTCGAAGTATTTGCTCTCCTTTGGTGAAGCTAAACTCAGAAACAGATGTCACCCCTAAGCTTCTCTGGCATCCGGTCATGAACGGAGACAAGGCTTGTGGGGATGTCCTTGTGACAGCAGAGCTGATTCTAAGGAACAAGGTACATCTTTTTGTTCTCGCTCTTGTATTCCTTGAGTGACTTGAAGCATCCTGCTCATTCCAGGCACTCTTGGCTCTAGTGAAAAGGAAGTATTGACAGCCTATGCTTGTTCCACAGGATGGCTCCAACCTTCCTATTCTTCCCTCTCAACGAGCACCGAACTTATACATGGTCCCTCCAGGGATCCGGCCCGTGGTTCAGCTCACTGCTATTGAGGTATGTATTCTCGCCAACTTTCACCCGATCAAACCAAAGGGTAGAACAAAGCACGAACTGTTAATGCAGAGAATGGCGTCAGGCTGCATGTCTATAAAATCTTCCCCCCCAAAATAGAAATAGTTATAGAAAATTGAAATCTTAACAAAAAGCACCAAGAAGCAGATTTCTGAGACTTGGGGGAGTTCACCAGAGAAAGAGAAGATGGCCCAAGAGAAAGTGCCTGTGGGAACAGAGAGAAGGACCTGCAAGGGAGGCAGAGGCCAGGAATAGGGAAGCGTGTGGACAGTGGCGGCAGGAGAGATAATTAGGGCAGACACAGGCTAGGGGAGATAATGTATCTGGATAGAGTGTCCAGATAAGGCGAGTGTTGTTAGCGCCTCTGTTTTGCCTGGGTGTTCTCGAAGACAGACACGGGAAGCTTCAAACAACAGCTACCGGTTTGGAATGCTTGCAAGTCACTTACCGGAGAAGAGGTTTATACTTGATCCTCCAAATTGCCCCACGGTAGATCACAATGTGAATCCTGTTTGCAGCAGACACACAGCGAAGCTGACTTTACATTACATTTACAGCTATGGGGCTCTTTTTTATAGCTCTCAACAGAAGGGAAGGAACAACACTTCCTCTGTTGTTCACAGGTTCCTGAAGATAACACTCCCTGGTATTTTAGACAAATGTATGGAAGTCCATCTTAAAGACTGTCCTGGTGATTGAGGCTGGATTTCTGCTTATACGTTTTGTTATTCTTGTTTGGTAGTTTTGGTTTTTGTTTGTTTCTTTGTTTTTTGAGATGGGGTTTCTCTGTTTAGCCCTGGTTGTCCTGGATCTCACTCTATAAGACCAGGCTAGCCTTGAACTCAGAGATCTACCTTCCTCTAGGTGTGTGCCACCACCACCAAAATTGATATGGTATTTTTAATATGTCAGGTTTCCTTCCCTCCTCTTTTAACTTGTTTTCTCAGATTCTAGCTTGGGGCTTAAGAAATATGAAAAACTACCAGATGGCTTCTGTCACATCCCCCAGTCTGGTAGTGGAGTGTGGGGGAGAAAGAGTCGAATCGGTGGTGATCAAAAACCTTAAGAAGACGCCCAACTTCCCAAGTTCTGTTCTCTTCATGAAAGTGGTACGTATGTAGACTGCGCAGTTCACATGTGTCCATGCCTGAAGCATGAGTGTATACTCCTGTGTGTGTCCATATCTGAAGCATGAGTGTATACTCCTGTGTGTGTGTTCATATATGAAATGTGAGCATGTATTCCATGTGTGTTCATGCCTGAAGTGTGAGTATATACATCCATGTGTGTCCATGCCTGAAGTGTGAGTGTATACTCACCAACAGCAGAGTCTGACAGACAGAAAACCTAGCCCTGTACTGAGCATGTCAGAGGTCCCCCTTCCTTAGGTTGTCTGATTCCAATTTCTGAAAGCTTCAAGCAGCTCCAGCCATGGGGACATGTGTATGAACACCACTTGTTTCTCCAGTGAGTGTTTGATCTCTAGTATAGGCCTTAGTAGTCATGCACAGTTCCAGCTCGGTGCTGGGCACAGTTATCACCCTCCCCTTCCCTTAGAAGGAGTGAAAAGGTTGACTAATGTATAACTAATGTATGGAGCAGGACACAGCGAGTGAGTGGCCAGAACTTGGACTAGGGTCCGTCCACTCCCGAGCCAGAAGTCTTTCCCTCTGATGCTGCAGATGGACAACCTCATGGATGTGTAGAAGCAGAATCCCTAACTGGTCACCCCAAAGACACTCTGCCTATCCTTTCTGCTCTCTACCCTCCTCCCCTGTAACTTCCAGTCTAGGACCCAGCTTTGAGTGAGAGGAGGCACTCAGGGAGCCCCGTCCTCTCTTCCAGTGAAGGCCATGACAGACATGCATCCAAACCACAATCAAGCTTCCAGGTCAGGCCCATGTTCTCCAATCAGGGCATGTCATCAAGGCCCCTAGATTCCAGGACAGTGAAGGCAAAATGAGCATCTCTGTTTGGCTTTGAGCAACTAGTGTTGCGGGAGCTCCTTCTGCTCCTTCAGCCTATAGCCGCTGAGGGAAGTGGCCGCTTTTTTAAAGAGAGAGAGACCACGCCCCAGTGGGCTGGTATCTCAGCGGCTATTGGCTGAAGGAGCAGAGCGGAAGGAGCTCCCGCAACACCCTAGCACTGAAGGATTCCCAATCTGTTATTTCCCTTGAAAGTTTATCTGTGTCTCCACTGTTCCTAAATTCTACTTAAACCCTGTCTAGCAGATAGCTAAAGTTCTGGACAGTTACTGTCACTGAAATAACTCTCAGGTAGAAATAGGGTCAGGAGTGACAAAGACTCATTCCCCATGATGCTTGCTTTCTACACCTTAAGTGCTTCATGTATGGATTCCACGGCTCTACTAGTAACGAGGAAGTAACTGGGCATAGAGGGTTAGAAAAGTTCCTAAGGTCATGCACTCTGTGACAGCAGAGGGAGGGTTTGATCTCGCAGAGCCTGGCTAAAAGAGAATGCTCTAAGCTCTGAGCCCACTACTGGGCACCCCAACCACTGGAGGGCCTCTGGAAGGTCCCTGGGTTATGTTCATAGGGCACAAAGAAGCTGGGCTGGTCCCTTGGGAGAATTGACAGCTATCCCTGCCAGATCTCGGAGAAAAAAAAAGGCATCTGTGTTTTGTGATCCCTAGTTCTTGCCCAAGGAAGAACTGTACATGCCTCCACTGGTGATCAAAGTCATTGACCACAGGCAGTTTGGGCGGAAACCCGTGGTTGGCCAGTGCACCATTGACCGCCTGGACCGCTTTCGCTGTGATCCATATGAGGGAAAAGAGGATATTGTACCTCAACTAAAAGGTACGTCTGTGGGCAAGTCTGTACATTACGTTTTTGAGCTTTTTACACCTAGTCAGATTGAATGTCTGCAAACCATAGCCTCTGTCTAGATACTACAGAGGAAGAAAGTTGTGATTTCCAGTGGGCTAGGGAAATACAGAGAGTCATGGGACAGCCAGCCTGAACTCGAACTACTTTGAGAGGCAGAATCCTGGCATGCTTTGCTCCTGCATAAACTCAGTGTGTCTTTGGAGGGAATGTTGCCTGCTACACCGGCTTCCCTATTTGTCTTTGAGGAAGGATCCTGAAGACTCAGGGGGTACTGTCCCCACATCAATGAAAGGGATTGAGACATTCAGCCTCCAACAAATAGTTGTTGAACATTCATAGAATGTCATTCATTGGTCTAATTGCTGGGGAGACCAAGGGACCAAAACAATCTTGTCCTCAAAGTCAAAGCATCCAACAAGAAAATGAATGTGTGCAAGTCAGTGCTGTGAATATTAGATGTGGAGAAACAGAACCTCCTGTATGTGGACACAGAGATCCCATCCATGAGGATGATTTTTCTTTCTAAATGGCAGGGTTTTTCTTTATAGTTCATGATAAACTTGGACTCTGTCATCTCCTCCCTCTCTGTCTCAAGTGCTAGGGTTACAGGTTTGTTTTCCCTGGCCAGCTCTAGGGAGGAAATTGCTATTCCGAGTTACTTTGTCCATGGGCCCGCTTCATTGACACTTGACAAAGATGTCGTGAGGTCATTTGAAAGCTACCCCATTGTTATCCACACAAGAAAACTTTAATGATTTACCTTAGGTTGTATAGTTAATATGCAAGTGATAGGACAGGCTATAATATTTAACTTAGACTTCAATAACAAATAGGTAATGATACAGTGTTTTGCCCTTCTCCATTCAATAGATCTTTGTTTTTTAGTTTACTATGTACTTAGTACTGTGTTAAGGGCTGGGGGCTCAGTCACTTGGTGTACAAGATCACAGACCTTTTGTCTTCATGAGTTTAGACCTCAGTCAAGGACTGGAAAATTCTATCCATTTTTCACTGAAAATTCTATTCAAGATATCTTCTGTTTAAGCAAATATACTACAAGTCAATCCTGGGTAAACTGGTACTTAGGAAGAAATTTGCTCACAGAGGTATTCAAGCATCCTTGTCCATCTGGCTCTTGAGTCCTGTGTGGGCTACAGTTGCAGATTAGTTTATATCCAAAGTTTCTGGGCAACTTATCTACCTGAGGGTACCAGGTGGATGGGAAATTCCACCTTGAAACAAATGGTTTTAAGATAGATGCTCAGTAAATGTCCAGTTCCTTCCTCTATCTGAGTGTTTCTCTGACTCTGATTTATTGAGCGTTTGCTCTTCCCTGGGTTCTGGGGTGATTGATAACAAAGAAACCAGAGTCTAACAGAGCTAGTCTATGAACTTATTCCCATCCATCAATGTTCAATTTGCAGCAACTAACCTTTCTCCTTCTTGCTTCAGTTTAAGTTTTTATCTTTAAAGTGGAGATAATAACATATCTTAAGGATTATCAAAGGGCCACATGAGATCATGTAAACAATTCGCTTAATTAGCCCAATGCAGGAGCATGGTAATCCTTCCCCAGAGTACCTTCCTTTCCATTCATGTCCTCTATGTCCAATGCCTGGGTAGGTAACCTTATGGGAAGGTCTTTTGACTTGGTGGGGTTTTTTTCTGTCTGAGTTCTGACCTAGGCTCTTCTTCAATTATTCAACAGCTATGTTCCTGTGACTCCACCCTGGGTATCAGGCTGGTCCTTAGGCACCTGCCTTTGATTGGGTGAGATAAACCCAGGGACTCCAGGGCCTGTTCTTAAGCCCCTGCTCTTAATCCTAAATCCAGAGTTGCATCCATCTGGAAACTGCGTGTAAGATCACGCCATGGACTTCTCCCTCTGCATACGCTGGGAGAGCAAGGGCTGGCTGAACAGACAAAAGTAGCGTCTCGCTGATGAAAGAAACACATCCTGCTTTTTCTTCTCCCCTCCCCTTCCCTTCTTCTCTCTAATCACCTTCTCTGTCCTCTATCTTCCTCTACTCTTCTGTGTTTCTCTATCCCATTTCCCAAGAAAATGAGGCTCTTTTAGACACAGGTTCGCCATCCTCGTGCCCACTCCTACATAATCAGCACAATCTTTCTAACTATTTTTCTTACAGTGTGCATGGGTGTGGTGCCTAGGTGAAGGGCAGAGGCCACTTGCAGCAGTCACTCCTCTCCTTCCACTGTGAGGTCCTGAGAACCAAACTCAGGTCATCAGGCTTGGCATCAAACACCCTTACCTGAGAGCTGCCTCTCTGCTCTCCAGAACAATTCTTTTTCAAGCACTTGTCATGGGTAGAAATTGTGTTAACTACCCAAAACCAAGAAAAAACGAGCCCCATAGTCCCCTATAAAATGCCTAAAGCCTTACACTCTTCTGAGACAGTGATGAGGGTAGCGTCATTTCTACATTCAGGTATGGAGAGTCTCACCCAGGTTAACTCTCTCATCCGTCCTATTGCTGCTCAACTTGATCATGAAGTAGAATGCTCTCTAGTGTGTTGTCCTAAGCGTCCTATATTATGAAGTTCTTTCCCTTGCAGCCTCCCTTATGTCTGCACCCCCGTGTCGGGATGTCGTCATTGAAATAGAAGACACCAAACCATTACTGGCGTCTAAGGTAGGTTGTATGCCAGATGCCTAAGCAATGTGTGTATTCAACCATTCAAGGTTATTAAAATAATGGTCATCAAAGCAATTTACAAGGGCTGAATAGTAACAAGATCTGAATCTTGTATTCATCCAAAGACACTTATCAACCAGGCCTTCTTAAAATTTTCTATTTATAACCCCTTTTTATCTGAGAAGTTTTTACACAGCCCCAGGTATAAAGGTCTATAAAATAAGGTATACAAATAAAACATATACTAATAATTAATTATAAAATTTGTATAAGTAATTTTTTACTAGACATAATTTTACCATTTGTCTAAAACAAAATCAAGTTGGTATTCTAATGAGATAGACGTGCTTATTCATTTTTACATAAAAAATTAAATCTCAGCTGGATATGCAATACCGCAGGACATAGAGCATCATTAATAATTTTCATGGTTGATTAGTATTTTGATTTTATAGTCATCAACGCTGAAACTCCGCTTTGCATAAATGTGTAGTACTAATTCAAAATGGCAGAAGTAGTTTAGGGCCATTTCAGAAATGGTTGAAAATTCTGTCCGAAATCCAAACCAAAATTCATCTAACTTTTAATGAAACTCAAATAGAAATCTTTAAAACTTGAAATTCTAACTAATGCAATCTAAAAATATAGTAATTTGACACCTACGTGATAAAGATTATGATGGGAAAATAACATGTCTTTATTTTCCATAATTAAACCATTACGTTTCCATGAGAGCAGAAAGCTCGGTGTGTAAAAACACTGAGTGTATGCTGGTCTCAGATCTGAGCTGGGGTGTTTCAGGAGATATTCACTGGTGTTGTGTGGTGTGACTACATGCACAATACAAAAATGCATGGGCTGCGGATTCAGCAGCAAGTCTACGATGGAATCGCACAGTGCAGCATGGGCGAGCATCACCAGAAGCGCTTTGGGCTCATTCCACACTTTAGTTCTAGTTAAACTTCAGTTGTCACACATTTAGAAATCTTTCGCTATTGTCAAATTTCCTGTGACACCCCCGCTCCCCCACCAGGTCATAACCTACAATTTAAGAAGCCAGGGTGTGGACTAGCAGCTTCAGCCCCTACTAGTCAGCCACCTAGGATACTTAAAACATTATCAATGTACATAATTCAAACACATGCATAAAGAATGGAGAACCGCTGGTAGGGGTAGTCCAAGTGATACCAAGTGTTAGATGCTTCTAGAACAAATTGTAAATTTAAAGCAATAGTGAGAACTCGCATGTCAGGATCCCCCCCCCCCCGTGTGATGCTGGATTGTCATGGTTAGGAATGACCCTGTTTGTCAGTACATGAAACACCCTGGGTTTTTATATTCACTCTGGAAGAGGTTGGTGGGAATCCTTCCTCGGGATCCAGTCTGAAAACCATCCCAGCCACTTCTATAGGAAGGAACAAGAGAAAAAGGAAAACCCAAAGAGCTCACTGTTTCTCTTGGCATTTAGAATAAACTTTCACAGCATGTTTTAATACGCACACTGACTGGAAAATACACATGATTGCGCTGTAATGTGCTATGTCCATAGACGGCACTTTTTAAAAACCCACTTCTTCCCTGCTGCGTTAAGCTCACTAACAACTGGCCTGTGTTAAATGTCGTCTCCACAGCCAGGACTGGAAGGCTGTGTTTGATTCTACTATGTGGCAGTTCTCCACAATCACAAGATGACAATAACAAATTCCCAACACCACAGGGCAACGTGACTATGTTCACTTATTGAAAATAACCCCAATTAGTATCAATAAATATCAACAGGAGTTGCCTAGGGAGAAGTTATGTGCTTAATACTTAAGATTCTCCATGGGAATTTTCACAACCACTCTGGGAAAAGGCAGTGTGAGATCCCACTCGATACTCTGCCTCCAGCTTACCATCAACCGCTGCCAATCAATCCTGCCTGCATGCCTTCTGGGTACTGGGTCATCCTCAGTACTATTGGGGAATAAGGAAAACGGTGTCAGTACTACACGCCAGTATTTCTGCTCCTTTCTTGACAGTCTCAGACTAGGTTACTCTAGCAACACACTGTGAAAGGTTCATTTGCCTCAGCTTTTAACAGGGAGGAGTAGCAGGCCCAGAGACGGTTGAGTCAAGTCATTCCCGCTACATTATACATGACTGTAACGGGCGCGCTCCCCTCACACCTAGTTGAGGTCCTCTGAGTTCATAGGAAAAGGTAAAATCTCCTGAACGCCCACCTCCATCTGTTTGTCCAGGTAGACATTACATCTGTCTGTAAAGTCTAATGAGTAACACTGAGATTTGGAAGAGCCAATGGCGAGCTTACTAATGTCCTTTATGACATGTATCACATGTACATGTAATGTGTACGTTATTACCACTAACTCAATTTAGTCTTTGTATCTGCATGAATGAGTCTGTCTATGCTGCTGCTGAGGACTGGAGGCCGGAGACTGAGTCTTTCGTGACGGCATCATCCTTTATGATGTCTGTGGGAACTCTTAACAGATGAGCTTAGGGCTCTGTAAAGAAAAGCAGGAAGCGAGGATGGGGGGCATATTGGTCAAGTGCCATCCAGCCAGCACAGACATCCCTTCATGGTCGTCTCAACAATTGCCTTCCAATTCCAGTGCTTAAGCAGTATGTCGACAGCACTCAGCAAAATGGCTTCTCCAAGGACAGTGCATGTATGTATAATAATATGTATGAGGCTTCATGGGACTGGGGAATCATGGTCTAAGGACCTGAATTCCTCCGGGGTCTATTAGCAGATTTTGGAGTGAAAGGTGACCTTTAGACAATACTATCATTCTAGAGGGGAGACTGGCCCATGCCATGTAATGCTTTGAATTGGATTTTCAACTTCATTTATTCGATTGAAAAAAAAAAAAAAGAAAGTCACATGAGTTGCTGTCCTTCCTTTTCTGCATGGGATAATGAGCAAGCAGAAGTGAAGGAACCCTCCCGGACTAGCCCTGAAATTTAAAGTCAGCAACTTGTCTTGGATGCCTTTTCAACACAGCCTGTTCTTTACCCTCAATCAGTTCTGCATGACTTAAAATAAACACAAATGAACAGACTAAATACTTGGATTCAAGACACTGAGACTGTGAAAAGATTTTTTTTTTTTAATTCCTCTCTCCAAAATCTCACTCCACCTGTGATTATTTAACCCTAATCTTGCTTTGGGATGAATCTAATAAGAAGAATTGATGCATCTCATTCTCTCTGCCTCCCTTGGCAATTCTGTTGTAACAAGGATCAGTCTAGATAGGAATACTGAGGACCTGAGGAAGCCAGTGGCCCTCCCCACAGCAACCACAAAAGTGTGGTAGTGAACAGTTGATCTTACATTGGAAAGGAAGTTGGGATTTCAGGAAGGGGGACTGGGTAGCATTTTCTCACACTGGCTCAGAGGGTGAGCTTTGCCAGAGTCCCAGCGAGAACCAGGAGGAAACTCAAAGTCTAACAAACTCTAGCTCTTCCTTCTCTCACTCCTGCGCATGCCCTAACACCAGGGGCAAATTCTCCATGCAGGAATTCAAGTGGAAGAATTTGGCTAAAGAGAAACCTACCATCCTTGTATTAGAAGACTTTCTCATGTCAGGATTGCTGTGGTATTCTCACAGAGGCGGGAGGGGGGAAACACAGGAAAGGCATCGACATGATACCTGCGGTCACGCACACCTTGTGACAGGACAGCTCTTGAAGGGTTGAGAATGAGGTCACACTGGGGACATGCTTTGGAGCTGCGTGGAATGAGAGGCTGGGAGAAGGAAGATGAGTAGCTCTCTCCTGTGCACCCACCGTGTTAGTCGACCACAGTATAGTCCACCTCCACTAAAAACACAACATGGGTGCATACCTCCAAGCATTCAAGTACTGTGTGGAACTCCGTGGTGTGTTTCCAGAGAATTCTGAGATACATTCAATGATGAGATGCTTTTGGCTGGAATAATTAGATGATCTATTAAATGTTGATATTGTAAAGTACGCAGGAAAATAATGTTTCTCTCTCTCTTTCTCTTTTAATGTTCATGGGATCTTAAACCAAACATCCACGTGACCTGTGTATGATTTTCCTTACTACTGACATCATATGTTCAGCTGTCAGAAAAGGTAACTATTGTACATATTTTTGCACATTTAAGACTCACGGGGTCAGGGGTGCTGCTCGGGAGTAGAAAGCTTGGCTTGACATGTGCAAGACATTTGGTTCAATGTTCAATACATGTATTTCCTGTCTACAACTGGTATGTAAAGACTTTTTCCTAAGTTCAGGGATGGATTGATGATCTGCAAAAGGCAAATAACTCATTGTAACTACACACATGTGTGTGCACACACATCTGTATGAATATACATCTAAAGACATATAAAGATACATGTGTATATAAGAATTTATATACATTAATCTGTAAGTACAAAAAAGAAACAGACTTTTTATGATTTCATTTGCATGGATATGTATGGTGTGTGGATATGCACACGTATGTGCAGGTACTGAGGCAGGAGGATGATTAGTTTGGGGCCAGTTTGAACTCTGTATCAAGACCCTGTGCAGGAATGAAGGAGGGAAGGAAGGGAGAGGGAGGAAGGAAGGAAGGAAGGGAGGGAGGGAGGGAGGGAGGGAGGGGAAGGGAAATGAAAGGAAAGAAAGGAAAGGAAAGGAAAATGGGATGGAGGGAGGAAGGAATGGAGGGAAGGAGGAATGGAGGTGGAAAGGGAAGAAGAGAAATAGAAAAAAAGAGATTAAGATCTATGCAGATACTCTGCCTTATATACTATCTCTTCTGCCCAACCAAGAACCATCAAAACAAGAGGTTCGCAGGTCTGGCTGTAACTGAAATCCCCTGGGGGGCAACTATAATGAACACCCAGTTCTCTGCCCAGAATGACTGAATCAGAATCTTCAAGAATGGAGTTGGAGTCCCTAGTGTAAATGAACCATAATCCTCCCTACCTTTGTTTCACATGTGAAATGTTTCAGAGTTCGCTCTCCTAGTGATCTTGTTTGATTTTCAAATCAACTCTAGGAGGCGGATGGAGCCGGTTGTTACTATCTTACTTGCTAGATGAAGAAACTGATGATCAGAGTTGCAGAACAAGTTGCCCAAGGCACTGTGGCTCGTAACCTAAGGACTAGAACTAGAACCAGCTCACCTGACTCCTAGTTTAGAGAGCTTGGTATTACTGCTAACAGAGCTAAAGAAATGAGATCATAGAAAACACATGTTGGAAATGCTATGCTAATTTATCTGTGGAAACAAATATTAACAGCAAAGAAACAAAGAGACATTAATAAATCATATGCATTAGATCTAAGAGAAACTAATAAAGGTGTGGACACTGAATGAAGCAAACACATTTCATTAGCAGCTAGGGTGATAGATGGCAATGGGTACAGTGCTTGCTCACAAGCTCGGGGACTCAAGTTCTAGCCCCAGCATATGCTTGAAAATGCAGAGTATGGTGGTGCATGCTTATATTCCAGCACTGGGAAAACGGAGACAGAAGGATGACTGGGTTTGCTGCCCAGCAAATTTAGCCCACTGGTGAGCCCCCAGCAATAAGAGACTCTGCTCACAGGAGGTGACAGCATTCATGCAGTGTCACCTGAGGTTGACCTCTGGCCTCCACATACACTCCTACGCATCTGCACATGCATGTGTGCACACATACGCACCCCCCACATGCATGTGATTGGTTGAGGTCTACTTGAGCAGAATCATGAACGTGCTGCCCACAGTGCATATGAACAGAAGCATGGAATCTCAGAGTCAGTCATCTCTCATCTATTACACAGTGGTTTTCCCGTATGAATTAGAAATCCAGACTGTTAGTAAAGATGTTTTTCGTTTTGCCGTGACTTTAGGAGGAAGAGATCATTGACTGGTGGAGTAAATTTTATGCTTCTTCGGGGGAGCATGAAAAATGTGGACAGTATATTCAGAAAGGCTATTCCAAACTCAAGGTACTTGGACCTATGTCTGTGGGTGGGGAAAAGCTAGTCCCAGCATGCATAAGGCCCTGGGTTTAAAAGGCCTTTTGGTGGGTACTGATGGAGAGGGGCCAGGAGTGCCTCCTGAAGAGCCCTCTAGCAACAGGTTTGCCTTTGCCAAGTACCAGGACTTGAGGAAAGCTGCTGAGTTATAGTTGCGTGACTGTCCCTTTGGGGCTTGGGGGCATCTGGCAGAGGCTAGGAATGGGTTGGTACCATACTAATTAGGCCAACAATTATCCAGAATTGTTTGGCTCAGGGAGACCCGGAAGTCACAGTGTCCTTGCAAAGCCATTGATGTCAGCATGCTTCATTTTGTCTTGTGAACAGTGATCAGTTTTGCTAAACAAAAAGTTGATTCTGTTACATGTATGTGTCCCTGGTTGTCACATCACAACCATGGGCACACCTGTGCAGGAGGAAGCTGCAGAGCCAGGCAGGGGTAGCCATCTGGACTATTCTGATCATGCTCTGAGTTTTTCAGTTCTCCGTTTAGGTGCTATCTCTGTCAGCTGCAAATCCAAGTCAGAGCAAGGTATAAGAGGAAAATAAAATTAAGTGAGAAACATCTAGTTGTTAAAATCATCCCTCTATCAAAGTATAAGGACCTGTATCCTTGCTTGTTGATGCCGTGATATATTTGTGTGGCTTAGGTAACACCAGCACATAAGTGATCACATTGAAACCCGATGAGACTGAGCGAAGGGGACAGACTCATGTTCTGTCTTCCTCTCCTCCCTGACTCCCTCCTTCCTCTCTCTCCTTCCAGTCCACCTTTATTGCTTGTCTTTTTAAAAATCAAGATATAATTGATATGCCATAAAGTGATCCTTCCACCAAGTTTTGATGTTGTGCACACCTGTGCAAAACAGCGCCCAGGGCAAGGGGAAGACCATTTCCACACACAGAAAGTTCCTCTGTGCCCCCCTTCAAGCCAGTCCCCATGAGCGCAGCCTGCTGGTGAACCACTGATCTGGCTTCTACCATGTTACGTTGGCTCTGTCTGCTTGTGTGCTCCATGTAACTGGAATCACACCTTGTTACATCCTGCGTTTGGCTTCGTTGGTCCCATACTCTGCTGCTGAGACTTACCATGTTGTTGTGGTATTAGGAGTTTTTCTCCTCTTGCTGACTAGTATTGGATTAGACTGGGTTGGGGGTGGGTCAGCTCCACACTCTATCTTACCTCCATCCCCCCTCTCCATCCTCTCTCTTTCCTCCCTTTTCCTCCCTCTCTCCCTCTCCACAGTTTGTTAACTCATTCTCCTGACACTGGGCATTCTTGAACCACAAGGACTTGTTTCTGTTTCTCTTTGGTAAATTCCTAAAATCACCATTTCTGGGCCATAGGATAGGTGGATATTTAAATCCCTAAAGGAAGTGCAGCGTTTTCCCAAGAGGTTGTTTTATGCTGCCCCCACCAGTGAGTGAGTGTCCCATGTGTTTCCTCGCATCCTCCTGCCTTTTGGTACTCAGTCTCATTGACTTGAGACTCTGCCTTTGTATTAATGAGAAACTGAGACTCTGTTGTGGTTTCCAGATCTATGACTGTGAACTGGAGGATGTAGCTGAATTTGAGGGCCTGACGGATTTCTCAGATACCTTCAAGTTGTACAGAGGCAAGTCCGATGAGAACGAAGACCCGTCTGTGGTAGGAGAGTTCAAAGTGAGTCAGATATGTGTCTTTGTCCTGTTTCAAATTCATCTTCACTGCTTTTGTGGATCATGGAGGGAAGAAGTCTGCAGCAGAGCAATATTGGATTAGACCGTCCTCTGCCCTCTGCTCGGGGGAAAAGCTGCCCACAAGAAAAGGGCAAAGGGGAGCCAGGGTGTGTTTTTCCCTGATTGGGTCAGCCAGGCTTGAATCCGACAGGGCTCTTTCCAAGGCCTACTTTCTCCTCTGCACTTCTGCCCTCAGGGAATTTTAGCAGGATCATTATGGCAAGTTCCCAGGCCAAGCTCCTCACCACCTTTCTCCTTCCAACCAGTCTGCAGCCAAATCTGATCCCTGTCTGAATGGCTTAAGCACACCTCTTGGTTTCCCAGCTCAGTTCTCAGCTCCTTCCAAAGCTGAGCAGGCCTTTCGCAAGCCATGTGTCCCTCCAGCATGGAAGAACCACTCCCAAGTCCCAAACACACCTTGCAAGCCCTCTTGGACGGATGCGCAGAGCCTTGGGCCAGGCCCCTCTTCCTTCCCTGGATGCCCTTTCTTTCCTCTCTGTGGTCTGACCAAGCCCTGCTCCTGCCTTAAGCCAGCTCGAATGTCAGTGTTTGTCAAGAGTCCCCTGGTTGCTTTGGGCAGCATGACTCACCCATGCTCTGGGCTCCCACAGGTCTGGGTTCACCGCCTGTTGGGTTTGACTGCTGCTTCTCCTCCCCAGCACACTTGGCAGAGCCAGGGCACCTAACACTGCCTCGTCCTAATCCTTTGCCAATGGCAGACATGGCTAATGGATCAGAGGATTACACCCGACACAGGGTCTCAAATCCTCCTTGCCCTAGCTTCCCACTAAGCCAACAATAGGGCATCGAGTCAGACTAATCTCGCATCTTGTGCCACACTCTGGTTCTTGAGTTTTGGGTCCTCCACACCCAGTATTCAGTGGCTGCTTGCTTCACGACATGTTCCTTAATGCCGCTGGCTAGAACAAAGGCCCAAACATCCTAATCCCAACTCCGATGCCTTTCCCTGCACGATGGATTTCCCTGGGAGTGGGGCCCAGGCAGGTAGGGCTGACACAGAAGGGAGCCACCTTAGTACTCCACTGGGCTACTCCCATCTCCAAAATAATCTCAACTCCTTACCTCTTTGCCACCACCTTCCGTCACACTGACCAGTCACCTCCACTCCCTGTCCAGGTTGTCACCTGCTTCCTAATCGGCCCTCTTCTGAAATGATGGCTATAGAACCCCATCACGTTCCCTACTGGACTCACCCAAGGGCCAATGCATGTTGTTTCTTCCACAAACACAGATCCACATCGCCCAACTGTGTGATATGGAGGGGATCCTGTGTGCTCTAAAGAGGGGGACATTTCCTAAGAACCCTCTACTCAGTGGCCAGGGCCTTTGAAGTCATCAGTATGTGTCTCCCTCTCTCTCTTTCTCTCAGGGTTCCTTCCGAATCTATCCCCTGCCCGATGACCCCAGTGTGCCAGCTCCTCCCAGGCAGTTTCGGGAACTGCCTGACAGTGTTCCGCAGGAATGCACGGTTAGGATCTACATTGTTCAAGGCTTAGAGCTCCAGCCCCAGGACAACAATGGCCTGGTAAGAGTTTGGGTGTGGGGCCTTCTCCTGTAGCAGGATAATTACAGTCATCAGCCATGGTAATTGTCACCTTCTTTCTCGCTGGGCGTCTGTTATCTCACTAGGAGAAAGATACTCTAGCAAAACAATGTGTGCAGGAGGATTGTCCCCATGGGGATTTACCTAAGAGCTTTGAGGGGGATGCTTAGGGCTCTTTAGTTCATCCTTCTCGTGTTACTGATGTGACCCGGGACAAGATTTGCTCCAGTCACAAGCCCAGCCTGAGCAGAGTCAGGTCACCCCTACCTACACCCCACCCCACCTTCTCACCCACATAGCTGCTCTGAAGGTATGCTGGCTCCCTGCCACCCAGAGGAGAACCTTGCACCGAGCTCATCCCAGGCCCTCGGGTGCCCCAGCGCCTCCTTTGTCATCCGTGGGGAGTAGAGAGACAAGCCGAGTCTATCCCCGAGATTGACTTCAGTTTGCCCCCGCGATGATATAACATCTCACCCGTCTTGTCTCCACAGTGTGATCCTTACATCAAAATAACCCTGGGCAAAAAAGTCATTGAAGACAGAGACCATTACATTCCCAACACTCTCAACCCAGTGTTCGGCAGGTAACCAACAGTTCAAAGCATTCCTCCCTCACGAAAGGTGCCCTGCCCTGTTCGAGGCACTCCTACTGGGGGCAGGTAGCCATGTCCTCCTCAGGGAAACAGGCAGAAGTAGAAGGACTGGGAAGGACCATGAAGAAAAAAGGTCAAAAGATGGGTTTCTCTGGGTCAAGATCTGTCCCAAGTCTTTGGGTAGAAAGCAAGGCCCCGTAGGACAGTAAGCATTGGGGGCAATTGGAGTGGGGGGCTCAACTGCCACTAAATCCTGTTTTTGCTTCCAGAGGCTAGTGTGAGCTGTTTCCTGGACCAGCTCTCTCCTTGTGATCCAGTGACCATGTCACTGAGAGCAGGGTGCAAAGGGACAGGACAGAGAAGCTGCTTTCTGGGTCTTTAATGTCCCCAAGATCCTTAACACGGCATCGTTTTCTTTGTAGTTACAACCTTGACTTGTTTCTGGCTATAACATCTATATTTTTAAACATTGTTTTTATTTATGCCACTTCTTTGAACATGTGTGTGCGCATGTGGCAGTTGGGGACAACTTAGTCCCCTCCCTCTACTATGTAGGTCCCAGGAATTGATCTCAGGTCGTCAGGCTTGGCAGCAGGATCCTTTACCCAAGAGTCATCTTATCAGCCCCATTGCATAAATCTTGTCAAAGATGATTGTTGAGTAAAACCAGCATTAATCAGCTGTAAGCACTTTCCATATTCAGTAACAATTAATTTGCTGAACATTCAGAGTGAGCGGGTCCTCTGCTGAGCCATTTATAGAAGACATCTCAGAAAATCTCATGAAACTCTGAAGGGAACAGAAAGAGGCCCAGAGAGAATGTGTGCCTAATGTTCTCCTGGCCGTACGGAGAGGTCGCACTTGAACCCATGCCTCATGACCCCAGTGTCTCCATGGCACCAGCACCGCACTCTGTCCTGTCCAGGTCTCATTTTCTCCAGCGTTAGATACTCTGACCGGGCATGACGGGGTTAGGAGCCCTGCATCTCAGGTGAAGACACAAGTCCCCACAGCTCTGTCAACAAGCTGCAAGACCAGCGACAGAGACAGAAGGGGCCAGCTCCACAGCCGCAGATCCAGGCTTTCCCAGAGCCCTTGGCAGTACTTCATACTCAGAGCAAAGCTACCGTCTGTAGAGAAATGTTTGTTGTGCCGCACATGTGAGGAAGGGCTGGGAGAAGATTCCGTGACCAGCTGTGCAAGCGTGAGGACCGGGTTTTTGGATCCCCAGCTCTTACATCTGTAAAATGGGTGGAGGGCCGAGGCTGTGGCTAAGATGTGGCCACAGGATTCTGAGAATCCAAATTCCATCCCTGGAATCCTAGAGAGGGGGGGGGGGGAGCCAATCAGAGGCAGCTGTGCACATCTGTAATCCCAACACTTCTGTAGCCAGATGGGAGGAGACAGAAAAATCATCCAGAAACTTTCTGGCCAGCTAGCATGCAGTGTGCATCACAGAACAGAAACAAGAGAGAACCAACCGCAAAAGGGTGAGAGGCAAGAACTGACCCCCCAAAAGCTGCCCTTTGACCCTAACCCATGCACTGTCGCACATAATGCCCCCCCCCAATATTAAGAACTAAAAATATTTGTTCTTGGGTTTTTGTTGTTGTTTTGTTTGTTTGGTTTGGTTTTTCTACACAGGGTTTCTTTAGCTGTCCTAGAACTAGCTCTTGTAGACCAGGCTGACCTCGAACTCACAGTGATTCACCTGCCTCTGCCTTCCGAGTGCTGGGATTAAAGGTGTACACCACCACCACCCGACTTTGTTCTTAATTTTTTTTTTTTTAAAAAAAAGTGAATGATAAAGGAAGATATTCTGGCTTCCACATGCACAAATGAGCGCAACAGTTTGCATATATGTATACATGCACACACACACACACACACACACACACACATGGGGGGGCATTATTCTCCCAAAATTTTGCTAAGTGGGAGAGCACTGTTCCTGTCTGCCCTATGCCCTACCTACTCATTCCTTTGTGCCTCACATATATTCCTCTTTGTCTTTTTCTGCCTCTCTGTGTCTGTCTCTCTCATGCATGCTTATATGTACACATACACACACACACACACGCATGCATGCATGTACTCACACATGCACAGATGCACAAATCTTGGTCATCCAGTGTTTAGATTCAAACAAAGCATCCTCACAGGCAGGAACATACGTGTACAAAGGACCACCCACTTGGTCCTCAGCATGTGTGTATACATGCGCACACACGCATACCCTCAGACACCTGCACACGAACACCTTCCATGCTGCGTACCCCTAGGCTGAGTGCCGGGCCCAGGGAGGGGAAGTAAATCCTCTGGCACAGCAATGTGATCATTTTCCCTTTCTTCCACTGATCCAGCCCCAAGGTCTAGACAGGAAAAGGCACGCAGGGCAGGAAGGAGGGCTCCGTGCAAAGGGAAGCAGGCAGAGTCAGCTTTGAAGGCAGAAAGGCGGCCCTGTCTGAATGGCCTGTTTCAGAGCTGCCAGCACGAGCTTAACAAAGCGGCAGGAAAGTCTTTCTCAGAGCCACCCTGGGAGTAGGGATGCTGTCAGGCTCTGCCAGGCCAATGGCTGTCTAGGGGGATGCACAGACTTTCGTCCATCCAGCTGGTGACCCTAGGCCGGGGACTCAGTCTTGGGAAGTGGCTTGTTTCTCAGCAGAGAGACTCTGGGACAGGGCTTGAGAAAGAAGCCACATGTTCTGTGTTCTTGGCCATTGCTCATTCTGGCTTCTCTAGATCACATTAAACTCCCGAATGCTGTCCTCTGACCTCCGTGTGCGGGTTGTGGTACCCACACTTACCCACACGCCATCCACACAATAATAATAAACCAAAAGATTTCTTTAAAAAATTGATATCTCATGGGAGAAGAACATTCCTTAGTCAAACCAGAACACCCAAGATACTTGGAGTTTTGTTTTGTTTCCCTTGAGACAGGATCTCACTGTAGAATCCTGGCCATTCTAGAACTCACTATGTAGACCAGGCTGGCATCAAATTTACAGCAACCCTCTCCTGTCTCTGGACTGTTGTGATTATAGGAGTGCACACCATGCCCAGCTTACTGCTTTTTGTTGTTGTTGTTGGTTTTTGTTTGTTTGTTTGAGACAGGGTCTTTGTACATAACTTGGCTATTCTGTAACTCAACATGTAGACCAGGCTGACCTGCAGCTCACAGAGATCCACCTGTCTCCGCCTCCCAACCACTGGCACTAAATGTGTATGCCACAGCACTCGGCTAGCGTGTGTGTGTGTGGGGGGGGGGTACTTGAGCTGCGTGCATGTCTGCATACTGTCTGCACCTGGTGCCCACACTGGCTTTGAGGCTTTGTGTGTAATTGTGACACAGATACCCCTTTCCCTGCAGTCACCTGCCTGCCTGGAACCTTAGGGTAGCTGCTGCCTCTGGAGCGGTCTCTGAGATTGTTGCAGGAGACACTCAGGAGGCTTTCTTCCAGGGTGCCATTGAACACTCCTTCCTGGCTCACTGGACAAAAGCCTGTCCAACCAGAGTGTAACAAGAACAAGAGGAAGTCCAGAGGAGGGAGGGGGGGGACCTTGCACAGTTTTCCTTCAGTTAAATGTACTGAGCACCTGGAATAAGAGGGATCCCTCCGGGAACAACGTGATACTAAGGCTAAGCCCTGCCTGTCTGCTGCTGACATGGGCAGCCAGCACCCCCTGGACCCCAAAGTTCACCCACCAATATGATAGCTGTTGAGTTATCTCTCCGCATCTCAGAAACATTTGCATTCTAATGTGGATGCCATAGAAAAGGTTTAAGAACTGAATGAAGTCTGTGGCAGGACCAGAGGTCCTGGCAGGCCCCCTACATGGCACACTATGCAAGTTCATGCATGCCCCCCTGTGTTCTTCCGAGAGATGGGTCAAGTTGTTTCCTGGGGCAGGCGACCCTGATGAGCAGAGTACAGAATGAAGTGGTATATAGACAAATGGCTGTAGATCAGGTGCCTTATCCATCTTCCTGGAGAGAGGAGAAAGGTGTCCCATGTGGTAATACTAAAATTGGCGATATAATGTATTATTATTATTATTATTGTATCCTAAGCTTTAATCAATCCTCTCTTACTGAAGGTTTCCTAGACATCTCTTTGCTTGCTTCTTAGAATAGAATAGGTGATGAGAGTTGGTAGGATCATTTCGCAGAGGAGAAAACTGAGCAGAGAGTCTAGCTAAATGAATGTTGTAGCTGGGATCAGAACATAGGTAATCAATCCGGGCTCTTCTGAGCGAGCATGCACTCTTGTTGTTTTATTACTAGTGTCTACCGTTCATCACTTCTCCCCACCCACACCAGTTGTCCTCCCCAAACACCACCACCACTTGGCAATTCTTCGTTTGAGTCTTGGTTTCTGGAGCTACACAGAAGGCCCCTGATCATTCTATATGTGCGGGTTTTTTTTTCTTCCTAGAATGTATGAACTGAGCTGCTACTTGCCTCAAGACAAAGACCTGAAAATCTCTGTCTATGACTATGACACCTTAACCCGAGATGAGAAGGTGGGAGAAACGATCATCGACCTGGAGAACCGCTTCCTTTCCCGGTTTGGGTCTCACTGCGGCCTTCCCGAGCAGTACTGTGTGTAAGTTCTTCCCCGTGAGTAGAGGGGGTGCTGCTGTACCCAAGGCTCTCTCCTGGGGAGGCTGTGGGACTCTGGCTCCCTCGGTGCCTCGCTTCAGTGTGCCATGGCTCTTTCGATCCATCTAGTGTCATTTTTGACAAAATTATCTGAGGATGACCTAGGGCCACCACATTGCCTCGTTCATATGATAGTCTGTTGTGTTGGTCGCTGGAGCAGAGCAGAGCCGTGCATATGACACAGCTGTCGTCAGTGCTCTGAGATCCAGTCTCTCTCCTGTTCCTGAGCTCCTGATGCCAGGGACTTAGGCTAGCCAGGTGTCATGGCACGGATTCGCTAGCTTTTAGAAACAGCGATTGATTGTTAACTACCAACTATTCACCGTCCAACACCCTCCCCCTCCCCCCCCCCCCCCCCCCCCCGCAAGGATTTTATGCCCAGTGTCCCCTGCTGCTAACCAGTGGCTCTCTGAGCATCCAATGAGACTGCAAGTCACTTCTGGTTTTTTAATTTGGCTCTCTGGCTATGGTGATCCCAGGTTCCTCATTTTTGTTAAGGAGAGAACTGAACATAAAAAAATAAACACGATGAGTTGGCTGAAGCCAAAGTACTGTATGGGTTTTACACCTCTGAGAGAGGTGTCCAGGAGACACCGTGTGTAGACCTGTCCCTCCCCTTGGACAGAGGTGCACTTGTGTGGAACACTGTGCACCTGGAGTAACTCCAGACCTGTCCACAGTTCTGGAGTCAACACCTGGAGAGATCAGCTGAGACCAACACAGTTGCTTCAAAATGTAGCCAGGTTCAAAGGCTTCCCACCCCCAGTCCTTTCCGAAGACGGAAGCAGGATCAGATACGGAGGACGAGACTACCATCTGGACGAATTTGGTGAGCAGAAAGCTGTGGTTGTAAAGCACAATGTGATAATCTGCTTCTGTTGCTGCGTGGGGGAGGGGGCATGAGCCAAGGCAGCACCTGATGATCCCATGCGAGACCCTATGTCTGACCTGGCCTAAACAAAAGCCGCAGGTGTCCCAGTGGACACGTTTTCTTATCTTCCAATTTTCCTGTAATACATAATCAGTTCAACAATGTTCCAATGACAGTGAAAAGAGATTCCACCCCAAAGAGACTCCATCACAGACAGGTGCTGGTAATACTTGGGAGGAAGAGGCAGGCGGATCTCTGAGTTCAAGGCCAGCCTTATCTACAGAGCTAGTTCCAGGACAGCCAGGACTACACAGAGAAATCCTGTCTCAAAAACAGGAGAGAGAAAGAGAGAGACAGAGACAGAGAGAGACACAGGGAGAGTGAGAGAGAGACAGAGAGAGAGACAGAGAGACAGAGACAGATAGAGACAGATACAGGAGAGACAGAAAGAGTTCTAGTTGAACTTGGTCTCATAGCCACATCTGACTAGTTGCAAGGGAGGCTAGGAAATAAGATGGTTGTGAGCCTGTGCTACAAAAGTAAATACAAACTATCCCCCCATTCTAGTATGCTCTGCGCTCTGCTAATGGCAGAATACAAGGTAGGTGTGAGCCTCAGTAGGGAAGTCCCCATAGCCAGGAGCTATTTGTATCCATTTAGTCCTGCACAAGTCCATGCTGACGCTGTACATACTGGTGATGCCTGGCCATTTTTTACAAAGTTTGGGATGATATTTTGCAAATTGTTGGGGACTGGATTATTCCTGACTGTTCCTAATTCAATGTGACTTTGCATTCCAGAAGCCAACAAAACCCTGCACCAGCACCTCGGGGCCCCTGAAGAGCGTCTTGCCCTCCATATTCTCAGGACTCAGGGGCTGGTCCCTGAGCATGTGGAGACAAGGACTTTGCACAGCACCTTCCAACCCAACATTTCCCAGGTAAAGGGGGACCCACCACCTGCTCATCAAATGCAATAGCAATCACTGATGGGCTTGCCTCTTGAGACATGCCTTCGTCCTTTTAAATATGTAAGAAACAGAAAAGAAACTCAAACTAGCTTCATCCTGAAGGAGTTTATTGCAAAGATTTTCAGGGATCTGGTTACATACCCGCAAGAGATTATCTACGATTCAAAACCAACTCAAGCCAGGGTCTCGCTTTGTCTTTGTTTCCGTTTCTGGCGCTGGCGAATCCTTTCAATGCTGCTGCCACCTTCCTCTGAGTCTGTGTGTCGCGGAACCCTGCGTACTTACTCCTGTGTTGTGTACTCAGGGATCGGGTGTCCCAATCCGTGTAACCAGGAGAGCAAACTGAGCTTGGCCTGACTTGGGGAAGAGGTACCTCCTGAGTCTAGAGAGTCAAGGAAGCAGGGGCGCAGTGCACAAACAGTAGGTCAAAGGGACCGTACAAGTCAAGCCCCAGAAAATGGGCCTAGTTTCTGGAGGAGCAAAGCGAGACACGCTCAAATACAAAGTAATCCACGTAGAAGCTTCGGATAGCAGATGCTTCCAGGCTGTGTCTGCAGAGACTTAGGTACCAGAGGCCTGGAGTAAAGCCAGGAGTGTGAATTCTAACACACACCTTGAGGGACTCTGGTATGAGTAACTAGGAACTCACACTTTAATAAATATTAATTTACTAGAAGCAGATATCATCAGTACCTACTATAAGACTATAGACATGCTTGTTTTGTTTTGTTTGTTTGGTTTCTCTGGGTAACATCCCTGGCCTGGCTGTCCTTTTACCACTCAGAAGCGCCATGGCTTCTAGATAACTGTCACATTTGCTTTCATCCTGTGCTACATTTTGATTTCTTGCTCTTATTCCTTCTCCTTTCTGCTCGAAGCCTATTTATTCTGCCCGCCCACCTCCCACCCATCAATCCTAGGTGGAGCCTGGAGAGTTGACCAAGTGAGGAAGCTTTCTTCCTGAGAAGGTTCCAGCCCGCCTTCGCTCCTGCCTGCAGCCTTAGACTCAGACTGCGGCTTAATCTTAGGCGTCGCCTGGATGCCTAATGTCCTGTGGTGTGCCTGATGTATGGCGGAGCCCTGAGCCTAGAGATTAGTTGGAAAAGCATCAGGATCATAGTAAAATATATTCCTTTTCAAGGGTTCCAGGTAATTCATTTTGATCGCAATGCCTTGGGAAGCCAATCCAGTGATTTCCTTGGCAAACTTCTCAAAGACCAGTCTATGTTTGTCTGAAGGCAGAGTCCATACAAGATCCAAAAATAATGTAGAGGCTATAAATTGATTTGAATGGTTGGATAGTTTTTTTTTTTTTAACTGGCATTTGTACCTGTCTGGAAGAACATTCCAGTGGAGCAGAAAGGCTCGGTCCATAGCAGTCAAAGATCAGACCAGGGCCTCACCAAGATGGCAGCACAAGTGTCAGGACAGGCCCTGCCCCTTCTCTCTTCTGGCGTGGTGGCAGTGCTATCCTAAGGAATATTCTCTCTTTGGAGACCGAGTTATTGTTTTAGAATCGCCTCACAGAACTAGGTTGTTTTCTCTTACGAAGTTTATTGCCATTTTTGTCACTCTGAGGTAAGCGGGAAGTCCACTGGGATTGAGACTGAATTTGGGAAGCAATGTGATAGCAAATAGAGTGGCGGCATGAGGGGGAGGACTCGGTTTTAAATGCTTGAGAGTAAGTGTGTGTGTGTATGTGTGTGTGCGCACGCATACACACGTGTGTGTTTGCAATAGCAGCTGAGTTAGTAATAGGAAGCCCCTCATTTTATTAACAGGATAATTTGGGGCCACGATACAAACGGGTGAATGAGCTCTATCACTCTTGGGGTGAGAATGGAAAGTGAGTGGCCTAAATCACACTGTAAACTAGCTTAACCTTGGTTTACTCTTTCATCCATTACGGCCTTCCATGTGGAGTAATAAATCAGCAAGTCCTCAGAAGTGGTTTCTCTTAAGAAATGGGATGGAAGAAATGATTTTATAGCTCAGTGACAGAGGGCTTTCCTAGCATGTGGGAAGACCTGGGGTCCATGCTCAGCGCTGCCAAAAGAAAAGGAAAACCGTGGTTTCTCCCATATGTGACTCCTGCCTTCCTTCCTCTGTGTATGGTTTAGGGAAAACTTCAGATGTGGGTGGATGTCTTCCCCAAAAGTTTAGGACCACCAGGCCCCCCTTTCAACATCACTCCCAGGAAAGCCAAGAAGTAAGTAAGCCTAAGCCCCGGGTTCCCTGGAGCGCGGACTCCGTCCAGGACCAGAAGTAGCACTCTCCTAAAATGCGTTGTGTTCCAGGTACTTCCTGCGTGTCATCATCTGGAACACCAAGGACGTCATCCTGGATGAGAAGAGCATCACAGGGGAGGATATGAGTGACATCTACGTCAAAGGGTGAGGACAGCAAACAGACTCCCACAAGCTGGGGAGTGAAATCCTCTTTCACTAGGCGCCCTGTTGGAGGTGCCCACCCATGTGTTCTTGGTATGACCTGCTATGGGAGTGCCTGGACAGCAAAATGCAGAAGGGGCAGAGAAGAAAAATCCGTCTAAACAGTGTCTAGGGGTGGGATCCCTTCTCAGCTCTCAACTGTAAGAACTGATAAACATTTCTTCATCCCTCTTTATTTAATTGTTTTTTGCTAAGCAGAGTTACTTCTGAGACTCCTTAGCTATGTAGTTGCTTATTTCTTTTTGATATTGCAGACAACCAGCCTTAAAAACCCAATAAAGCTCCCCAAATTTCCTTCTTATACACGTTATTGCCCATAGACAGTGTTTGTGAAAAGCAAGCAACATTGATAGGTTTTTACGAAATACTGCATCCCACTGACTTTTGCTGGATGTCTTTCTCCGATGTGAAAAATGTCGTGCTTATTATTTTCTTACTTGTTTAATTCCATTTCAGGCGGTCCGTGTTGTTAGTTTCTGCTCTGCCATGATCATAGGTCCATAGATGCTGAGAATGGTACTATGTGGTGAGAAACAACCAGTCTTTGTAGTCAGACCCCCTGTGTGAGAATCCTGGCATCTTCCCTGCTAGCCAGGGAAAGTCAGACATGGGCAGCTACTCGCCTGTGCAGTGAAGATAATGATAGCGCTACTTCCTGGAGATAGCTAGAAGATTCCAGGACTCACAGCGTGTAGTTTAGCCCCTGGCAGCTGGCGTGCATTACGTGGGTGTTAGAATTATTGCTCTTCCACATGGACCGAGTTCTTCCTTCCTTGATATGAAGGAGATAAGACGTGTTGAAATGTGATCTATTCATCAGCGAGAACAAAGTGCCTTCGTGATCCCTAGTGAACTTCAATCACAGCTGAGTTAAAGACGTAATGACTGTCATTCAGACTCGTGTAAGCTTCATCAGGTTCTCAATTACTGTTTGCTGTTTCAGGGCGTCATTACCATTCCCCCAGGAAAACTAATCCCAGCTAATTAGAGCTATGCAAATTTACTTGACTGTCATAAGAATATTTTTTTTTCTTTTCAAATCAAGGCAACAAACAAAGCAGTGATGGGCTGAGATCAAACTAGCAGAAGAATGAAACTCAGCCTAAAGTAGTTTGTAAAGTCTGGAATGACATTCTGAACACCAGGACTGGGAGTCCAGCTCAGAGGTAGCAGGGCTCCCTAGACTGAGACTCTGGGGACATTCTGCCATGAGTTGGTTGCTTACTTACTAGTTTGTCTTTTAGATGGATCTCCTATAACCTGGATTGGCCTTAAACTCTCTGTATAGCCAAGGATGGCTTTGAACTTTTGATCCTCCTGCCTCTGTCTCCCAAGTATTGGGATTACAAGTGTAGATCACCATGATGTGCTTGGGGCTGAAACCCAGGGCTTTGTGCAAGCTGGGCGGGTACTCTACCAACTGAGCTAAGAATCAGAGTTTGCTCTCCAGAAGTGCAGAGAGGGGGAGAGGGATCTAAATATTATACGTGCAAAGGTGACTGATACATAAATGCAATGCCTAACCAACATGGCACATGTTGACGTTACATATGAAGTGATACATGCTTGCACCCAAGCACATGTAATGAAGGTATTTGCCTAATTAACATTAAAATTAAAATGAGAGAAGCCTTACCAAAAAAAAAAAAAAAAGGTGGGGGTGGGGAGAAAGAGAGAAAAAGCCAAAGAGACTGAGAAGTCTTGGGTCAGATGATGGTGAAGTTTTAAAAAGGGCTGGGTCAAAAGGTAAAGCTACCAGGGTCATATAAAAAAAAAATGTGGACTCTTCAGTAAATTAGTTTAAAAGTTAACAGTCAAATAGAACCGTGGTGCCTGGGAGGATGAAGGGGATTATGGTAGGGCAGGGGAGTGAGGAGATAAGGGGAAAGGTTGGATACAGGGGTGTGGGCGTGTTCCTGGGGGTCTAGCCCTCTATCACTGAATTTCAGACACCCAGTCTCGGGAATCTTCCTAGTGATTTATCTAGAGAGTTAATTAACCAGCGAAAGAGAATGCTCAGGTAGTTGACTGATAATGCTGCTGTCGCTGACGATGGGGCTTAAGGCTAGCAAATGACATTATCATCTCCATAGTCAGAAGGAGACTAGCAGCGTGGACTTTGAATTAGACGACCTGCGAGTGCAGACCCATGGCCTGCTATGAGTCTTAAATCACTTCCGGAGCTCCGTTTCCACTGGGAGGAATGAAATGATACCAAGTGCCTAGGTCATAGGTCAAAGTCGGAAGGCTGAGACGAGGAACCGCTTCTCTGAGACCTCTAACTCTATCAAGGAGAGGTGGGACCCCAGGGTCCAAAGCTTCACAGCCAGGCTCTCCCTGCCGTGGATCAAGAGGCTGGTTCTTCTCAAAGTTGGAATTAAAGGTGTGCTCCACCACACCAGGCCCGGCTGGAAAACAGTTCTTAGTTTCCAAACAGAAGCAGGCAGATGCGACAGCGGCTTCCTTCTGGACACATTTGTTCGTTCCGTCAACAGGGAGTTTATCTTATATCCACTCCATTGCCAGGCACAAGCAAAAAGAAATGTTTCCAACGGTCTAAGTTAATACGCTGTTGACGGAGAGGCTCTTCTCAGTGAGGCGCCTGGAAATAACAGCTTGCCTCTTCCTTGCCTGGTTCATTAATAAGATCATAGTAAATTTTGAGAATAATAAAAAAGGAAGCTGCAAGATTACTTGCTTGGTGCCTCTTTTTGTTTGCTTAAGTTAAATATGGGGAAGGAGACGCTGAAATTTTGAGCTAACTTGCATTGGTGGAACCGACCAGCCCCGATGATAGATGCTAATGAGTCATAGCTGTGAAGCCCCAAATCATAGCCAGCTACAGCTTACCCAAAATAGAAGCTACATTGTTGATGATATTTTCCAGAAAATTTCACCTTAGCTCTGCTAACTACAGTCTAAAGGGTTTCCTGCTTTGGTTTTAAAGGAATTCTATTTTATTTGGCTCCAGCCTGGGTTGGATGCGACTCGCCTCCATAAATCACTCCCGGCCTGTGGATCCCTGGAACCTGCCCAGAGAAAGGGCCTTGCTGCTGCTCTCCTCCCCCTAATCACAGCACAGTTTTGCAGTCAGATCCCTTGTCAATCACCGCGAACTGACTCCATTTGCCTCTGCTTTACAGCTGGATTTCCGGGAGCGAAGACAACAAGCAGAAAACAGATGTCCACTACAGGTCCCTGGATGGCGAAGGCAATTTTAACTGGAGATTTGTTTTCCCGTTTGACTACCTCCCGGCTGAGCAGCTCTGTATCGTGGCTAAAAAAGTAAGCCTTGAAAGATGTGGGCAGGATGTGGACATTTTTGGGTCTGCTTGACTCTGAGACTCCAAGGAGGTCGGGCTTGCCCGGGACCTGGAAGGTCACCGAGTCCAGCTCCCTCTTGGTAGAGACAAGGAATCTGGGACCCACAAGAGAGTATAGCCTTGCCCATGGTCGCATAGCTACAACAGGTATTTATTTGTATAGTTAGGATTATGAGGAATACCGCTTCCTTTCTGCTACCTGTTGGCAAGTCAATAGACGGGGCAGGACAATGGCTTTTGTATCACTGTACACACGTGTTCTGTATGGAACGAAGAGATGGCTACTCTCCATCTTAGGCCAAATACAAGCCAAGTATTAGAGGTGAGGCGTCCCTTTTGCTGCCCTGGTTAAGCCACGGTATCTGCATTCCCGCACTCAGAAACACTTCCAGGAGGGTTGAAGGCCCCAGTGGACTTAATTAGACAGACTTTCGGTTACAGAACTTAGTTACAAAAGAAGTGATTTATTGGTTCCCATTCCTAACCAGTCCAGCGTTGGCTCATTTTAAGAACGTCTGGGGCCCACGTCGAAGCGATGCCTTTGGAAGCTGGTCCCACATTCTTCTCCCTCTGCTCTCTGTCCTCTATGGACCTCACTTCCAGGCAGGCTCTTCCCTGGAGGAGGAAACATGGTAGCCGGCAGCCCAGGCCATCACCCATCTTCCCAGCAAACCACCACAAATAGAAGGGAGTGTCAGAACTGACATCCTAGAACTGGAACCAGGGCCTCTGCCTACCAGAGACTTGTGTCCCTCCCCGAACCAACAACCACTGTGGCCCAGGAGGAAGTGCTCAGGCCAAGCACTGGGATTAGAGATGGGGTCAGTCTTTGGCTACTCCACCATCCCACCCCACCCCTGCCCAGACTGTACTAACTGGGGAAATAAGAGTTCTCCAAGGAAAGTCCTGATCCTGAGACCTTGGTAAACAAACCTATGATCTCAGTAGGCCTCTGGTCCCATCCCTACCTTCCATCTCTCGTCATATCTGCTCATATCACCTTCCCTACAACCTACAAAGCTGTACCTGCCCTGAGTCCCCTTGCATCTAATAGCCCTACCCACTGTGGATGCTGTAGTGAACACTTCCAATGTCAGATGGAATGGAGCCTACAGAGGTTCAGAGGCTCAAAATGATGTCGACTTGTGTATCCTTTCAGACACGAAAGCAGTGTAGGACAGAGGTGGGGATATTTGGAGTCAGGCCTGAGAGGTGGTTCCTTTTCCTTTTAACCCACATCTAAGGCTATACTTCTCTTCCCTCTGTGGTGCTTAGAGCATAACCCCACACTTAAGACAGCCAGTCAGGGACTAGCCGTGTGGGCTTTCGGAGGTAGGAACTTTTTAGAGGTGGGAACTTGGCTGTCTGTGTGCCTACCTTCAATGTGAAGGATCGGAGGATTTTAAGTGACCACAAGTATATAAAAGTCCATGGTAGCCGGGCGGTGTTGGCGCACACCTTTAATCCCAGCACTCGGGAGGCAGAGGCAGGCGGATCTCTGTGAGTTCGAGACCAGCCTGGTCTACAAGAGCTAGTGCCAGGACAGGCTCCAAAACCACAGAGAAACCCTGTCTCGAAAAACCAAAAAAAAAAAAAAAAAAAAAAAAAAGTCCAGGTATTTTCCAAAAGCTAAAAATCCTGGGACATTTTAATATCTGTATTGAAACAAAAGCGGAATCTGAGCCCTAGATTAAACCCACTGCAAATGGGTACAATGAAACCGTCAATCAAGCCTTGGAGATGGGGGTGGGAGTTTGCCCAACAGGGTAAAGGCCCAGTGATGACACCTTGGGCTGGCCCACACCTAGCTTCAGGAGGGCCACAGCAGTGGCAGCAGGAAGTCACACTGATAGGAATACATGGGAAACCTGCTGTTTGAGAACTTCCTAAGACATCCTTGTTGTCACCCACTGGTGGCTTTGAGACTGCCTAGGGAGTCTGTTGGCCTACTAAATACCAGAGGAAGGTCAGGCTGTCCCACAGGGTGTGGAGGTGGAGGCCCCAGTCTTATCGCGCTATCTGCAGCTAAAGTGAGGGTCTCTGAGCCCACTGACCATGACCATGTGAACCGTCTGTGTCTCTCCCCATTTTAGGAGCATTTCTGGAGCATTGATCAAACAGAATTTCGCGTGCCCCCTCGACTGATCATTCAGATATGGGACAATGACAAGTTTTCTCTGGATGACTACTTGGGTATGGCTTACGTCACCGTCACTTCTCTACCGCGGAAACCAATTACAATCTGGGAACACCTGTAATGGGGGAGGCGGGGATGTGCTCACTGACTGGGTGTCCCCCTTTTCACTAGCTCTACTCGCTCTGAAGGCCTCCCTGGTAAGCTAGAAAGATAAGTACTCGTGCTTGCCTAGCGAGAGCCAAGAGTTCAATTCTCGGGACTGCATAGACAGGGAATGGTGCTACATGCCTTTAACCCCAGCACTTGGGAGGGGGGAGGCAGTAGGCTTAGGCTCAGGCATTCAAGGCTGTCCTTGGCCATATAGTGAATTAGAGACCAGCCTGGGCACAGGGAGGTTGCCACAGCTCTGCCTCCACTTTCAAGCAGCTCGTGCTCTCTCTTCTTGGTACTTCGGAACCATCTTTACGAGTTCGCTCCTCGCTCTCAGCAGTTCCTGATGTCCTCTGTGCCTCCTTCTTTCATCCTCCCCTACGCTGTTCTTTTCCTTTTCCTTTTTTTTAAAAAAATATTTTATTTATTTATTTATTTATTTATTATGTATACAGTGTTCTGTCTGTGTGTATGCCTGCAGGCCAGAAGAGGGCACCAGACCCCACTACGGATGGTTGTGAGCCACCATATGGTTGCTGGGAATTGAACTCAGGACCTTTGGAAGAGCAGGCAATGTTCTTAACCACTGAGCCATCTCTCCAGCCCCCGCTGTTCTTTTCCTTAAGCCCACCCTCCTCTGGCCTCGAGGCCCTCATCGCATGCACCCTACCTAATCTTTTTTGTTCTCCCTTCTACATTTTAAACCCAAGCATTCCCAGAAGGTCTCAGAAGGCCTCCTGATTCTTCTGCAGTCCCCCCTACCCCAGTGATGTAAGCCCTGACACTTCAGCCGATGCTGAAGTTCAACTTTTGCCCATCATCTAACCATGTAAGGCTCCTAAACCAGGAACAATAAGTGGGGCCTCTCACAGCCCTTCACAAAGACCTACATGAAGCTATCCAGGGGCTAGAGAGTAAATCCCTCCTCCCAGTCCACAGCAGAAAGTGTGTCTCTCCAGACACCCTGATCCTGGCTGGGATTTCTCATTTCCTGGTGGGGATTTTTGGTGTGAATTATGTTCTTTCAAGCTCCCGTTTCTGGGGTCACTCCAGGAGAGAGCTGTACCAGAATGTTCCAAGGAGCGTCCTGTGTTCCATGCACCTAATTGTCTTTCCCCAAAGGCAGTGAATGACCTCTGGTCAGGGTAGCTCAAAACCACAACTAGTACCTCTCAAATACAAAGGCCCTGAGCTCAGTGGAAATTTTATGTGTAGATGTTTAGTCGATCAGGGTTTATAGAAGAACTGTTTATGCTCACGCCTTTGAGAAAGAAAGCATGGTGTCCTCTGTGAGACACTGAGCAGTGAAAAGCTGTTTCTTCTGCCATCTCCCATCCTATCTGGAAGGAATTTAAACGTCTAGCATGATCCGTTTCACTAACTCAGCCATCACCTGTTCGCAATCACCGTGTCCCCTGCACAAGAATGTTCTGTTCACTAAGAACAATGGCTGGCGTAGCCACGTGAAGCTCATCTGGACCTCATGTTGTGTTTCTGGGGCCAGGTTTCCTGGAACTTGATTTACATCACACGATCATCCCCGCCAAGTCAGCAGAGAAGTGCAGTTTGGACATGATCCCCGACCTCAAAGCCATGGACCCCCTTAAAGCTAAGACGGCCTCACTCTTTGAGCAGAAATCCATGAAAGGGTGGTGGCCATGCTACATAGAGGAAGACGGCGCCCGTGTGATGGCTGTATGAGTATTTTCTAGCTGGGTACCATTTCTATGCCTTATCAGTAGACTTACTCGGGATGAGGGGATAAAGACAGGAGAGGCTGTGGGTGTGTGCTCGGGGTTGGGGGAAGGGCATGGGTTAGAAAGATGGGAACCAGGAACCAAGGTGATGCTGTATTTCCTTAGGGTTCCTTTACAGGGAGCTTACTGTGTGCTGAGCGGTGAGAGTAGGAAGTGGAGTTCCCAGTGTGAGCTTTTCACATCCTAAAGAGGAAAGGGTAAGGGTGCTGAAACGAAGTCCAGACCTTACAAGCATCTTGGAGGATTCAAGATAAGCTTTGGAAAGAAAGCACAGTGCAGCTCACCATGTTGCCAATGCTACCTCACACAGTACTGATGGTTACTAGCTAACGTGTGAGCCAGGTAACATGTCGCCAATGCTACCTCACACAGTACTGATGGTTACTAGCTAACGTGTGAGCCAGGTAACATGTCGCCAATGCTACCTCACACAGTACTGATGGCTACTAGGTTACATCTGTGAGCCAGGTAATATGTCACCAATGCTACCTCACACAGTACTGATGGTTACTAGCTAACATGTGTGAGCCAGGTAACATGATAATTGTCTCACATGTGTGATCTCATGTCTAAACTAGCTTACCAGTCCATGTTAATTGCATATTAGTGGGGATGGGTGGGAGGTATAGTATGTGCTGATCAAAGGCCTCCTCCCTTTTCTCTTTACCCACCACACGCCCTTTCTCATCTGTAGGCTGCATTGTGGGTACAGAGCGAACGCTCACGTAGGAGAGCATATCTTGTCTGGCCAGTCCATCCCCAGAAGTTTCCAGTGCTTTCTTTCTCTACCCTGTCTTCAGGAAGCCATTGATGTGGACTTTCTGTTACCATAGAGATTAGTTTTCATGTTATTTTCTTAGACTCTGCTGACAGGCCTTTGAGGTAGACTCAATCCTCATTTTATGGATTCAAGCAAACCTGAGAGATAAAGCCCCTGGCAGGGTCAGGCCTTCAGTTTCACCTGGCATAAAAACAGGGCCATTGTCCAGGCCCCTCCACCTAAATCACCTCTGTGTCTGCATTTCACAGGTTGTTGGGGACAGAGACGGTTTATCTGGGTCCTAAAATATCAATTGCAAGTTAATGAAGGCTGGGTATTAAAGTCACCTGTTGTGCCGGCACATACTTAATACCAGCCCTTTGGAGGAATTAGCGGGACAGAGGTGGGCAGATCTCTGTGAGTTTGAGGCCAGCCTGGTCTACATGGTGAATTCCAGGCCAGAGCTACCTAGTAAGGCCCTGTCTCCACAAAGAAAAAAAAAAAAGGTTAGATAGAATGTTAGACCTTTTTTGACCTTAGGGCCCTCAGCCACAAATTCAGACAACGGCACCTTCCTAAGGATGCCACGAGCAGTCTACAGATTATCCACACAGAACTGCTCCCTGTGTGGATGCGCGTGCAGGGGCCTGTCAGCAGAGAAGCAGCCTCCATCCCCCCACTGATGCAGCTACGACACCTTGAGTTCCCACCAAGCACAAGTTCTGCGACAGATTGATGTGGGAATGCCAAAACCACAGGGACGCGGGAGAAAGAGAGCACGAGGCGGGAGAGTGATTTGTCCTCTCGGTTTCCCACACGGCGGCGGTTCAGAAACACATGGGACAGGAAATGGGAAGCAGTCTCAGGAGGAAAATTTGAGGCAATCTAAGGATTGCTTTACAAGAATAAAAATTGTAGCTTGGGGAATATTCCTCGGGTTGAAGTAAAAATATTTGTGAAACGTGATGTCATGTGTTTAACCTGCTCTGCTTTACTGAAGGGGAAAGTCGAGATGACACTGGAGGTCCTCAACGAGAGGGAGGCAGACGAGAGGCCAGCCGGGAAGGGGCGGAATGAACCCAACATGAACCCCAAACTTGACCCACCAAAGTGAGAGGCCTTCTTTGTTCTGTGTGTTGTCTGGTCCCCAAACACCTGCAGTTCGAAAGCCCCCCTTCCAGTTGGCTTAATGGGCTGGATTAGCTATTGGCCTTCTAATTTCGTTCTTCACAGTGGGCCGTGGGGGGGGGGGGGGATGGGGCGGTAGGTGCTGTGGTCTCGTTTTAACCATTCACCTTCCCCATTAAGCCAGAGTTTGATATCCTCAGCATCTGAAGGAACGGGTGTGGGGATCTGAGCTATTCCCAGCCAACTACAGAGGCTAACAAAGGAGGCTGGGAAGGTGGTGGGCACAGTAGGAAAGGGGAGGCTGAAACTGCTCCTTCAACTGTAGCTTGTCCCAAATTTATTAATTCACGGTTCTTGAACTGCTACAGTCTGGTAGACAGTCCTTTGTGAGTTAAGAAGGGGAACTATGTCTTGCCTTGCAGCCGACCGGAAACCTCCTTCCTCTGGTTCACGAACCCCTGCAAGACTATGCGCTTCATCGTGTGGCGCCGGTTCAAGTGGGTGATTATCGGCCTGATTGTGCTGCTCATCCTGCTGCTGTTCGTGGCTGTACTCCTGTACTCGCTGCCGGTACGACATCTGGGCCTCGGCTTCCACAGCCCTGCGGCGCCATAGCCACCAGGCAGCGACCCTCTCACAGCCTCTGCGTTTGAAAGTTTAATACACTGCCCAGTGGTAGAAGCCGCATCCTTGATTTTAATGACTTACCACAAGCTATTATGGTCTAAACAAACCAAACAACAAAAACCCACTGGCTTTAAGAACTCTAGGAAAAAGGCCCCAAGCCTCTATCTGTATTTGTCTAGGTTCGAGGCAGTGTTTCCAAGTGATTTAGTGTGTGTGTACGCGCGCGTGTGTGTTTGCATGTGCGTGTGTGTGTGCGTGTGTGTGTGTGCGAGTGTGTGTGTGTCTGTGCTCACCCATGCATACACACGTGGAGACCAGAAGTCAATGTGCAATGCCTTCCTCTGACCTTTGCCACCTTATTTTTTGTGATGGGGGCCCTCACTAACCTGGAGCTTACTGCTTCTGCTAGGATGGCGAGTCAGAGAGGATGGAGATCCTCTTGTCTCTGCTGTCTCTCTATACATCAAAGCCACCATTTCCTGATATGATGTGAGTGCTGGATTCAGGTCCTTGTGACCCACAAAGCCATCTTACCAGTCCCCCCCCCCCTGCTTTCACCTTCTTGTCCCAAACAATCATGTACCCAAACTCCTGGTCTAGACACTGGTGGTCCCCAAGGCCTCAACAAACCCCTCACTCCACTCCAAACAGTTACTGCCTTTGCCTCTCTGGGTCCCTGTACCCACATTTTGTTTTGCAAAATCTTGTTCTCGATGACCCATTTCACAAATAGCTACTCCTTAAATTTCTTCCAATCACCTTAGTTATAAATAAGAGCCCGAATTGAAGGTTTGGCTGTGTGCACAGGCGCTGTGCTCTCATTCCTCCATTCAGGGGATGCGTGGAGCATCTAATTAAAATGCAGAGATGAGAAGAAGCAGCCTGAGGGAAGGCAGCATGAATACATACTGGCAGTGTGGAAGGGGAGGTCTTAGCTAGGAACCCGCTGCTAAGGACATTCTCCCCGGGGAAGCAGTTTAGTCTCCGGAGAAGGGGTGGTCTAGCCAGAGCAAGCCATGAGCCGAGGCAAAGTGCATGGCTCTGGATGGAGCAGCAGGCACCCCAAGGCTCTGTCTCCAACTCACTTCCATGATCCTGGAGCTCCTGTAGGTTCTGAGTTTGGAGACACCGTCATGCAGACACAGCAGCATCTCTGTGCCTGGCTCCTATCTTCCCCTGTGTAATAGTTTCAGAAATGACTCTGATTATATGCACAATGTTTTCTGGTTGTAGGTTATACAATCTGTCTTGACTATTTAAAAAGAAACTCCATATAGTTATTTTTTCATGATTTAAATTCTGTTTTTAAAAAACTCCATATAGTTATTTCTTCATAATTTAAATTCTATCAATGGTGTCATTCAGAGAATGACAGTGTTTAGAGACAGTTGGGACTTGATGGGCACTCAGTAGGTAGAGGGGGGCCAGGGGTGGCTCTGTATGTCCCATGGTGCACAAGCCTGCCCAGCCATGCTAAAGGATGGCATGTCAGACTGAGAAGTCACGTCTCCAAGTAGTCACACAATTTCTGTCTCTCTTTCAGAACTATTTATCGATGAAGATCGTGAGACCAAACGCATAATGAAAGCAGAGCCTTCAATCAGCAGCAATGAAGAACTGCCTCACATACTGAAGTGTGATTTCAAGACCAAGACCACCCCAGGTCGATGTGTTAAATACTTCATCAAGACTTGTCAGTTCCTAGCAGGTCTAAATCCTAAGAGGTCAGATAACAGGCTGCCTTCTTATCCTGTTATCTTTTTAAAGTATTAAAAAAAACCTTTATTTTCTAAGTTTTAAGTCTATTTTCTGAGTATTTTTAAGGTGGCTGGTTCCATTTTAAAATTATCTTTCTATGTGCTTTCCATTTTACGATTCAAGTTTGGGAAATTACTGAAATGAATTTGAAATGGTCTGTGTCTTCATGTCATATGTTTCCTATTTGTAATCAAGAGAAAGAACCTCCATTATAAGAGGTAGCGGGGATGGTTGGAACAGCTCTTATTGGTGCTGCAGCCATCATTGTGGGATTCTGTGCGGACAAATGCCATGAGACTCTTTGCAACCTCAATGATGAATGCAAATAAAAGTATCTCACCTGGTACACGTGGATGTGTGTCCTCTGTTCTGACTGAGTGGGGAGAGAGGCAGGATCAGTTCCACGGCATTCCACTTGACCATAAGCCCTTTACGAGCATGCTGCCAACTTGGGCCAATGGGTGCAATAATACAGCTACCAGTTATGAATAGTGTGGTAGCAGCCTGCCACCCTGTTTTCAAGGCTCTGTGTGTGCCACTCAGTGAATCTGCAATGTAGCCCATAAATTTACAGTTGAAGAAACTGAGGGTCAAAGAAGTTGTAGCTTTTCCAAGGCCACACAACCAAGAATAAGTCTGGATTTAGACCCAGGGATTATAGATCTGCCACCACCCCACCCCCACCCCCAGTTTAAGTGGTATTCATAAGTACCAGGCAAGCACTCTATCAACTGAGGCGCGTTCTTCAGCCTCTCTTAAGATCTCTTAAAGCAACACTGCAGTAAGGAAAGTATGACCCCATGCCAACACCAAAGGCGCTCAGAATGTCTGCTGGAACAAGTGAGAACATTGTGTCATTCCTACATGTAAGAAAAGGTTATCAAGTAAGTCACTAACAGTTCTATTCAAACGGAAGTTCAAGACTAAGGAACAAGAAATGATGCAATAATTCTATGTAGCTGGCAATTCAGGCAGTTTATACTGCAAAGGCAACTGTCCATCTCATTGCTGAGGTGTTTTGTGGTTTTGATATTTTAATTTCCTCTAGTATCCTGTCACAATTCCCAGCAATCCAAGTGTACTCAATCACAACAAACTGTTAAGAAATAACAGCTCTGGCTGGATTGACATGTCCCACGGTGAGGCTGCATGTAGCAGCCACTCATGTGAAAGGCTACCCCTCCCAGTCACTGGCAGAACTCCTGAATGCCACTTTCTCCTTGGCACTTAGGCCTCAAGTGATTCTTTGGTCTCAGAGGTGAGCTGGTTGCTTCAACCTTTCTAGAGAAATATAGATAACGAAAGACCTACAAACATCTCTGCCCTTCAACTCGAAGGAAATAATCAGAAGGATGGAGGAAGGTCTATGTACACAATCCACATAACAGTATGCCTACTAATGGTACTGGCTGTGACCTCCCTAGGGATCCATTATAAGACAACAAATGATAGATAGTAAAGATCCTGTATAGATTTAAAAATTTAAAATTTGTCTTTTCTTGGGGTGCATATCAACATAAAATAAGGTCTTGAATATGTAAGCTATTTAATGTAATTCATCAAAATGGTGCTAGAACAGTTTGTGGAACATTAATATTTGTTCATAGTGAGGTTATAGTTTATGAGGCTTGGTTGGCATTGGAGTTTCTTGAATCTCTTCCCACAGAGTCTAAGCTGGGTTTGAACAGTGCTGTTGTATGTTTCCCGTGGCCGCCGTGAACTATGGTTAATCTCCACAGCTGACCGTAGGTTCCTTGAGGGATGAGGAGCACCTAGAAGACCCGCACCCCAGGGTACCATGGAGCAGCAGGCTTGGATTTGTATCATGGACATAAATCAGCCAGATTTATGTGCACTTGGAAGAAATAGTGTCACCTCTAAACCGAGGTGAGGGTGTTAAGTGCCCCGGTTCTTAGTGCTTTAGTATCACATTTACTAATTAAAGTTGGCTGTGTCCTTCTAGGTATAGAACCAAGAATGGGTTCTCTTTACACAGGACCCAGACTCACTAAGTAGGAGGGGCCTAAGTCAGGGGTACGGCTGCATCATCTGCCTTCTAAGCTACAGCTGCGACCTAGGGGGAGTTCAAACTCATGGTGTAGGAGTCCAGTGGTTGTGGGGACACTTCCGTCGCGTGAGGAGCAAAGGTGCATGTCCTGTTTATTATCTCTGGCTGCACCAGATGACCCCTCACTGTGAGCTGCAGCTCACTGGTATTATCAAAACCTTCACTATGAGTGGCCTACTACCCGCGGGTGAGGCCCTCAGGTTCGCGTTGCCTTCCAGCCTCCAAGTCACCATGAGCCCACATCTAGAGAATGACTTCCTAACACTTAGACCAAATTGAAGGTCCATGGTTTTCATCTAATTCCAAGACAGTATTTTTTTAAGATGATATATTTTTGTTTTGTTTTTGTTTTTATTGTTGTTTGTTTGTTTGTTTTGTTTTTTGCTTTTATTTTATGAGACAGGATTTCTCTGTGAAGCTTTGGAGCCTTTCCTGGAACTCACTTTGTAGACCAGGCTGACCTTGAACTTACAGACATTGGCCTGCCTCTGCCTCCCAAGCGCTGGGATTAAAGATGTACACCACCACTGTCCCCGCCAAGGTGATATATTCTTAGAGGGGAAAAATAAGTCACTTAACAAAAGAGTATTCATTGTTCCAGACATGTATGTTATCTGAAGATGCCAATCAGTATACTATATTGGGATGGACCAATCAGAAAGGATGTCTTTGCACATCATGATGGATACAGGCTACTAAATATTCTAGAGCATCAGCCATACCAGGAGGTGCAGACTGGTTACAGTCTTCATTCTGGGGACTCCTACCGCCTTATTCTCCACAATGCCTCCCTGAGGGAACCCTTGCCAAGTAGACAATGGAATGGCTGGCAGGAGAGTCTCTTCCTTGTTTCGCCATGTCTATGTGGAGTCACGAGCATCCTCCTTTTGGGTAAAAGTCAGCAAAGCTCCACTAGGGTGAAATGATTCATGGAGGGTACCAGGCAAGGTACCCTCCCTCAGAAAAAGCTTAATCCTGTCAAAAGATAATGGTCCCTCAATGGAGGTTGTTAGCAGCCCTGTGACCTACAAATGATAGCCAAAAGCTGGAACTAATCCCAGTCCAGTCAGATTGTCGCTTCACTGTGAATTAAATAACACTCGGTCCTAACTCACTGCAGCATGTGCCGCCATTAACACTGGAGCCTTCACTGGGAAAATGAGTCTCTTTCAGTCAGTGTGGGAGAGGAGAGGGACCCGAGAGGCTGATGGGCAGACACTGGAGTTGCTTTTGTCCTTCTCTTTTTATTGCATATTTAGAAAATAAAGTATGTCACCTTTTGACCTTCCTCTTGGTTAAAAGGCTATTTAAAACAGATAGGCAAATTCTGAAACCCACAACAGGGCAGAAAGGGGCCGGTCTGCCTGGCTTTCTGGTTGCTGGCCATGTGACAGTCCGGTACCCCTGAATCCCACCCTGGCTGTAAAGGTCATCTGCCTAAGGACTGGAGCAGGCAGTCTCCTTAGACTGTGGAGCAGATGATTGCACTAATGCTAAACAGTGAGAATTCCTTCTAGAAACTTCCTTTTCAGTCCAGAAAGTGCGAGCTTTCCACCATATGGAGAAACAGCCTGATTTCAAAGTTTTGCACCCCTGACATCATAAACATTTCATGCTAAAGCGCTTCTTTGGCTAAGGCGCACTCTGGACCTTAGGCACGCGGCTTCTGCAGGCAGATGGGAATTCCATTCTGAGGGATGCCTTACATGGAATGAGTTCATAATGAGTCAATGCTGTAGAGAGATTAAGCGCCCACCATCTTTGCAGCTGAGCCTTGTGTTTGTTCAGCGCCGAATGAGAATTCCCTAATCTTCCTTCAGTTAAACATGGTGAGGTCCCAAGGAAGATGAAAGGGAAGCCACTTTCCCCCCTGGATAGACATCCGTGAAGTGAAATGCCAGAGTTCATGAAGTTCAAGAAAAACACAAGAGAGACATGTCGCTGGGACTAAGTTTGAGGATGGGGACATAATGGGAAACACAGACCCGTGCGTGGGGGGCACTCTCCTGACTAGAGTGCAGATTTCCAAGAGAGGCTTGGTCCTAGGTTTTCACCATCGGAATAAACTGAATAAGGTGTGTGTGTGTGTGTGTGTGTGTGTGTGTGTGTGTGTGTCCGAGAGCATGCACATATATAACTTTTGCATTTGATCTCAGCCAAAAGTCTGAGAAACAATGAAAAAAAAATCATAATTTTGGAACAGCTCCCTTCTAGCATGCTGTATGCTTTTAAGGGCAACCCGATTTTGCCAAAATTCATCTCAGCTTCTCCCCCAAGGGCTCTTTGAGCCTTTGACTTGTATTAATGTACCACTTCCACGTAGTTTCACAAAGTGCTAGAGCCAAACCTGTAATCCTCTCCCCTCATATTTCAGGGAAGTCCTGCCTGGGTAATTACCAGGAGGAGGACCAGGGATATCCAGCTGGATCCAGATGCAGCACGGCAGCCTCACAGACGAGGTTTCACCTGGGTCAGCGGGATAAACAAAATAAATGATGGAATCCTGTCTTAGAGCAGCAGGAGCAGGGGGCCAGGGGATTCCAGACGTCTGCAAGCCTGTGAGCTCAGCACAGCTTGGTCACAACATAACCCCGAGAGTTGGGGCATCTCCCCCAGGGATCCAAAATTCCCTCACTGAGAAAGTGAGCCCAGAGTTCAAAGATCTTGTCTGTCCCCACATCCGTTGAGGTTTCTGTTTCTTTGTGACTCAGTTTCCCTGTATGGAAGATAGGGACAATAATCTTCGATGGTGAAGCTAGAATGGGTTACCATGCAGAGTTTTCTGGGACAGTGTAAGCCCTCAGTGTCCTTTACCCTTTACCCTGAGCAGTACTGTCCTCATGACAGAGCAGGACCAGCAGATGTAAGTCAGAGGCGACACCTGTGACAAATGCAGTCCTAAAAAGTGACACAAAAATAGGCATGGGAATGCACACCCTTAATTCCAATACTTAAGAGGCAGAGACAAGAGACTCGGGTGTTGAGGAGACCAGCCTGAGCTACTTGGTACGATTCTGTCTCAAAGAAACAAGTCACACAAAATCATTGCTATTCCAAGAGAGCTGCCCCCGCCTCGCCCCAGTTCTGACTGTATAATTCTAACTAAAGAAAGCCACAGGAGCAAATACAACGCAGTGGTAGAATGTACGCTTGGCAAATGCAAAGTCCTGGGTTCGATCCCTAGCACTGAGTGGAAAGATAGAAGGAGTGGAGAGAGTAAGAGAGGGAGAGAGGGAAAATAGAAATTAGAACACCACTATTCCAAAACATTAAACAGA